TGTATCGATTGGTGCGATCCTCGTAAGATATTGATGATGAATGATGAGCGATGACGTTGATTTTAATCAGATTATTGAGGTAAAGATGTTTAATAACTGAGTTAATTATGAAGAAGCGACAGCAAATTCTTTGGGCAAAAAATTACAAAATTGACATCTTGGATTGTTTAATGACTATTGACGGACTACTTTTGATTATAAAATTAAATAAACAATCGAAGTTTATGGAAATGGGCGAATCTTTCTGGCTGGATCTCTCATATTTTTTATTTTTGAATTATTTATTGTTATGGACTAAAAACTATTAAGTTAGCATTTTTGTGGACGACTATTGATTTTCATAATCAGCCACCTAGTTCACTTCTAAAACGGTAAGTTACAACTGCAACAACTTAAAAAAAACACTCAGTTTCTCGTAGAAAGCCATAAACACAGCGTTAAAGACCTCATTTGCTTGGCAACTTAGATTTTCAAGATCCAAAAAAAGTTAACCAGGTAGTTTGCGTTTCGTGAAGGATTTTTTTTATGTTCATTGACCATCCTGCTTTTTTGCGTATGTTGTTGCGACTGTTAACAGACCTACTAAATAGTAAATAGTGCAAAATAAAAGCAAACAAATACAAAACCTTAAAAAAATATTATAAACACAAAAGTTATTACCTACTTAATGAGAAATTTAAAAAAGGATCCTCTCAAAAGTCAAAAAAACTGTGGGATCCTTTTTGATGAGCTGTTAAAATTTAATTCCATATAGATTTTGTATACGAAAACTATGACTTCTCGTTAAAATTATGGATTTCTGAGGCTTCATTGCTAAAACAAGGTGTTTTTCAAAAAAACACCTCGATGTTAATGATTTAAATTAGTGTGCAAAGCATTTCAACTATGAATGAACTATAAAAGAAAACTTTAACGTTAAATAATTTTAAACTTAAGAATTTTATAACAATGCATCTTTCACGTACGAGCGTACACACGACAGCAGAACAAGCTTAACACTGTGGCATCTTATTCAGTTTTAATAAGGTAGATATTGCAACAAAAATGTCTGCTCTGATGTGCCGTCAGCTGTACATTAGAAAGTCTTTTTTATATCTTATAAAAACACGCAGATTGTGAGTGTGAAATACATTAATCACCTTTTGTCTCCAGTTGATTAGGCATGGAGGTCTGACATACCACAGTATGACGTCATAGCACTTAAGTCCCTTAAAATTGACGAAAAAACAGAAACGCGTTGGGGACAATACTGACTATACCGTCATAGGATAGACAACTCAAAAACTTTGTCTAAAAAACGTGGATTTATATTTTTGATACTTTGACTATGTAAGTAGGTAGGTTAGGTTAGGTTTCATTAATTTTTCTTAGCCCTCAAAAAATTCAAAAAAGTTTTTATTATACTAAAACGTACTATGATTAATGTACCTAAGATTTTTATTATGTAACTTTTCAATCGACTGCAGGATTTCAAAAAAATATTTTACTATTTGAAAGGCACAGACGACAATACATCATGCTTAACTTCGTGGTATCTTAATTCGTTGCAATAAGAACGATATTTCAACATCAAAAATTATAGTTTAGCCTATTCGCGAACCTACTTAGCTGAAGGTAAATTGCAATACATCATGTAGAAATTGAATTATAATTTCATAAAATTACCAAGTGACAAGCTAGGTCATCAATATTATGACGCATATACAACACCATCAGAACCACCCCCTAGATGCCTGCATGACTACATTCCTAACATAGCGAGAAGAGCCTTGATTTTGAAGATTAATATAACTCCAGTGATTTAATGAATATGAACTGTATACCTAACCCAAAATAATAAATAGTAACAGTAAAATATTTAGTCAAATTCATGAAATTGTGCTCAAAAATTTCATTTTTTTCTTAAAACCCGCATAATTATGAATGTTACTGGCACGAACGAGAAACGTCAAAATTTCATTTCGAATTTCGAACGATTTTGATCGGGGAGCGCGCAGCAGACGACACTCGAGCAACGGAGTGGCGTCTCACTCCACATAGTCTTTACTTATGTACGTATACAGCGACCAGACCTGTTGGATCCCTGTAACGTCACCTTTGCTTCCTTCGATTGCCAAAGGTTGGTAGACGCGCGGGGGGCGCCGCAGGTCAGCTTAACTTGGGCGAAGCGGTACCGTCGAATACATAGGCGTAAGTATAGATAGATATAGAGAGGTAGTACACAGGGTGGGTAAGTACAGATAGCAGTGTCAAGGCAGGTCGCGTTAGATATATTTATTGTTTTTAATTTTGAACAGACGATGTAGCTGCTACGTGCAGTCTTGTGCAATGAGTTTTTGTGTTTTTATTTTTATATGTTTCGAATAGATTGCTATTGTTTTTCAAGAACTGTTTAATAATGTGAAATAGGGTTCGTGTTTTTTGTTTTTATTGTAACTGTATTTTTTTTCTATCTAACGGCAATTCTCTTAATTTTATTCGTAATTACAGCTTAAGTAGAGACTTGTTTTGGATAATTTGTTCCTTATGTGTATTAAATTAAACCTGGATTTGCCTTGAGATGTTTTCCAGTAGGGTATTGTACTTGCCTGAGTTGAAAAATACGGATGTAAGTCGCAAGTTCTAAAGCAGTAGTGCTCAAAATTATTACCTCTAATAATATAACTTCAATCAGTTTTGTATGTATGTTGTAAAATACAGGTTTTTAAAACCGGTTAAAGGCCTATTAAAATTCAACGCATAGGTTCATAATAATTAAAAAGTAATTAGTATTTACGAAAAAAAAATTACAAAAAAAACTCATGATAGATTTTTTAGGCCGCATTATTTAACTCAACTTGTCAATCAATCAAGGACTTTTGAATTGTGTAAATACACTTTCCAAAATAACTTAAGCGTGTTAATTCACAATAAGTTCATTAAACGTTTAAACAATAACAATAAAATAGCTGAAATTCCCATGAAAAACTAATTGCTACAAAAATTCAATAATTGCCACAAAAACATCTAATTCTAATAATTAACAATCAAACTCGGGTGCTGTCTGTACACGAAATATATACGTACCGCGCTCACCTACATTTATTTGTGCACCCACACAGGCACAGTTTTATAGCGCACGCACACAGCCAAGCGCAACGAGCTTCGCCTCGCGGGCTAGCGCATTTTATTTTACTCGAAACTCCAAGAGGATAATATTCCGATTTTTACAGTCGGCCATTTTTTTTTCGCCGTCATATTTACGTTCCAATTTCGAATCCACATTGTTTCGCGGTTAATTTTCGTATTTTTGTAACTGGCCGCGTGGTTTTTAAGACAAAAAAGTTTTAAGCTGGGGGTCACACTTTACTAAGGTTGAATGTATTAAAAATTGCACCTTTTTATTAGCGTCTGTCTGTATGCCGAGTGTTGCACAAGAAAAATGACACTTATTGTAAAGGGATAAGGGTGATGTAAGATTGAACAGCTTGACACCTGACTTGACGAGTGAAGGAGCTTCAACCTAAAAATAGCTCAGGATTTCTATCACGTTTTGGGATCTCGCTTATTTCAGTAATACGAAATACTCATTAACTACAGGTTATAATTATTATTTTATTCATATTTTAATTAATCTACATTATTAATCTTATGGAAAACTTCTGCTAGGTATTGAATTTAAAGTTCCAAAAAGATTTGCTTACCTAGTAAGTGGGTAAGAATTACAGTACACGTAATTTATTTTTATCTGTATTTTAGTAATGGAGAAACGATTTCTACTTTCTATTACTTATCTTTTAGTTCTTAAATTGAATTGAACAATACACGACTGCAATGCAATGTATGGGCATTTTTTAAAGTCAAAATAATTAATTATTGATAATGAATAACTTAAATGACGTTTTAATTTATAGTACATATTTTCTACACAACTGTCATTTACTACATAAATCATTTAACTAAATCATTATTTTTAATTTTTAATAATATTTCTTCTGACGACTGAAAAATCAGTATAAAGAAAATTAAATATAAAGGATCAAATTAGTTTGAGAACAGTATAATTGCGTGAAAAATTAGTGCACTTCTTGTCAGTGTGACGTAAGATTTTTCTATGATTGCACTTGTCGCCACTAGAACACGCATGTCAAATCATACATCCTAGATTTGAACTTTTTACCATGCGTGAAAAAACTCAATTTTCTGTGACCAAATTCCTTGTTCGTTGGTTCTACCAAGGCATAAGGCATAAGCTTATAGAGATGTGAAACTTGATAATCTAAGCGATAAAAATTATAATTTCGTTCTTGCACGTCTTGTCTTCACTCATCTTCAGTGAAAATGGTTGAGCAGAGCGGAGAAGAGACATGCGGATTCCGGAGCGCGTTTTTCGAGAAGACCTCAGAAAGAAAAGTCTCTGCACATCTCCGTTTTGTTGGAACTAACCTGCCCGCTATGCCAGCTTTTAAGGTTTAATTTGCCAGCTACTGAGCTTATTGGATGTTTTATTGTGCGAATCACAGAAGTTACCATCACCACATCGGTTTCTGCTGATGGTTTTTTCAGTAGTTTGGCCAAGTATGAAGGTACCACAACTTATCGCAGTAAAGAAGTAGGTATTATTGAAATATCCTGACAGTCTTTCAGCCATTTGGACTACTAGATTCTTATCCTAGTCCTTATGACAATAATAAAAGAAGAATAAAGGTACAAGTCCAAGATGGACTGCAGACCGCAAACTGCAACCGCAAACTGCAAACCTCTATGAAATCTATGAAAGCCGCAGTGGGGATTTCATAGAGATTTGCTGTTTGCGTTTGCAGTCTGCGGTCTGCACAGTCCATCTTGGACTTGAAAATTCTTCTTCTTCTTATCGTGTCGACAACAAACCTACACAGTGTCAGCCCAAAACTCCGCCACAAAAGTGGCGTTCTCAGCATCAGCCATTTGGACTACTGTATTAGGTATTATCCTATTTAACCTTATGATAATAAAAAAGAAGAATAACGAAAGAAGTTTACCTGTCTACGGGCGGCGGCAACGGCGCCATCATGTGTGGGTGAGGCATGGGCGGGTGTGGGGGGTGCGGGTGGAAGGGAGAGCCTGGGGGCGCGAACCCAGGCCCTGGGAAGTGGCCTTGCTGGGGCGGCGGGCCTGGCGGGAACCCGCCGCCTGAGCCGGGCCGGGCTGAAGGGCTGCCGAAGGGGCCCGGCGCCGCGTACGGGCCCGCAAACCCCGGCCCGGGCCCAGGGGTTGAGGGCGCGGGGGACGCGGCGAACGCGGGCCCCGCGGGGCTCCCCGCCGGCGGCGCGAAGGAGGGGAAAGGGGGCTCGCTGTTCCCGCTCTTCCAGGCGGCTGGAACGCCGCCCGCGCCTTCATCGAGCGCCGGCACGCGCCTCTGGAGTCCCACCGACATCTGTGGAAGAGAGCTGGTTAATCACACGTCTCACCATGGAGAACCTTGAGAGGGATCTTCATGACTCTTTGATTTTGGGCTTTGAACGAGGGTATTCAAAATGGGCCTTCAATGGAGAAGATCCTTGAAATCAAGGGGGAGCTTCACGACTGTTTCGATATTGGGTTTCCAACGAGGGAATTCTTATCAAGTAGGTATACGATACGCCTGTGGTGAATCCAGTTAAGTATACAGTTCTGCCAATCCTCACGTTATCCCTCTTTCATTCTTCCTAGTCTTTGAATCTAGAAAGTAATTGACCTGGTCAAAAATTGGTCACTATGAATGAATGGATTTAAGGCTAAGGTCTGGCTGGTAAAGACTCTAGCTAACACAATTTACTGTATTGACTTCAAAACACTGTGTGTAAATAAATCTAAATTAATCAATACTTGGATTCAATATTTCTCTGGATTCACCACTGCATCCACTTCATTGCTTATACCTAGGATTCAGGGGCAACTAACGCCTCCTCCGCATTTTCCTCTTATTCATCGAGATTCTTCGAGATTCCAGCAGCAGCAACAGGAACAAGTTGCTTTGAAAATACGGAAGCGGCGTTAGAAAACCATAATCTTATCTTATTTCATCAAAAGAAACAGAAAAATGGTGATTGCTTTATGGGGGCTAGATCTATGCCGAGCTATGTCTCATCAGGGAACGATATTTACTAAGTTCTAGAGGCCTGGTACTTGGTTAAATGAACAACATCTTCATCATTATTATTTTCCATTTCACGAAAACTGCACGACGGTCGCAGAACTCGCAGATTTACCGGAGGCAGTGAAAGATTTGGTCATACTTATATTCCAATTGACTTTTCGCTAATATAAATATCAATGTGTCAGTAGTTGACTACTACCAGTCCAGCAGTCGACGGGAATCGAACCACCGCATCTCAATAGGTGCTACATCCCATGTCGCTTGTCGCTTTAAAGAGATAATGTATCATTCATTATCATCATCATCTTCTCCACTGCAAAACATGATCCTCTTATTTGCTAGAGTCAATGGAGGATTTGGCCTACACTCCCTATGCTGGGGGGAAGTTAGGGGCTTGATATTAATGTTCTTTTTTTATGCAAGACAAGGCAGGTATTTGACCGCAATCGCACCTGGTGGTAATTTCTTCCTAAGGTCGCCTCTTACGACATCCACGGGAAGAATGGATACAGGTGAGATATGGGAAAATGTATCAATAACGGATATATTTCTAAGAATAACATTGCAATTTTACGTTATTATTATATTCCAAGATTGCGTTCGATGCAGCGCTTTCTATATTTAGTTATTGCTAGATGCAATCTACTGGAGTGACGTAAGCGTAAGTACGACGTTCATACAAGCCAGTCAGGTACAATAATTAGGCAACCAGTTGTTAAATTTAGTATTTGTGGCTCACTGGATGTAGTACGCTTGAGTGATAGTCGATTTTGCATGATAACTGTATCAAATTGTGTTAAATTCTGAAATGTTTTCTCAATGTCGCAGGGATAGAAGATAGTAAAACCTGTGAGAAGTTTTAGGTCTGTCGATTCATAACTTTAGTAGCTGTCAAAACGCTCGTATGCGTCATCCATAGTTTACTGGAGATCCATGTGACGTCACTTGTTTCTTTCGAACATTCAAAGAACTCGTCGTTCGTTCGTTTCAGCCAAATTAATGTCGTTCACTGCTATACAAAGGCCTCCCCCAAGCATTTCTATAACGACCGGTCCTACGCTGCCCGTATCCAGGCTCTTCGGTTCACCAAATCGTCGTTCCACTTAGTGGGGTGGGGTAACTTACTGAAAATATAAGTTGTTTACATCTGATAAAGCTAGGGTTCCCAACCCTCCCGGATTGCCCGGGAGACTCCGGAAATAATGGTTAACCTCCCGACCTCCCGGAGAGCAATATTTTCTCCGGTATTTCTAAAAATTAAATGCATCCATTGCTGCTCATACTTGTTTATAAATTTTATCTTTAAAAGAATCAATCACATGGACCAGCATTACTAAACTCCAGGAATTATTAAATATTGACATAGATAGTGACAAATTGTACGATGAGGTTGGACTTTTGCGTGAAGTGCAACCACATCTTATTGAAGAAAATCGAGTGGATTTACGCTGGATTGACTTCTTTTACGAAATCGAAAGACAGAAATCCCTGTCCTGAATTAAAAAAAATGGTCACGTTTGTTCTTTCCAATCTTGTCTCTATTAATGCTTCATTCGAGCGCGTATTCAGCGTGATGGGGCAACCCCCCCCCCCCCCCCACAATTCTCCCGGGTTGGTCCTTTCAAGAGTTGGCAACCCTAGATAAAGCCTCCAGGTACTATCAGTAATAATGCCCTCAATATTACTGTAATTCCTTCCTTCGGTGATATGACGTTCTAAATCTCCCAACATTCAAATAACCTTGTGTCACACTATAGCCGTCATTCCATCATCATTTCAACCCCCACATTATCTTTAAAGAAAGCTATAGCGGTTAATTCAGTCAGTACCTGTGGGTCTAGACAAAGTGCCATTATAATCGCAAACCAGTCGAAAAGTGGTCGAAAAGCCCCTTTTTTGTATGGAATTTGACGGATTCGATTTTCGATTCGATCAAAAAGTGCGTTTTGTCTAGGGGGGCTGAGGTCTGGGAGAGGTGACATTGACATATTTTGACGTGATAGAGCATACAAATCTGAATAAAAGGGACTTCTTGGCGGGAATCTGAAGCGTCACGTTAGCGGTTTTGTTTTATTTCCTCAAATTCGTGTTTAGGCGACTATTAATGTGTAATAATGGTGGGTTATTAACCATTGAGTGTTCGTGAACGTGCATGAGTGTGGGCGAGTGAAGCAAAACAGTGCATCGTGATTCTTCGGGTTCTCTCAAGTTGTCCATAGGAGGTCTCAGTAAAGCACCACAACTTTACTGAGACTCAAAGGGTGGGAAGGGGTATCATCTATCATCCTTCATTATATCATTACTTGATCTCATTTTGTAACTCGTATCACATAAATACTTGAAAATGGCACAAATCAAGTCGACCTCGACGTGTATTGCCAACATCATCAAAAAATAATCTGAAGTAAAGTTTCGCTGACGCTTGACGTCCCAAAAACACCCTCCCGTGCCGCTCCCATACCTCAGGCACTGACTGGGTTAAGAGCTAAACCTATAATCATTGTATCAGTTCTGTCTAGGACAGTGGTTCCCAAACTTATTTAGTCTACTAAATTACTTGTTACGTTAATCGATTGTTCCTGGGCGAGCTGCGCCCTCTACCTCAACTGGCATCCGCAGAATACCAGTGGTCGTGATGCGCTCTCTGCCGTCACGGCGTATACTGAGCTGATGCCATTTTGGTGCTTGTAGACGTTCTGTTGTCTAGTTTTAGTTATTATCTTGCTGTGTACCTACTTGCATCGAATAAATATTTTTCTTTCTTTCTTTCTTTCTTTCTTTCTTTCTTTCTTTCTTTCTTTCTACTGCCCACTTTGAGAATAAATTCTTTTTTAGCGCCCCCCATTTTTGTAGTCAAGAGTCGAGCTCAGTCGATGTCTAAGAGTCCTCCTAGTAGACGACGCCTCCCAAGCCTCTACACAACGTCCCGACTTTTTTTCTAGGTCTCTTACCGCCCCCCTAAAAGCCTGCAGCGCCCACAAGGGGGCGTTATAGCCCACTTTGGGAAAGACTGGTCTAGGACTTAATGGTTTCAACCACCTAATTCTGACATGGCAGCATAATAATGTCTGGTATAACTGACACCACATCAGACCAGACACTGTTATTGCAAACAACACCCTATTCCAACCACTTAAGATGCTATTGTTAAGGTTGATCTGCGTATCACCGAGTTATCACTGGGCAAAGTCCGACCACCTTGATTACGATTAATTAGATGTAATTAAAACAAGAGATGGATTGGTCTGTGATTACAATGTCATGCGTTGACATTGTTTACATTTTAATTTGTATATTTTAGCTATTTCAGCAGGACAGTGCATCCAAAAATAAGACTAGCTTTTGCCGAGTTCCTAGCGACAATAACATTTTTAAATATGTTTTTTTCCAGCATCTGGGCCCACTCTAAGATCTAGAGTTGATTTTAGTTGATTTGTTGTTTAATTTATTAATAAAAACATTGAAGTTAGGCTCAGTTGCTGGGAGAAAAAATATTTAAAAATTCAATCCAGCTACTTGGCCCGTGGACCAAGCTAAAAGTCGCTGGAAGACTCCTTTTTCCCGCGTGAGTTTTGGTCTGTCATTAGCAGGTTCAACATGAGCCCACAATATTTGTTCGTTATCCCAAATAAAAATATTTTTTTATCCCAATTGGAAATTATAAAAAACAAAAATTACGGGCTATCAAAAAAAATGTCCAACTAGTAAAATTTTTTAAGGATCAAAATCGTTCGCGCGCGCCGTTGATCGTCCAAAAATGTAACGATAGAAAAACTGAATGTCCCTAATATTTTTTTAAGGTTTAATATTTAGTTAGCCTAGGCACAGACCACCTATTTTTAGTTGGCCAATAGTTGGGTCGGGCATCTATGAAAGTGCGCACATTACACCGATTTGTTATCGGCCGATTCTCCATACAAATTAGAATCGGGCCCAATTATCGGCCAACTAAAAGTCGGTGGTCTGCGCCGCCTTGACTTAGGCAAGAAATAAGGATCGATCCCCAGTCTATTACTTTACTGAATTTTGGTCTATCCTGTCCCCCTTCTAAAAAACCAGGAAAAAGTCTCTGTGTAAAAATCAAAAATTTCTACGACATCACTCTTCTCTATGGAGTCGGAATCTAGGTCCTATGCAAAAGGCCCGTTTTCACAAACATTACTATGAGGTATTGAGGTCTCACAGTGCGCGGGTCTCACAGGGTGACACACGAACTTATCACAGAGCTCTATTCAACGCTTTGTGTTCAATTTGCTGCTTGACTTAAGCAAGCATCGTTTGTGAATACGAGCTTAATATTTTTGTTTAACCATAGAATAATAATAATTACATGATGATACCTACTACTACATGTTTAACTTTCATTAGAAATTGGCAAAAACACTTTCGAGAAAAAAACTGTCACGTTGACAAGGCGGTTTTTCGTAAAAAGAGCGTAACTGAAAATTATTATTTTTACAATAATTGTTTACCAAATCGTCCTTTGAGCTTTCGCGCTAGCTGGTAAGTACTGAAACTGGTAACCATGGCAACCAATTGGTATTTCGATTTCAAATCAATTTTTTTGTCGGCCGTTTGGTGTAGTGGTTCAGAACGGTCTACTATGCCGAGAGGTCCCGGGTTCGATTCCCGGCCGGGCAGAAATTGAAATGATGAATTTTAATTTCTGTGACGGGTCTGGGTGTTACTATGTATAATAATAATATGTATGTATTTAAAAAAAAAGTATATAAGTAGTATATCCGTTAAGCTAGCACCCATAACACAAGCATATTAATTGCTTACTTAGGCGCTGTGTGAGATTGTCCAAAGATATTTATTTATTTATTTACTACTAGCTTTCCGCCCGCGGCTTCGCCCGCGTGGAATTTTGTCTGTCACAGAAAAACTTTATCGCGCGCGTCCCTGTTTCAAAAACCAGGATAAAAACTATCCTATGTTCTTTCCCGGGACTCAAACTATCTCTATGCCAAATTTAATCAAAATCGGTTGCGAGGTTTAAGCGGGAAAGCGTAACAGACAGACAGACAGACAGACAGAGTTACTTTCGCATTTATAATATTAGTTGGGATTTCTTAAAAATGACACCCTCTTATTCATAGAGCAAATAATTAACAGTGCTAAAATAGCCTATGGAATGTTCTGTCATTTTTATGCCCGATTCAACCAAACTTTTAACCGAGAATAACTCCCGGTATAACTGCAACATTGTCAGTTTCAGTATGGGAAATATGTCAAAACGTCGATTAACTGACGATTTATTCTGAGACTAATATTTACTCTTTTTTGGTCGAATCCTCCCTTAGTCAATGTTTATTTCGTTGCGACGAAAGAAATAAAACGACGATATCGAATAGTAGGATATAGTGATTTCCAGGAAATATTGTGTGTGTCATTATTATATTTTTTGATTATTATGGTCTACTTTCTTTTTTAGATTATAAAACTTTAAATCATATAAGCGACAGATCTTATCCAACAGCGTATTATTTTTATTAACAAACGTATAATGGCGTCTCATTGTTCTTGTGTGAAAAATGTGTAGGGTCTTCAGATAAAATAGGTTCATACAAATACTTCTTTCGTTGTTTCTTTTCTATCTTAAAGCTTGCTAAACTATTGTATTGTTTTAGTATGTGAAAATTATATCCATCAGGCTTGGGATTGTGATGTTCTTTGACGTGATTTTGACGTTCGTGGATACGGGAATTGACAGATGACGAAAGATGTTTAAGTTTGAATTAGATCTTCTATAGTTTATCAGATATCATGTTAGCTGCTGTAAACTTAAATGTGCAATGATTTATTAAAAATTTCAAAATAGACCAAATAAGTAAAAGGAAATTACTGTCATTTTTGAGCTCGATTCATAATCGATGATTTATTTTCAACTAGCGGCCGCCCGCGACTTCGTACGCGTGGATCCTGTTTTACCCCCTTCATCTATTTTACGCGGTTTAGATTTTTTCATACAAATGTTTTTTTCCGCTAACTCCCGTTCCCGTGGGAATTTTGCAAAATCCTGTTGTAACTAAGCTTTAAGTTTACTAAGGTACCTGCATGCCGAATTTCAAGCGTCTAACTTAAGCGGTTCAGATTTTTCAAACAAAACGATTTTCCCGCTAATTCCCATTTCCGTGGGAATTCCTAAGTATCCTATAACCTGCCCAGGAGTATGAAGAATAATTGTACCAAGTTTCGTTAAAATCCGTCGAGTAGTTTTTGTTTCTATAAGGAACATACAGACAGACAGACAGACAGACAGACAGACAGACAGACAGACAGACAGACAAAAATTTTACTGATTGCATTTTTGGCATCAGTATCGATCACTAATCACCCCCTGATAGTTATTTTGAAAATATATTTAATGTACAGAATTGACCTCTCTACAGATTTATTATAAGTATAGATTAGAACCATTGAATTTATGCCTGGCGCCGTTTTTTCATCGTCATTCGATCGTGGCTCAAAAAATTCATATTCTCATTAAAATTGCGTCATTTCAGTCATCTCTTGATAAAAACCTTGCATAGCAAATCTAAGAAAAGACAGAACTATCTGCCTTTTTTCATTCTCAAAAACAACTTTTGGTGTAGCAGTGTATTCAAAAGCACTATACCGTTGTAAGTATTAAATTCATATTTAAATATCGTCGACTTCGGTGAAATTTAAAAATCGTCGCCATTCCCTGAATTAGGAGCATTTTCCTGTCTATGAGTGGCATGTTTAGTGGGTTGACTACAGCTTAAAAATAAAATTTCATTGAAAGACGCTTTTCCTGAATCCAGGATGTCATTTTTAGTTTATTATTCATAGACATTACTATGGTGATGAAATGATAATTTTAGCCATGTTGACACAAATAGCAATCGTATTTTACTTCATTCTGACAAATGAATATACTTAGATGGTCATGTTGACTCATGTTTACAGATTTGTTAGGTTTATACGAGAACTTCTGGGTCATTTCTAGACTGTTATCCCATTCATTAGTTCTTGTGTTGATAAGTATAATATTGATAAATTGGCTTACTTTATTGCAAGCATTCACTTCACAAGCATCCATCATAGCTAACCACAGATTGAAGGTAAATTTGGGTTTATCGATCTAAGAATTTGGGTATCTGTATGAGGCAGATTTTAATGACGTAAATCATAATTTATCTTTGGTTGCTTCATCACTGGGATTTCGATGATAACTTTGCTTTTGATGATTCATTTACCTTTGGCTATTTTGTTTTAATGTTTGATATTTTTACACATGGATTGCTCCCTCTCATTTTGTTCCTCTTGGTAGTACAATTTGAATGTTTAATGTATTATTTTGGAGACTTATTAAGACGTCCTTATCAATTAACATTAACGATAATAATGTCTAGACTGTTTTAAGTTTTCCATTGCAGACTTTATTGAAGATCGGCAATCGTATTCCATTTTGCGGGAATCTCTGAATGATTATCCAGGTAATTCATTCGTCATAATCTGTCAAGTAGAACAGTTCCTTCGTCATTTTGTTTGTTATTCTCTAAGCGAAGTGATCAACGTAACTCTGATGTTATTGGCAATTTTAGTTTGATATTTATTTCTTATACGGCCAATGTCATCGACACAATGCATCGCGTTGTTTCACTCAAGGTTGAGGATCGCTCATTATTATTTAACTTGCAGCCAACTCAATAGAACTAAGGGCTTATTTTTGTCAGCGCCAATTACTTGATTAGCACATTATTTAGCTTCATTATTTCGTGTAATACTGTTTTGCAACAACTTTCTTGCCTTTACTTCAATTGGCTGTTCTGAACTCGTTGACAATGTTAATTTGAATTGAACTGGTGGTTTTTATACATCCGTATAGGCATTCTTGTTTGTTATTGTGGATAATTTTTTGCTAAACCATGTAGGCTCGCTCTGTCTGGCTATAATGTACTTGCCCAAACAAGTTTTGAGGTTACCTAAACTGGACGTGCTCTAGTTTATAACTTGCTCGGTAGCACTTTATTGATCCTCCTGGTTTTGATGTAATATAATTTTCCATTGGTTATAAACAAACCATCAACTCGGACCAAAACATTACCATTTTGTCAATCCATTCTATCGTGGATGTTGTATTTCTCTGCTGTAGCTGTTAAGGCGTTGTTTTATAAACAAAGCCTTTTTCCGGTTATAAAAAACGACCAAAAAAACAACTGTGATTCAACCAAAACGCGAGTTCACTCGCAACCGGGTACCAGGCGCTCATAACCTACAAGATATCGATTCAAATAGCATTCCCTCCAAAACGCGCTACAAAAAAGGGGTTATCGATGAGACCTGCTCGGCTTAGAAAAAAAGCAGTGAGAATACGAGGGATAGTCCTCCGTACCTCGGTTCGATCAGCGGCCGCCCCACTCGAATATTAGGTGCTGGGCCGATCTAGCCCGCATTTCTGCTTAAACACAACAGAAAACACAGAAGCTGCTCACTCCACTTACGATGTTGCGGTTGCTTTTCTTCCTCATACGAACATTGCACGATCCATTTAACTATTCTAAAACTACACTACACAGCCACAAGGGTCCTCGCTCTCACTGACATGGAGTTTTTTTTTGGGTAGCGTTGTCGCGAGCGTCTACCGGCCGGCGGGTTAGAAAAAAAGAAGCGCGCAGGTAAGAAACGCTGCGGCGTCAGTGCACGCGGTATTAGTACCAATTTACATTATTTCACTGATTAGTTGAGGAAAAATAGTACGATTTACGAATGCGATCCTAGCATTTCGTCGCGACGGTGTGATCGCTCGGCGTGAATCGCTCGATCGCACTGGTTTTGGGGAGCGTCGGCCAGCCGCGGGGGTTGGGGAGGGGGCCGCTCTGCTTTACCGACCCCGCTGGCAATGGCTGTTTCGCCGACATTGGAGCGGACAGGTGGCGTGGTCAAATTCCAATGAAGCGCTTCAAGTAAGACTGGATAGTTTTGCGTTTCGGCTGGAGATTGCTGCTAGCAAACTTTTTTTGAATCAAGTATTGTTTTTATATTATTTCAGATTTTATTAAAATATAAAAACAAAAATTAAAAATTTTCAGTTGCACCGTTTTGCACCGAACATCACGAGTTTTCGATTTTATTCGTTTCTTTTAAATTGATTTTGTTTTGATTTTTAAGATCTAAATTGATTTTAATGAATTGAAAATGATTAGAAATTGAAATAAAATAAGCTAGGTAATTTACAAAGCAGTCTGTTAAAAATACAGTTAGATTTTCTCACGTTCTGTGTTGGTTGCTTTGGTCTTCTGACATAAATTCTTCTTGGCCTCTTACATAGGTACTTACTAACTTATTACTTATTGAAACGCCTAGCTAGAAGGTACCTAATGACGAGCGTAGGGTAGTAGGTACACTACCTACCTAAAGTAAAGTCTTAAACCTATGATATTTGTATGAAGCGGCCCCGGAGAGTTTGACGAAATATCGATATGTAATAGTGATTCTGCATAAAATTTGGTCCATATTATTTGCCTTTTATTTAAGTAGGTAGGTATTTCGCTGTTGTTATCCGTTTATAGCGAATGTGTAGTTATTCAGTGCGATTTTAGTTTTACAACAAAAACCATATTTTCTCTAGGCCCACTGATTATTTATTTCTTAGTTTTGTAGCCCATGTTTTGACAACAATTCCACGCAGTGTTTATGAACTACGCCATAGGTCACGGGGTTTGATTCCCACAGAAGACAAACTTGAGCTAGTAGGTTGGGAGTTTGGGACTAGATGGCGCTGTATTTAAAGTACCTACACGTCCATGTAGCTGGCGAAAGTCGAAACACAAAAACTAGTATTATTAAATTAACTGTGAAATGAAACCAAAGCAGAAGAAACTGTAATGAAAAATTTAAGCAAATTGAAATCCCATTCCACCGATCACGATTCTTATGATACAGCCAGAAGGTAGACAGACGGACAATAGAGTTTTAAAATAGGGTTTCCCGTTTCTACCCTTTGAGTACGGAACCCTAAAAACAGCAAATTAGTCCAGGCGAATTAAAATATTTTTTATGAATATTAACAGCCTTTTTGGTTAAATTCTGTGGTTAATTAGAGCCTTTGCTTTAAAGGACAGTGCCAATCCATGTATGGAAGTTGGACCAAGTGCTGCCCAGAATGAAACCATAGTGCATTTTGTTCCTCAGGCCAATACTAATTTATAAACCGGAGCGCACTGAAATATGTCCCTGGAGTTAAGAGAAAAAAAGAGTTTTGTTTTGAATTTTTTACATACAAAATATCATCGATGTATACGTACTAAGCATAGGATTTGGCGATTGTGGCATTAAATAACACTCGATATGTTGAACTTAACCATACTGCATCCGTACACCTTACTTTAGTACGACTTCGACATTCTTTATAAGCGATCAAACGCTGTTGCAGTAGTTTGGTTACTTGACAGAAATTAATTNAAATTAAAATTGTCTCTACCTGTAGCGGAGAATAATGTTGTGGCTGGCCTTTGTTCAAACGATCATAGCAAATGTTGTGATAGGGATAGAGACATGCGATTTTTAGTTTTACAAAGATAATACGATAGAGAATAATACAAAGTAATAAAAACCACCAGTTATAGGGGCATTTTTTGGAGAAATTTATCAAATAACCAAAAAAACACGAATTTTTAAGCAGATTTTTTTCAAAAATTATCATTTTTTATTATTTGTTTACCTTTTTTGTGTATTTTATGTATTTTTTTAGTATTGCCTGTTATTTAGCATTATTACTGTTTTTATTTTATCAGGATATACCGCTTAGTTTAAAAGTTATTACGTTTTCTTTACAATAAGTAATTGGAAGAAAAAAAATTCTATAAAAAATTAAAAAAAAAATCTCAAAAAATTTTTGACCTCTTTTTTGTCGATAAAAATAGGTCTAGTTTCATCTATTTTCATATTTTCATGTACATTTTAACGTGACTCACGCTGTATAGGGATGTACAACACGACGTATGGATAATCGATTAAAATCATCGAAATGTTAATCTGTATTATCATAAAAGGTATTTCCTAAAATCTCATAATTATCCAAGTATTATTTAAATATTTTAAATTATTACTCTGTGGTTATTATTCTTTCCTGTTCAAATAACACAAAACTTATTGCATGCATAATAAATAATATGCGTTTGCATTGCATCTAGTAGAATTTTTTAATGTTATTAATTTTAGACTAAACAATGTGTGCTGTGCTGTGAAGCAAGCTGTATAAAGGTTTCACATATTGAAACGTTTTGTAAGTGATATGAATACCATTGTACGTTTTAACTGATAAATCGATGTTTCAGATTAATATAAATTATTACGTGTCACTTCCCTATAAAAGTCAGAGACGTCAAATCGATCTGTTCAATGCGGCAACATTATACAAGTACGTGAGGGAGGACGCCACTTCCAACCAAAGTTGTCAAATCCTCATAATTTTGCGGTATAATTCATTAGTTCCAATTTTCGTCACGTTCACCAATAACTTGGTTGCACTTTATTGACGTGGGTCCAGCGGTGTCGGTCCTGAAAGCCGACTGCTGAAATTGTTGAAATTATCAGAAAAAGATAACTGCAACGTGTCAACTAAACATTTATATTAATTCTTCGGCGGTGTAGGCCGTCGTTGATCATGGTTCGGAACAGAAAATCTGGGAATGCCCAGCCGAAACCTGCTAACAATAACGAGAGTAGAGATAGCAGTTCTGGCAGGTCCGTTAGCACTCAGGGGAACAACGATTATTCATGGCTGAGCGGAGTGTTGCGATTCACGACAGTATGGAAATCCCGTCTAGGGTTCATGAGTTTGCTGGTCGCTATTTATGTGGGCGCTTTGGGATATTTGGAGACGCGTGTGAACACTCCATTTGATGATAAAAACAAGGTTGGTATCAGTTCATTTTGCCTCTGTCTGCCGGCAACTTTTTGGTTACATTATCTTTTTGTTCGTTAATTTTGGTACTAGTATAAGTACAGCATGCATTTCATGCCTGTAAATTTGCTATTTATCAAATGGAGTCAGTCGTCTTTTTAGTAATGCCCAAGAAATCCTTACCTGCTTGCAGGTGGTCCAAGAAACCGGTTTGGCCATACCGGAACGGTACTGGGGGTCGTACCGTCCAAACGTGTATTTCGGCATGAAGACCAGAGAGCCGCAGTCACCGGTCTTCGGGATGATGTGGTACAACGTAGGCCTGAGGTCACAAAAGGAGATAAGGTTGGTAAAATGAATTATCTATCTATTTATTTATAGCTGTAGGCTAGTGCTCTACTGAGTCAGTGCCTGAGATATGAAGCAGTAGAAACAGAGCATACAAATCTGAAGCACACTTGTAGCTAAATAAATAAATAAATAATAAATAAATAAATATTCTTAGACATTTTACACTGCGCTTCTAGTCCCAAACTAAGCAAAGCTTGTACTATGGGTACTAGACAACGGATATAAACATACTTAAATACATACTTATCTATATATATAAAAGAAAGTCGTGTTAGTTACTCCGCTTATAACTCAAGAACGGCTGAACCGATTTAGCTGAAAATTGTCAGGGAGGTAGTTTAGAGCCAGGAGAAGGACATAGGATACTTTTTATCTCGTTCGAAATTTAAAAAAAAGTCTGCTTATTTATTGCCATTAAGGCGGAACAAAGTTCGCCGGGTCAGCTAGTTATTACATAGAAAACACCCAGTCCAATACAAACAAATACAGTCGTGGTCAACTAATTAGGGACGTTATATGACTTAAACACAAGACCGTCTCTCCAGTCCGAAAAAAAAATCTTCACGAGGCTTTGTAGCTTGTGCCTATTAATAACAAGTAATTTGGCTAGTATTCTAAATATTTAAAGGCCAGAAAAGAAACTAGCTAGTTGCGATCAATATTTTTAAAATAAATAAATCATTGCCACCTACACATTTATTGACCTAGGGATGGACAACTAATTAGGGACACGTAACACTTTCACTGTAAATGTAAATAAATTGGAAATTATTTAAGTGTTTATTACATAAAAAGTTTTCATTAATAAATATAGAATACAAAACAAAATCATCAAACGTATTTTTATAACCAATATGGTTGGTTTTGTTGGTTATAACCATTTGACATCGGCGCGGCATGGATGCAATCAAATCATTACAGGTTTCTAAAGAAATATTATTCCAAACACCATTAAATGCCACGAAAAGCTGATTTTTAGTGCCAGTACGTTGAGCTGCAACTTTTTCCTTCGTTTCATACCATAAGCTCTATAGGGCTTAAGTCTGAGTTGTTTTCGGGCCAATCTAGTACCGTCACTGACTGTTGCGCTAGGAACGATTAAACAGAGTACGCGGTATGTTTTGGGTCGTTATCGTGTTGAAATGTTCATGAGACTGGTAAGACTTCTTCAGCATACGATAGCATCGTTTTCTCCAATATTTATTTGTATTGGAATTGCTCAAGTTTAACTTCAGTTCTTTTTATAGGTTACACTCTATGTCCAGAAAAACAGCCCCAGATTTTTATATTGCCGCCTGTATGTTTCACCTGCTTCTTCGTTTACTTTGGTATCATTTCGGACTTTACAGGTCGTCGCACGTATTGTCTGTCATCGGATGAAATAAGATTTATCTTGATCTCATCAGAAAACAGCACATTTATCCATTGAGCAAAAGCCTAATGTCCATACTTTCTTGCAAACGCCAATCTTGCTTCTTTGTGTTCCATCTTCAGTACCTAGTGGAACTTTTCGAGGAACTCTTCCTACAAGCTTTGCCTCCACCAGTCGCCTTCTGACGGTCCACGCAGATACTCCAGCAGTCGGTTCTGGTCCAAAAATCTCGCTCTTGATCAGAACGAAACCCTTAAAGGGATCTCTCTTTGCGAGAGTGACCATTCTGCGATCATCTTGTGGGGTTGTTTTTATTGGCCTCTTCCTTCTAGGCATACTTTCTGTGGTTTCATGATTTTGAAATAAGCCACTGCATCGTAGATTCATGTTTTTGGAACATTTCAGATGATCTGCAATTTACCGGTATGGCCAACCACACTGAAAAAGATTGATTATAACTTAGCGCATTGTTGCTTTTCTTTCAGCCCACACCTTTAATAATTTGATGAGTTTTTAACTCGCAAGATAAGAATATCGCTTTTCAAATTGACGCCGAAATTACAAATGAACAGAATAAAAGTTATTACTTTTTATTTTTTTTAATTTAGAAGGAAAAACTTAAGCGTCCCTAATTAGGTGGCCAGACCGTCCGTACCATAATTACCGATTCATGTGATTTGATTAAGATTTTTTATTAAGTTAGTAAGTTTTTTTCTTGTTATTGTATTCTGTTAAATAGAGTACTTGATAGTCAATATGTTTACAAAGTAACAGCCAGTAATATTGAATGAAGCTCACAATAATAGGATATGAACACTTAGTATTGCTTAGTATTCTATCTGTCCCTAATTAGTTGACCACGACTGTATGTTCATGCACATAAATGTTTGTACTGTGCGGGAATCGAACCCGCTACCTCCGGAATAGTAGTCCGTTTCGAACCACTACACCAAACGGCCGACTAAACTAAGCTTATGTTTGACGTTCCAAAACACGCTCCCTTTCCTCAGGCACTGACTGAGTTGAGCACCAGATCTTTTGACAGCTAATTTATGTAAAGCCCGGTCTGTGAGCACGTAGAATTTTGTCCAATGACCCCAAGCTACCCATTATTATATTGCTGTCGCGACTGTGCGACGGGCGCCCGCAGTGAGTGAGCGAGCGCGACAGCAACATAATTACGCGCGAGCGATAAGGATGGGTAGCTTGGGGTCATTGGACAAAATTCTACGTGCTTGCAGACCAGACTATAGGCTTTTGTAAAGCCTTTATATTTCTAAAGAACTTCTCTTTATGTTTTAGACACTGGTGCGACCAAGGTGATAACCTGCCCACATACGGCTGGCTCCGTCACGATGGGGTCTCATTCGGAGAGCAACTCATATCGGATCCGCCTCACACGATTATGACGTCGTTTATTAAGACGATGGGGGGAGAGCATGGCGGCCATTGGACGGCTAGGATCAATGTTACTGCTAAAGTAAGTATACATGTGACTTATGCCCGTATTCACACACAATGCTTGCTTAAGTGAAGTAGCAAATCGAACCTGTAGCGTTGAATAGAGCTGTGTGTTTGGTTCGCATGTCTGCTTATTCTCAGCGAAACAGTGGTAGGGTTACAGTAAAACTGGGACATGTAAAACTGCTCTTTAAAAGCCTATTGATAAAAATTAATGTCTTGACGCTTAATAATTAGCCTTCTCAACCTAACTGGCCAGCGTGGGGGGTAAAAACCAAATCCTTCATTGCCTTTGGTGAATTAGAGAGGGTCGTTCTCGTTGTACTGCAGTGGAGACTAAACGAACCTGTAACCTGTACCAGTTGTTGTCACTTTGCCATCCGGCCTGAATAGCCAAAAAATTAAGCCCTTATATGTATAGTCTGGTCTGTATAGAATTTTGTCCAATGACCCCAAGCTACCCATCCTTATCGCTCGCGCGTAATTATGTTGCTATCGGGCTCGCACACTCACTGCGGGTGCCCGTCGCACAGTCGCGACAGCAATATAATTACGCGCGAGCGATAAGGATGGGTAGCTTGGGGTCATTGGACAAAATTCTACGTGCTCACAGACCGGGCTTTAGTTTGAAACCTTTCAATAAAAGATAGATGAACAGATGCCTCACTATCAAGAGCTACCGTATTAGCGCTTACCAGTTGGCGCCACTGTATAATAAAAGGTTTGGTCGGATACGCTAGTTGCTAAGACAGTGCTATCCGGCTCGAAGGACCAAAAACTAAGCTCTTATAGTAAATTTGAAAACTTTCGCTAAAAGATGCCTACGTTAGTTGCTAACACAGTGCCATCCGGCTCGAAGGACCAAAAACTAAGCTCTTTAGATATGAAGTTTGAAAACTCAGTAAAAGCTTAACGGTAATTATTTGTCTTATATTCCAGAACAGCAAGAAATCCAACTTGATGCTGGTCTGGTACGCAGCGTTGGACGAGTCTCTGTACCCAGTGGACCCCGAGGAGATCCCGGAGTCTCGTCTGTGGATGGAAGACGGCGGCCTGCAGGGCTTCACGCCTGAACTGCTAAACTTTAGGATCAACTTCACCGTGCTGACAGGTTCGATCAACATAAGTAGCCTTAAAACTCATAATACTCATTTATTTATCATAAAAAGCACTTTTACACGTCCCAATATTAACCCTACCACTGCTTCGGGACAATAAATGGGCCATTGCTGAGAAGAAGCAGCGCAAGAAACTCAGTCACTATTGTCAGCCATCTTTTCAAGGGTTTACAATGACGTTCAGAAGTCGTCCCATTGAAAAACAGTTCTAAATCCGTATTCACAAGGGTCATTTTCGATACAACGATTACTCGATAGGATCGCAACTCAGCGATTTGTTGTCATTGAAGTTTTGTTACGTCGTCGCATTGAAAAACAGTTCTAAATCCGTATTTACAAGGTTCATTTTCGATACAACGATTACTCGATAGGATCGCAACTCAGCGATTTGTTGTCATTGAAGTTTTGTTACGTCGTCGCATTGAAAAACAGTTCTAAATCCGTATTTACAAGGTTCATTTTCGATACAACGATTACTCGATAGGATCGCAACTCAGCGATTTGTTGTCATTGAAGTTTTGTTACGTCGTCGCATTGAAAAACAGTTCTAAATCCGTATTTACAAGGTTCATTTTCGATACAACGATTACTCGATAGGATCGCAACTCAGCGATTTGTTGTCATTGAAGTTTTGTTACGTCGTCGCATTGAAAAACAGTTCTAAATCCGTATTTACAAGGTTCATTTTCGATACAACGATTACTCGATAGGATCGCAACTCAGCGATTTGTTGTCATTGAAGTTTTGTTACGTCGTCGCATTGAAAAACAGTTCTAAATCCGTATTTACAAGGTTCATTTTCGATACAACGATTACTCGATAGGATCGCAACTCAGCGATTTGTTGTCATTGAAGTTTTGTTACGTCGTCGCATTGAAAAACAGTTCTAAATCCGTATTTACAAGGTTCATTTTCGATACAACGATTACTCGATAGGATCGCAACTCAGCGATTTGTTGTCATTGAAGTTTTGTTACGTCGTCGCATTGAAAAACAGTTCTAAATCCGTATTTACAAGGTTCATTTTCGATACAACGATTACTCGATAGGATCGCAACTCAGCGATTTGTTGTCATTGAAGTTTTGTTACGTCGTCGCATTGAAAAACAGTTCTAAATCCGTATTTACAAGGTTCATTTTCGATAGAACGATTACTCGATAGGATCGCAACTCAGCGATTTGTTGTCGTTGAAGTCTAAGGCACTGACTGAGTTAGCATTAGACCTAAAACACTTCACAAGGAATCGGGATTTTAGAGTCAGACCGAACAGCTTTATGCCCGTTTTCACCATCAATCCCTACTTTTTAAGTGACCCCTATGGTAACATATAACAGGAATTTTGTTTCCATAAGGGCCACTTAAAAATTAGGGATTGATGGTGAAAACGGGCATAACTCACTCATCACGAAATCTCAGAAACTACGAGCGCTAGCAGTCTCTTGCATGGGGGTTCTTTTTAGAATGTAGGTGCTCGCTAAGACGGGATTTTGCAAAATTCAATGAGGGCTATCGTTTTAGCGCTCACCAGTTAGCGCCACTGTAGAGTAAGGTCCTGTCACTTGCTAGTAGCGAAGACAGTGGCACCAACTGGTGAGCGCTAAAGTGGTAGGAGGACTATCGCATTTGCATTCATCAAGATGGCGCCACTGTAGAGTAAGGTCCTGTCAATCGCCAGGGGTGTTAAGTATAAAAACGATAGCCCTCATTAAAACGAGATCCACGCGTACGAAGTCGCGGGCGGCTGCTAGTAAAAAATGAATGTGATATTAATAGTAACATAGAACAACTTTAGACCTATTTATTATGCAAAAAATCTAGCAAAAATATTTTTTTTTCCAGGAAAAGTCCTAAACTCAGCCTACAGCGAAGCGCACGCACCAGGCTTGCAGCTTCTTAAGGAGACTTACTACTCGTTGCTGAGAGAAAGAAAGCATCCGACATTCGGTCGGGTCGCTTTCCTTGGCCCTGACCATCAGCTGCATGACAAGGTAAATTGGGCTTTATATCATTCACATTAGAGTTCACATTTAGAAATCACAGTTTAGTTTTCAAAATCAATGGACGTAAGATTTTGTTGTCTTCGATTGGCTTTAAACAAGGTGAATAGGGCTTTATTCTGTTTACTTTAGAGTTCAGTTTTGAAAATATACTTACGTGGCATGGATGGCATAAATCGTGACGGGAGAAAAAACAAAAGAGAACGAAATTGATTTTTGAAAAGAGAATCAAGTTTCTTAGTGGCCAGTGTCGCGGCCAAGTAGTCGAGTCTGATCATTAGCTGTATGAGAAGGTAAATTGGGCTTTATGCCGTTTACAATAGAGGTCAGTCTTCAATGGCCATCATCTTTGTAAATATTTTTATGGCTACCTTTCTTGAATGAACTGTATGACAAGGCAAATTTGGTTTTATACCGCTAAAGTTAGAGTTTAGTTCTTAAAATCAATGGGTGAAAGACTGTTGCCTGAGTGCAAGTACCAGGGCTACAGATTCTTAAAGAGACTTACTACTCGTTGCTGAGAGAAAGGAAGCATCCCATATTCGGCCCTGACCATCAGCTGCATGACAAGGTAAATTGAGCTTTATGCTGATCAGAATAGAGTTCAGGTTGGTTAACACTAGAGTTCAGTTTTCAAAACCAATGGACGAAAGATTTTGTTGTCTTCGATTGGCTTTAAACAAGGTGAATAGGGCTTTATTAACGTAAACAGAAGTTTACGTTAGTGTTCAGTTTTTAAAATCAATCTGGGATACGTGGAAAATGGTGACGAGAGAAAAAACAAAAGAGAACGAAATTGTTTTTTGAAAAACGAATGAAGATTCGTGGCCAAAGAGTTTTGCTATGTGTAGTTGCAACAAGGTGAAAAGGATCTTAAAGTGCTTGTGTTTAGAGTTCAGTCTTCAAAATCAATGTGAGAACGATTTGACTATTTGTTTTGTTTATGATTACATTATGGTTGGCTGTCAAGGTGAATTAGGTTTTATGCTGTTTAACTTAGAGTTCACTCTTCAAAATCAATGGGAAATGGGAGGACGTTTTTCATTCGCTTGTAACTTTTTACATCCTGTATGGTAATTTTCAGTATAAATTATAATACCATTTTGTGACGTGTAAAAGTGTGTTATAAAAGCCTAATTTTATAAAGGTAGCAGGAAGCCGCTGGATGCAGGCCGCTACCAACCGTGCGATGTGGAAGTCATTGGGGGAGGCCTATGTTCAGCAGTGGACGTCCTGTGGCTGAAATGATGATGGTGAAATTGCAAAAAATAAATGACACTGTATTTTCTCCTATTACAGGAGAAAAACATAAACTTCCTTCCCATCCAAATGTTGATCGAGACACCATTTGTGATGGACTTGGCGTATACCACCGAAGACTACCCCGCCCCCCCTCTACAGGGGAAAGAATATACGAAGGCTTTGGAGGAGAAGAAGAAGGGATTCGACGAAGAATTTGAGAAGAAATTCGGACTTTCTGAGAAGGGGTAAGTAGTAGACTAAGAGCTAGTGAACGCCAGACCTACGTCATTTTATAAAAGGTGAAAGTTTGTCAGCGTATGCTCTCAATATAGGATATAATGTTGGTGAATTATGAAGTTTGGGTCATGGTGGCTTTGGGAGCTACCCTAAAAAACTGTCCGGCAAGGAGTTGGAACTTCAAACTGTGTGGCTGATGGGGAAACTACTTCTAATTATTGCCCAAATATTATACATAAAAATCAGATTTTATGGTATAGCCTGACCAGGAACATAAAAACCCTCGCCATGTTGCGGAAAACTAATGGTACTAATTTCTTTTAATGGCAACAGTAACTGAAAACTTCATTGACATGTCACCTTGCATGTCAGTCTATTGCTGTCAAAGTGTAAACAAACTTTATTTTAAATGTGCGCAATTGATTTTGTGAATTAAATTGCTAAAATCTTTTTATAGTCGTGAAAGAAAAGTGGTTCACAATGTGTTAAAGTATTTGTCGAAGAGAAATGCTAAGGGTTCGGACAATATTTTCATTGAATAATGTTTTCGACAAAGGTTGTCAAATTGGCTGACATGTTTATCGTATAGTACAGTCCACTATGAAAATTAGCTGTGGTTAGTTTCAACTACCTATTTTAAAGTTTTTTGTCACTTTCTAAGTGTTGAATTTTATGGAATTGGGAAAGAAGTACCGAGTTTGAAGCGTTCATGAGCAGACATTGCAGTTGAATAATCAAGTTCTGAATTTGATTATTGATGAATAATAAAATAAATCCTACTAACTCGATTGATGGTTTCATTTAATTTATTTAAACCAGGTTACCTATAATAATATTTTTTCGCTAATTTATGAAAATATCAGATTAGCCCGTAATCCTGAATCCTGACACATAAAGTTAGCCTATTAATTTAACACAGGTACGACTGTACTCAGTGTTGCACTATCAAATGCAATTGACGCGCCTCTATGCCAGGGTTTTTATGTTCCTGGTCAGGCTATATAACGTAAGTCTAACTTTTACGGTGGCCTTTTCTGTATATTCAATAGACTGTAATTCTTCTAACGTTTACTAACGTTACGGCGCGGCGTTTTTTTAACGTCAAACGTCAGCGAGACTTCAGATTTCCTTCAGATTTATATGCTCTGTCACGTCATAATGTCAATGTCACACCCCCCGTGCCGCCCCCATGCCTCAGGCACAGACTGAGTAAGATACGCGCCGTGATAAGCTTTTATCGCGCCATTTTATCGACTTAACGCGATTAGCAGGTGGGCAGTGGGCAGGCCTCCCACTAGGTGGACCGACGATCTGGTGAAGGTCGCGGGAGGTGTCTGGATGCGGGCAGAGCAGGGCCGGTCGTCGTAGAAATCCTTAGGGGAGGCCTTTGTCCAGCAGTGGACTTCATTCGGCTGAAACGAACGAACGCGATTGGCCTATACATTTATCGTCTAAATTCATTATAAGATTTTATCACGGCTCGCATCCTAGCCCGGCTGATAAAGTCGCTGATAGGGTATCAGGGACTTAATCAGCTCATTTATACGCTAACTAGCTTTCCGCCCGCGGCTTCGCCCGCATGGCATTTTGTCTGTCACAGAAAAACTTTATCGCGCGCGTCCCTGTTTCAAAATCCGGGATAAAAACTATCCTATGTCCTTTCCCGGGACTCAAACTATCTCTATGCCAAATTTCATCAAAATCAGTTCAGTGGTTTAGGCGTGAAAGCAAGACAGACAGACAGAGTTACTTTCGCATTTATAATATTAGTAGTAGATAGTATAGATGTTTTTCTTTTTTCAGCTACCCAGAAGACGACATAGCAATAGCCAGAGCGGCCATGTCCAACATGCTTGGAGGCGTGGGATATTTCTATGGGTCAGGGCGCGTGCAGTCGCCTTACACTAGGGAACCGGTGCCTTACTGGAGGGCACCCTTGTACACCGCCGTGCCGAGCAGGTTTGGACCTTATTTTGTGACGTTTAGAGTCGATTTTAGGTTACAAAATTATAGTAAATTATAAAGAGTTCATTTCATTTATACAAATTCTTACAATGAGGATGTCTGTGAGAAATATGGCGGTGCCAAGCAGATTTGGATCCTATTTTGTTATGTTTAGAGTCGATTTCAGAGGGCCTAGTGTAAGTTTACATAAACGCGCTCACTAGTGAGCGCGTCAAAAAAATGACATTAAATGTATGACGGATTGTACAGCGCCCCTAGCGGGAAACGTTCAAAAACAAAAAATTTCATACATTTTTGAATGCAAACTCACACTCAGCCCACAAGTTACAAAATTATAGTAAACTAGCTTTCACCCGCGTGATATTTTATTTATCACAGATCGTCATAAATTATAGCCTATATGTTATTCTGGGTTATAAACTATAATACTGTAAAGTTTCATCAAAATCCGTTCTGTAGTTTTTGCGTGAAAGAGTAACAAACATCCGGACATCCAGATATCCAAAATTTCGCATTTATAATATTAGTGGGATAGCGGCCGCCAGCTACTTTGTACGCGTGGATCCCGTTTTACCCCCTTAGGGGTGGAGTTTCGTAAAGTCCTTTCTTAGCGGATGCCTACGTCATAACATCTACCTGCATGCCAAATTTCAGCCCGATCCGTCCAGTGGTTTGGGCTGTGCGTTGATAGATCACTATGTCAGTCAGTCAGTCAGTCACCTTTGAGTTATTTAAGTTTAGAATACAAACTATTGTCCCCCAGTTAATCAATTTTCAACTGTATTCCAATATCATTGCGTTCATTTCACCTTACCTTCCTTCCATATCATTCTATTCTCAACCATATTCCAAAGCCACTGCGTCTTATTTCACCTTCCCTTCCTTCCAGGTCATTCTTCCCTCGTGGATTCCTCTGGGACGAAGGTTTCCACGGCCTGCTCATAGGGAGGTGGTCTCCTGACATACAGATGGATATAGCAGCTCACTGGATGGACCTGATCAATGTGGAAGGATGGATACCTAGAGAACAGATACTTGGTGAGAAAGATTTTTTTTTACTTTTCACTGTATTATTTAAGGGACAATATTATTTGATCCTCTAAAAACTAATTGATCTTTTTTGTATGTGCACTTTTAAAAATAAATGATGTATTTTATTATATTTTATCTTTATATTAATTATTGGGTCTATATTAGTTGATCTACCGATAAATTATGAATGATCTTCATTTAAGGTAACATAATATTTATGTTTAACATACTCTTTTAATATTTGGTAAACAGAAATAATATTTGATCCTCTTTTTTAGTTATTGATCTTTAATTTTGTTAATTTGATGATTTTTAATCAAGTTTGCCTTTTAATATTGATCACCTAATAAATACATTTCGATCTATGTATAACTTAACTTTAAAATATATTTGATCTAACTAAAAATATTATTGGTTAATATTTTTAATTAAAAAATATCTTTTAATTTACGCGGTACTTTGTGGTTGAGTGACAATCGTCCGTCATTGGTTACTGAGTTGGCCAAGGGCTTAGCGGCCAATAAGCAAGCAGAATGGTACATTGCCATGTTTGTTTAAATTACAAGCTTTGCTTAGTTTGGGACTAGAGGCGCTATGTAAAATAATTTCTTACTTCTGTAATCCCTGAACCCGACATCATAATTTTTACCTCTTTATTTTTTTTTTTCAAATCGCAAGGTTGATTTTCTCTTAGTATACCGATCTCGACCGTGATTAGTGACCATAAAGTCGATTAGACACGATAAAAGCACTAAACGATATTTGTTTACTTTTAGTGCGATATCGGGTCGTAAGGACCTGATAAGTTTTTTTTCCAAATATTTACTGTGTTTGACGAAACAATTGCAAAACAATATGTATCTTTCGTACTACTGAAAAAAACGAATATATCCATCCCGCACCAACGCATCCAGCACCTAAGGTCAATTCGACCCGATAACGCAGTGTGAACGTGTTAAATATGCTTTTTAATAAAAAACAAATCTTTGAACATCAAGTGCCTTTAAATAGTTTCCATTCTTTGACTACAACTTAATAAAAATAAGTACCATAACATAATTATTTTGTAGATTATTTGATATAGACAAAAAATAATTTATACAAATCGAATTATTTAAAAAAGTATCACAATATTGAATATTTGGTGCTCATTTCTTTTATTTATGAGGACCAACAAGTAACGATCAGATATAATTTTTACATCTCAAAAATTTTTTGCGTAGTTCAAAAGAGGTTAAAATATCAATCGATTTCATTTATTTTATGTCTCAAAGAAAGAGGATCAATAATTAAAATAGATGACCATTTAGATTTTTTTATTTGCCGTTTTTGCTAATTTAAAAAGATCATTTAAATACATGCCTAGGCCTGTTCATCTCCGCGAGTTTACATCGAAAACAAAACACGCACTATGGCCCACCTACAGGATACTATTCGACAAGGCCTCACATACGGGCGAACATTGACTCACGCACGCGTATTCTTGTGTATGATGGAAGAAAATAAAGAAAATGGTGTACTTAATACTGTGCAGTATTTAACTGCCTAAATATAATAAAAACACAGAATGTACTTTTTTAAGTTGCTTGAAGACACTGAGAGGTAAATAAGTAGTTAATATTATTCATGACTAGCTTTCCGCCCGCGGCTTCGCACGCGTGAAATTTCGTTTGTCACAGATCGTCATAAATTATAGCCTACTCGTATATGTTATTCTGGATTATGAACAATAATACTGTAAAGTTTCATCAAAATCCGTTCAGTGGTTTTTGAGCCTATTCATTACAAACATACAAACATACAAAAATAGGTACAAATCTTTCCTCTTTATAATATTAGCATAGATAATTCATGCTAAATCATGTATTTCCTTCGCCATTTTCTGCAGTTTGGCACCTCACGTCACATCATTTTACCGAAGTCAGCCCTATAGCTTCGGCGCAGTGCCGATCACTGACGTTTGTCAACAAAATGGTGCTTGACTCTTGAGACAAGCTAAATTACACCATATTGTTAATGACATTGAGCATACATTTTTTGAAATACTTTCGCGAAGTAAAACTTCTGTACGTATTACTTATTATTATTCTGTGGTATTACATAGTGTGTAAGGTTTATTTTAGACTGACCGAATTTAGCTTCTTGTAAGTCACGGTTGCCTGGTTACAGGGTGGAAACGATAAGTGATCTCACTCGGTTATTTCTAAACTATTTTAAACGGTACCAATTTAGGTTACAGAATAAACTGGAACTATCGGAATATTCAATGTTTCCTATTATTAGAGCTCATGAAGCACTTTTAGGATCAGTAACCAGTTTTTCGAAATCTTTTATAGATAGGTTAGAAATTATCGAGTGAGATCACTTATCGTTTCCACCCTGTATGATATTTCGAATACCTTTTTTTCCCCAGGAGCGGAAGCCCTAGCAAGGGTCCCGAAGGAGTTCGTCGTACAAAACAACGCCGCAGCCAATCCTCCGATGCTCCTCATCCAACTAGCTCGCCTCGTGAAGACCAGGCCACACTTGTTCGAGCCAGGAATGCCTCATAGAGCCACCCTGGGGCGGATGTTCACTAGGCTCCAGGTAAATTATGGTGCCCTGGTACTTAATATAGCTTAGTCGATGACATCAGCGATAGCAAGGTGCAGCAAGGTTTTGGAGTAGAGGCATCGTTCAACTAAATGTGTAGTTTCCAACATGCCAAAAATCGGAACCAGCGATCCGATATTGACGTTGGCGCCCCCCTGTCAATGTCACGGGTTGGACAGTTCAGTGTATTTGGGTCTATACAACACTAGAAACCTATTTATTTATGCGCTATCCCTTTAGTGTATTAGTTGACAGCAATAATTCCAAGATTTACTATAGTTTGGTCCGTGAGCACGTAGAATTTTGTCCAATGACCCCTAGCTACCCATCCTTATCGCTCGCGCGTAATAAGGATGATAACTGGGTAATTAAATCTAAATTCTATTTAGTCCGTCAGACACATATTAGATAATATTAGACTCATATTATTTAATTTTTTCCATAATCCAATAATTACAGTATTTTATTGAGTTGAAATGTCGCGTGACGTCACTTTTGAGTAAAAATTCTACTCAAGCGTGACGTATCGCGCCTTTCAACTCGATGTAGCACTGTTATTATTTAATTATGCAAGAAAATAACAAATATGAGTCTAATATTTTCTAATTATCTGTCTGACGGACAAATAATTGAAATTTTGTCATCTAGCCTATTGTGTTGCTATCGCGCTCGCACACTCACTGCGGCCGCCCGTCACACAGTCGCGACAGCAATATAATTACGCGCGAGCGATAAGGATGGGTAGCTAGGGGTCATTGGACAAAATTCTACGTGCTTGCGGACCGGGCTTTAACCTATTAATGGTATCCCCTCTCCCCCAGGCATGGTACAACTGGTTCCAAACGACCCAGAAAGGGGAAGAACCCACGGCCTACAGATGGCGCGGCAGAGAAGACGATGGGATGCAGCTCAACCCTAAGTCTCTGTCGTCTGGTTTGGACGACTACCCGCGGTAAGGAACATCCTATTCCATCCATTGCTAATCATCATTTATGCCCGTTTTCACCATCAATCCCTAATTATTAAGTGACCCGTATGGTAACACATAAGGAATTTTTCTTTTCATAGGGGTCACTTAAACATTAGGGATTGATGGTGAAAACGGGCATTAGGTACAGCCTCTTTTACAAACTCGTGGTTACTTGATTAACACTATTTAGCTAGTAAAAGTAAGAAGACTCGTACAACTTTTACATGCTTTATATGGGCCACAGTATAACGAAAGATATTGTAACAAAGCTCTCTATTAAGTAAAAAAAAGTGTATTTCTGTGTATCAATCAATTTGAAGTATGTATTTTCAATGTAACATATTAAATTGTCACTAGTGCATCAAAAGCCGTCTTCTGGTTTATTCCATTATTCCCCGTTGACAATCCCCATCAATTAATTAACGCCAATTGGAGCTTAGTTCATTAATCCTTCAAGCTCCGCGAATCTAGACACTATAGATAATCAATTGTTATGACATTAATTAATGCCGTCTGGGACTCAATCGGTTAATCCCCGTTATATTAGGATTTTATTTTTAACGTAATGGGGATTAATGAACTTTTTAGTTCATTATTCCCCATTATACGTTCCAATTGGCGTTAACGGGGAATAGTGAACTTTTTGTTTTGTGACGGGGTTGTCAACGAGGAATATTGGAATAAGCCAGTTATAATTTTTGTCGTTGCTACTCGTGACTTATGCAACGAGTAGCCTATTTGACACTTTACTCAAATATAGTGAACGAGGGCCTTAATGAGCTGATGATGATGATAATGAATGGTTTGTCCCCAGAGCGTCGCATCCTTCAGATATAGAAAGACACGTAGATCTACGATGTTGGATGTATGCTGCTGCAGACAGTTTGGCAACCATAGCGCGTGCTATAAAGAAAGATCCTAGCAAGTAAGTACTTTTTTTTTCTTCCTTCTTCCGCTGTTATCTTCTGTCATCTTCTTTCTTTTTCTTCCTCTGTCATCTTCTGTCTTGTTTTTCCTTCTTACGCTGTCATCTTCTTTCTTCGTCCCCTGTAATCTTCTGTCTTATTATTCCTTTGCAATCTTTTGTATTCTTCTTCCTCTGTCATCTTCTTTCTTTTTTTATTTCTGTCTTCTTCCTCTATAGTCTTCTGTCTTCTTCTTCCTCTGTCATTCTATTCCTTATTTTTCTTAATCTATACCTTCTTTTTCATTATCTTGATTTTATTAGTAGTAGACGCCGCATTGGTTGGGCTGCTGTCGTCATAGAAATGATGATGTTATTCTTTCTGTAGATTTGAAGCGACCAAAGAGCAGTTGGGAGACGAGGACCTGCTCAACGAATTACACTGGTCTACCGCCACGCAGACTTATGCTGACTACGGTGAGTTTGTGATGGATGTTTCTTACTCTTTCACGCATAAATTACTGAACTGATTTAGATAAAATTTTTCATGGGATAATTTTTTGGAAAGCGACAGACCAAAATTTTACCGTCGCTTCGGCAAAAACATGTTCATGGAACTTTATTTATTATCTTACATTAATAAAGCCTCGATACATCATAGTAAGCAAGAAAAGTGAGCGTATGTAAGGTGAAATTGCCTCACATACATGAAGCGCCTGTATGAAGACTATTTTTATTTAAACTTCTACAAATAAATACAATGCACTGTGGCGGAATTAATGCGGGATGGTATTCTCTGCCAGTCAACCACGGGTCATGCAGAGAGTAAGGCGGTGCAAAAAATTTGAAGACTATCCAGGTGTTATTTATTAACCTAAGGCTGTTGGACCACCTAACGTTGACCGTAAATATAACGATAACCGGTGCTTCTTGTAGGGATATTGACAGATTTTTGATGTTTCTCAAAATTAAAGTAAGATGGTGCAACCCAGCCTTAGTTTATTTAGATACAGCCATCTAAAGCCCGGTCCATGAGCACGTAGAATTTTGTCCAATGACCCCTAGCTACCCATCCTTATCGCTCGCGCGTAATTATATTGCTGTCGCGACTGTGCGACGGGCGCCCGCAGTGAGTGTGCGAGCGCGATAGCAACATAATTACGCGCGAGTGATAAGGATGCGTAGCTAGGGGTCATTGGACAAAATTCTACGTGCTCACGGACCAGACTATAGGTGTTATTATTAATCTATGTTTATTTTATTATAACTATATACAGGTATGCACACGGACGGTGTGAGGTTCGTCCGGACCATGCCCAAACACCCGGGCGAGCCGGCCAAGCTGGTGCGAGGTGTGACCGTACCACCTCAACCAAAACTTGTCACTTCTGCCTTCGGTGAGTTAAGATTTACACAATTTTCACCATAGGACTATTCCCACCTCTCGTTCCCACCGCTGCAACTCCTGTGTAGCCAGGATCTACAGCTTGACCGCCAATAACCCAACCAGTGAAGGCCAAGTTTATCCCGGGGGAAAGACAGTGTCATTGGACCCGCAACGAAATTAATCAGAAGAACATAGGAGTTCGAAGTTAAGGATCGACATTACCGTTTACAATAGTTAAAAATCTTTCGTTAGATCTATGATCTTATGAAGATTGCAGGAAGTAATTAGATGTGGGCAGCGCCAGACTGATCGTTGTGCAATTCCTTGGGGGAGGCCTTTATAAAGAATTTGAATTTGAAAAAGAAAATAATTGTCCAGTCCAGTCGCTTCATGATAATTATAAGATAATTATCGGATAATTATCAGATAATTATCAACAGTATAAGATACATTTGTCATATTGTTTCATAAGAAATTCTGATTGCGAATGTTGCTGTATGTTTTTGGTTGCTGATTGTTGTCAAGTTATTCATCGCTAGTCGTATAAAGCTTGGAAAATAGATCAATATTTTGACGCTAGATAACTAGTGATCATTTTGGAGCTAAATAGATAGGTTTTATAACTATCTATCTTGATTAACGCCCACCACTAGACGCAAGTGCGGAAATACACGTTAGAAAACTTCGAATACAGTAAATTTTCACGAGCGCATTTTTTTGTTATTATCAACCGATAAATTATCCTTTTGAACCCTGAGTAGACATGATGATGTGGAAACGAAATACCAGTAACCAGGGGGCGTAGTGTGTGTTTACGTCAAACGAATCCGATATCGACTGCTCTAAAAAAATATATGAAGATTTTAGTTCTTAAAAGTTTCCGCTAGGGGCGCTGTACAATCCGTCATACATTTAATGTCACTTTTTTACGCAGTCGACATCGAATGCGTTTGACGTAAACTCACACTATGCCCCCTGACGTCCCCAACCCGTCTGGCCAGCGTAAGGAGTGCATGCCAAATCCTCCATTTGCCTCTGGCAAATAGGCTAGTTTCCTAAAAAAATTTTTTTAGTCCGTCAATTTTAATATAAAAAAATATTGGACACGTGTATTTTTAATTGTCAATCAAACAAATAATTACAAAGTTATAGTGCGTTGAATTTCCGCGCGACGTCACAAAGTGCTGCACTTTTACGCACTCACTGACGTCACGGGCCTTTCTTTAGAACTTTGGCACGCTTTATCTCTTGACATTTTCATTAGTTTTAAAAAGTGAAAAATAGGTGTCGAGTACTTTTTGATAAGCTAACTGACGGACTAATTAAAACTTGCTTTTTTACCCAGGAAACATCCCTATTAGAGGGTCGTGCTCCTGCAATGGAGACTAAACGACCTGATGATGAATGTGTTCGCAGGTTACATATCCCTGTTTCCAATGCTGCTCAGGGTCTTAACACCTGAGAGCGAGAACCTTGGGAAAATACTCGAGAACCTCGACAAGCCTGGCTTGCTGTGGTCGCCTTTTGGATTGAGGTAAGCTCTAAACATATTCTAACAGGCATAATGCATATAGTTCCAAAATACTGAACTGTCCTATGCATGACATTGACAGCGGGGCGCCACCGTCAATACCGGATCGCTGGTTCCGATTTTTGCCATGTTGGAAACCATATAGTTGAACGATGGTAGCGCCCCCTGTCATTGAGTTTGGTGGGACAGTTCAGCGTGGGTCATCAATAACTGAGTGGTTTTGACGCAGAACGTCATTAAAATTGTGAATGACATTCTGTGAAAGTGACCTTTTGCGAAAGTGACTTTGTGAGTGCCCAAATTTTTCACTATGACATTTTGCGAATATAACGTTCTGCGTCAAAATCAACTAGGTTCATAAATATGGTAATTTTCTGTTATATCAAATGCTGCAAGATTTTGTCGTAATGCGTCACGGAAACTATTTCGTTTTGATGCGTCACAAAAAAACACGTCAGTACTATACTTATGAGGCATATCGCATAACTGCATATTCCTTAAATTAATAAACTGAGTAGGTTCCTATGGTAATTAATTTTATTTTAAATCAATTGCTGTTAGTTTTTCGTTGTGATGCGTCACGAAACCAATTTTGTTCGTTACGCTGGATGCAGGCCGCCACCAACCGGCCAGTGTGGAAATCATTGGGGGAGGCCTATGTTCAGCAGTGGACGTCCATTGGCTGAAATGATGATGATGATGTTACGAAAAAACTACCTCAAACAAATATAAATGTACCTTAAGGTTTGGTCGTTAAAATAGCGAATTTAATGTCGCTCCGCGTACACATAGCACACTTATCAACCGGTCAGTATTCTTTGTATGAAACTCCATACTGCAACACACACTTATCCGCACCGTAACGTAAACGCCTCGCCTCGCTGTTGACAGCGCGCGAAACGCGATGACAGCGCGCGGATGGCGATAATGGTGTTGATCCCTTTCCGAGTTGATAAGTCTGCTATGGCCTTTATTATTTACACAAACCTCTTTTTGCCTCGGAGATTAAACAAAAAGAAGTATTTTTAAAGTAGATTCGCTGTGAAACAAGGTTGGAAGATGAACAATAAGACCTTCTTTAGAAGGTCTTATTAACTGAGTTAACTTAATAAATAAACTGAGTAGGTAGTAGTAGTAGTAGTTTAACTTAATAAATAAACTGAGTAGGTTCCTATGGTAATTTTATTTTAAATCAATTGCTGTTAGGTTTTTGTTGTGATGCGTCACGAAACCAATTTTGTTCGTTACGCTGGATGCAGGCCGCTACCAACCGGCCAATCTGAAAATCATTGGGGGAGACCTATGTTCAGCAGTGGACGTCCTGTGGCTGAAATGATGATGTTCTTAACAACCCCTTATTTACAGGTCCCTCTCAAAATCCTCCCCCCTCTACATGAAGAGGAACACAGAACACGACCCTCCGTACTGGCGAGGACAGATCTGGATCAACATCAACTATCTCGCTCTCTCCTCGCTGAAGTACTACGCGAACGCTCCCGGTCCACACATGGATAGAGCGAGAGAGCTGCATTCGAGACTGAAGAACAATGTAGTCCGTAAGTAATTTTCGCAGCACCTTTTTTCTTCTAAAGCCCGGTCTATGAGCACGTAGAATTTCGTCCAATGACCCTAAGCTACCCATCCTCAGCGCTCGCGCGGGATTATATTGCTGTCGCGACTGTGCGACGGGCGCCCGCAGTGAGTGTGCGATAGTGACAGCAATATAATTACGCGCAAACGATAAGGATGGGTAGCTTGGAGTCGAAATTCTATGTACTCGGCGACCGGACTTTAGTCTGGTATTTTTTTTTTCAGTGTATTGTTTCTAATAGAAAAAGAACAAGTGGATCTCCTTAGAAGTTATGGCAGCCTGGTACTTCTGGTTATATTTGTAGGTAGATATATTTTTTTTAATAGAGAAAAAATGGAGTCTGGTTATAAGAATTCCTGATGTATGTTCTGTCTCAACTAACCTTACACAAAAAGTCGACTATCTCGCTCTCTCATCGCTGAAGTATAGATCGTTTCATCCACTCGGACGCGCCCCACCAATGTTTGGTCTCGGTCGCGCGGGGTGCGGGGAGTGTGGTCCGAGCAATCCGTAAGGCATTATTGTAGTGTGCGTGTGCACTCATGGATGATTTAGCGTGTACCGATAACACTCAAACATTAGCGGAAGAATGGTGGGGCGCGTCTTCGTGGATGAAACGATCTAAAGATGATGACCTCTCTTTTTCAGGTAATATCCTCTCAGAATACAGAAGAACAGGCTACCTCTGGGAGCAGTATTCTGGCGAAGACGGCCGAGGGTCTGGATGTAAACCCTTCAGTGGATGGACTGCCCTCGTGACCCTCATAATGGCTGAAGAGTACTGAGCTGTGCGGACTTAATGCCTTTGCGTGAACTAAAAAAAGTTTAAGAGGCTGTATGAGTTGATGCCTTTGCCTGATTTAAAAAGTAAAGTGTCAAAGGCTGTGAGAACGTGATGCCTTTGCGTGATTTAAAAAAAGTATAGTGTCAAAAGCGGTGAAAGTTATTTAAAAAGTAAAGTGTCTTAAAGGCGGTAAGAACTTGTTGCCTTTGCGTGTTAAAAAAATAAACTGTCAATGTGGCTGTACAGACTTTATGTCTGTGCTAAAAAGAACTTAAAAGCAAATTGTCAATATGTGAGTTTATAAGGCTGTTTAAATTATGTCTTAGCTTCGTTAAAAATGACTGAATGTGTTTGTAAAATGAAACCTTTTAATTCATTTTACATCTTAACAAAGATTATTTTAGTAACGGCGCGCGCGCACCGGCGACTTTTGTCACAGAGACACTATGCCTCTCCTTTTCTCTTTATAAAGGAGTAAAAGAAACGGATATACTATCACGAATAATACTGACACAGCAACAAAGTGAAAAGTGCGCGCGCGCCTTTATTCTTACAGAAAAATGAAGTTTGGTGATTTTTTCCCGCCTTAGGCAGTTCGATTTTCAATTTATTTATAATTTAGTTATTTTGACATTCTATACAGCAATCATGTCAATTGTAAATTTAAATAGCATGTAATTTTAAACGCAACATTGAGGGTAGTTCGAAATTATCAAAATAAGGCCCGTGTTCTGAAACGACAGCACGAATCAATTCTCAAGAATCGATTCAAAATTAGTTTGAAGTGCGTATGTTCACGGGCCTAGTAATATTGCACGAAAGGAACATAAAGGTCGTAGCCACACATCAACTCGAAAAGGGGTCGTTACCGTATCGTTTCGCCTCGTCAAACAGGCGTCAGCCTAACGTAAGGCGAGGCAATTACGTTGAGATTCCGATTAGTGTGCGTTGCAGTATGGAGTTTCATTTCAAAGAATATTGAACGGTTCGAGTTGATCCGGTGACGTTCCCTTTCTGAGTTAATAAGTGTGCTATGGCCTTAAGGCAGTCAAAGCAATAGTAATTCTCGTTTGGAGATATGGTGCAATATAGAATAAGTCTTCCCAACACTTTTTATTATACTAAACGATTGTATGAATTGTATCAACGAAAATAACATAGTGTAAAGTCCGGTCGCCGAGCACGTAGAATTTCGTTCAATGACCCAAACAACGATGAGTCGACTGTGCGACCGCAGTGAGTGTGCGAGTGCGACAGCAATATGATTACGCGCGAGCGATAAGGATGGGTAGCTTGGGGTCATTCGACGAAATTCTACGTGCTCGGCGACCGGACTTTAATTCCTTTTAATGTAGTATTTGTTGAAAGTCATATCTATAGTTACTTAAAATGTGATTGTATGTAAGAATAACTAGATAATACTTCCATAGAATGATAAAAGTATGTAACCCCATTTAGAAAAAAGTTTTTTTTTTAATCAACCAAGAGAGAAAAATAACTCAAAGAACTTAAAAGACTCGAAAGGACTCAGAAGACTCAAATAGTCATGAAAATAGACTCAAGTCCCGAAACGAAGACTAAAAGACTCGAGTTTCTTCCAACTCTACTACCTACTCTGACATCGGCAGTCCGTCACTGACATACGTATTATTATTATTAGTTATTCTTACATAATAACAAGCATGTGATTAACAAAATAAGTGTACAGTTGTAAATTGCTAGTTTGAGATCCAATAACATAGATTTAATTCTGATATGCAGCATTTTTTAGTCTAGCTAGATCTAGGATTCATTTTGTTTTAAAGCCTGGTCCGTGAGCACGTAGAATTTTGTCCAATGACCCCAAGCTACCCATCCTTATCGCTCGCTCGTAATTATGTTGCTGTCGCGCTCGCACACTCACTGCGGGCGCCCGTCGCACAGTCGCGATAGCAATATAATTACGAGCGATAAGGATGGGTAGCTTGGGGTCATTAGTCAAGCGTCTATTAGTTCGTGACACCCAAAGTGGACAAAAGTTGACAACACAATCTTCATCATCATCGTCATCTCAGCCATAGGACGTCCACTGCTGAACATAGGCCTCCCCCAATGCTTTCCATGTTGCCCGGTTGGTAGCGGCCTGCGTCCAGCGCCTTCCTGCTACCTTTATGATGTCGTAACACAACCTTATAAGAGTAGGCGCACACTGTTGATTTTTCGTCGGCCGATAGTTTAGTCGGGCAGTTGATCAGTATGGGCAAGTATGGGAGTGCGCACACTACGCCGATTCGATTTGGCCGATTCTTCATACAATTTAAAATCGGGCACAACTATCGGCCAACTAAAAATCAACGGTGTGCGCCTACTCTTACAAAGGCGTGTTGCGAACTTTTTGGCTACTTTGGGTGTCACGAACTATATGACGTTGACTGTACAATACAAAAGACTAGTTTTTCCCTAAAAAAGGGCCTACAACTACCTACACAAAGAATTCAGTGGCGTAGCGTGCCCTGTATCAATATTTGTTAGGGGCCCCATCTAAAAAAAGATCATTGGAACTTTTCTAGGCATTTGCCTACTCGGTCTAATCCGAAAAAGAAGAAGCTGGTACGGCGGTAGCTACGCCCCTGAAAGAATTCAAATTTCAAAGGGACAGGACAAAATAGGGATGCGCTGCGCTTTATTGTAAACTTGCGTAAAAAAAATAGTTTTTATAATATTAAAATAAAATGGCGCTCGTAGAGTCAGCACTGCCAATCAAAAAAGGCCTTATTGCATTTTAAGAATAGGACACTTCTGAAATGTTTACTGTTATAATAGGTTAATAAACTTGCACAAAAAGTTACATGCGTCTGGTTTTGGCAGAGTATAAGGTCGTTTCATCCACGAAGACACGCCCCAACAGTTTATGGTCTCGGTCGCGCGGGGTGCGGGGAGTTTGATCCGAGCAATCCGAGCGACATTATTGTAGTGTGCGTGTGCACTCATGGATCATTTAGCGTGTACCGATAACACTCAAACATTAGCGGAAGAATGGTGGGGCGCGTCTTCGTGGATGACACGATCTATAATACTCTTTCCGTGAATGTCGTAAGCGACTAAGAGACAAATATGCGAACATCAGGCCTTCCCAACCCGTCTGGTCAGCGTGGGGAGTGTAAACCAAATCCTGCATTTGTCTCTGGGCTCTGGCACATTAGAGGGTTGTACCACCCTACTATAACGTATGCTTAAAGACAATGGTACTTAGTAATTTTAATATTAAAAAGGTTGTTATCATAGTCTATGACCATTTTCTAACTTGATAGTTAAACGCTAGTATTGAATTTTTAGACCTACTACAAAATTTTATAAAATAGTTGGATAAAGATGGCCGAATTTTCAATGTTCTTTGCGTAGAAGTTTTCTCTCTTTCAAGTTCTGTAGCTATCCATTTTCTATTTATTTTAAAAATAAATTCTTCAATTACTTTATTAAGTTCAAACGTGTATGATAGTCGGTATTAAAAAAATCAATGGTCCTTCGAGCCGGATTTTTAAATAAACTTAGTGTCAATTTACTCAACAATCAATATGACTCATCATTTATTATGTTTTTTTGGACACGGAAATTATGTAAAGACCAATTTTAGCGTAATATGTAGTATAATAGTTATAAGTTACGATACTGTATCTATAATAGTTTCTTTTTACTATACGCAACAGCTCCCTAGACAAGTAAACATCCGTGACAGTTGTAACTCCGAAATCGATTCGCCCCGGCGTTGTTTTTGTATGATTTCTTCGCTCCTTGAAGCTATTTATATTATTTATGAAGGCGCTGGATGCAGGCCGCTACCAACCGGCTTTTATGGAAATCACTGGGGAGGCCCTTTGTTCAGCAGTGGACGTCCTATGGCTGAAATGATGAAGCTATTTCGAAATTAAAACTGTAACGGTAGCTAAGTTTTTTGTCTGATTTTTTTTGTTATTTATTGTATTGTGTATTAAATACAAATAATAATTTATTTTTATATTTAAAAAAATGATTTGTGTGTGTATTTAAGATTTTATTTTATTATGTTCAGCTGGTTTGGATTTTGTACATAATGTAAAAATGATTTGTTAATAAAACAGTATGATTAAACCTTTTTTTTTATTTTAAATTGACATTTTATTATAGTAACAGAGACTAATCCCCTTACTAATAAAACTTACATGTTCGTTGAACAGTGTTTTTAAGTGACGTTTAGTATGAAAATGTCATTTTAAAACAGTGTTCAAGAACTGTGTAACTTTTTATTAGTAAGGGGGTAAATAATTAATTGACATGTTACTTAAAACCATTTTTATGTCTGTGTTTTACATATTTGGACTTATTTATGACCCTCTTCAATATATTTTGCAGTATTTCGACTTTTTCCGTCAAGTATCGGTTGCTTTGTATCAGCCTGTGTATTTTTAGACGTTTCTCTCTCAGTTGTATGCGGAGATGGTGGTTGTTTGTGGTCTTTTCCTGAAATAAAATGGAGTTTTTAAAGACAAGTATTTGACTGCAATCGCACCTGATGTTATGAGAGATGCAGTCTACGATAACTAAAAACACAACTCCTACCAGGGTTAAAAAGGTAGGAAGTATAAATAAAGTATAAAATATACAAAAAATATAGTTGTCAGTAAGAATGATATTATTTAATTTAAGCAAATTAAGTAATAAGCGAATTTCATCTGCTTTTTAAAGCGAGCAAGCAAAGGATTTTTTCTTTTCAACCTAAAGGATAATTAGCAGAGAATGCCTGATGGCATTAAGTTTGCCATTATAAAAAAAACTTTATAAATCATCTTAGAAGCGAATAAATATTTCTGATATCAATTTGTCATTGCAGAATACACCTTTACCTTGTCATCAGATTCCTTCTCCTGCGACCCATTATCCTCTTGTCCATTCTCAGGTTCGGATCCCGCTGGTGACTGCGGTTTTTGATCCAACTGGTCAGACGATGAATAATCGTCACTGCCTTCATCATTATGTTCGTTCATGTGCTGGAATAAAGAGTGCAATTAATTTGTGACAAATATTTGTATATGGAATATCTCCACCCACAAGGTGGACCGATGAAAGGAAGGTAAGGATGACCATAAAGGTAGCGGGAAGGCGCTGTTTGCAGGCCGCCACCAACCGGCCATTGTGGAAAGCTTTTATCGCGCCATTTTATCGATTTCACGCGATTAGACTATAATTATTATTGTCGTCTAAAATCTAAATATAAAAACTGACTGACTGACATAGTGATCTATCAACGCACAGGCCCGCACAGCCCAAACCACTGGATGGATCGGGCTGAAATTTGGCATGCAGGTAGATAATTATTATGACGTAGGCATCCGCTAAGAAAGGATTTTATGAAACTCCTCCCCTAAGGAGGTAAAACGGGATCTACGCGTGCGAAGTTGCGGGCGGCCGCTAATGGTTGATAAGATATAACTCACTGCCGGATAAATTGTAGGGATGGCTTTAGCCACCAAAAACCGCCGGTTGGTCCCGCGTTGGAACTGAGCGGGTTCAAAATGTTCCGAACAGATGGTACTGGTCCGGAACGGCTGCCAGCTCGGCCCTCTGTTGCAAAACTCTTGCCACTTCCGTCTCATCCCAGGAATTCTTGGGAATCTGGAAATGGAAATAGAAAAAACTTTGTTGACACAGTATTCATTACTTTTAATTCTACAAATGGACTGAGTGTACTTACAAATGGTAAGAAATACCGTCGTTTTTAAAATTCCTTTTGTTCGAACGATTTCTGCATTTCGATACCGAACAGTTTACCATTTTAATTAAAATTTAAAAACCCGTAACCCAACACAACACAAAAGTTTGCGCCAATGACAGCTGTCAGCTGACCAGTTGTCACTTTACAATACTAGTGAGGTACCGTTCCTGGCTAAGTCGAAAACTGAGATTCTGGTATTTAGTCATAATCACAGTTTATGTGGTGTACTACTACACAAATAAAGTGTGTGCGCTATGGCAACACTGACTAGTACGGCGCGGTGGGGGCTCAGTCGTAGTCGGGCCGCCACACGGGACGGACGTCAGTGCTTGCACTAGCTTACACAGTGAACATATACCAGTGTTTTATTTAAGATACCACAATGGCGACGAGGATAAAAGTGAGTAATTAATAATTTTAATGATTATATACCCAATAAATTAAATAAAATAAAAGGGAGGTAGCTACAATCATTACACTTACAGAATGTACTTTCACAGTCTATTTGCCGATTATTATTTTTCAAAATCATTATTATTATCAACGTCAAGTCAATTAATATTTAATTTTACAAACAATACCAAATCTCCAACCCATAGTAATATTGATTTTGATTATGTTGCGCGTACGCATGAGTCACAGGTGTTATGTTGATTAACAAACTCGTTACTTACCAAAAGTCACTTGTTATTATTAAGTAATTAGTCTTGTTAAAACTAAATCATGTAAGATCATTTGAGCCAAACTGACGCAGACAGAATATGTCTGCCTGCCAGTTGAAGGGTACCTATTTAAACTGTAATTTGCAATGCCACTGAGACTCGTTTTGATCATTATTCCTTATCGAACTAAATAATTTATATTATTACAATTATCGTATTCCTGAACGAATTAAATTGTTTTACTACAATGAAATATACGTAATACTAGTAGGTTACCTCCTGTTTACATCAATGCTACCTATAAAACGAGACAAGATAATGTATTGTTAAGAAATTATGACAATCTGATTGGGTATATAATCTTAAATAATAAATAAAGCAAGTAGTGAATTGCTAATATAGAATGATAAACAAAACAAGTAGTGAATTGCTAATATGGAATAATAAACANTACTAGCTTTCCGCCCGCGGCTTCGCCCGCGTGGAATTTTGTCTGTCACAGAAAAACTTTATCGCGCGCGTCCCTGTTTCAAAAACCGGGATAAAAACTATCCTATGTTCTTTCCCGGGACTCAAACTATCTCTATGCCAAATTTCATCAAAATCGGTTGCGAGGTTTAAGCGGGAAAGCGTAACAGACAGACAGACAGACAGACAGACAGACAGACAGACAGACAGACAGAGTTACTTTCGCATTTATAATATTAGTTGGGATTTATAATATTAGTTGGGATATTTTGTCAGATTCGGCGTTCATAGTATCAGGAGCGCGGGACTACGCGAGGACCGCTTTCAAGGCAGCTATGGCGTCCGCTCAAGTTGTAAGTACTTATACATTTTCTGTTCTTGCAATATTCTACTATCATGTACGAAGCGACAGATCTGAGCTCCGTTGGCGAGTTGGTGTATAATCGCTTCTATAATACAAAGACGTGATGCACATTGCACAATGCCTGTATTGTAATAATTCAACTTATAATTTCAGATAATCCAACCGGTTTACAAAACTATGTTCTCGGAGATGAAAAGAGCGCCCCGCATGCATGTTGGTGAGTAATAATAATAAGTCTTCATTAGCTAGCACGCATTTAATTTTGCAGTCTCGCATTGATTGTCAAAAAAAACCCTCCCATGGCAGCTGCTCCCATACCCCAGGCACTGACTCAGATATCTACTTATAGGCTAAGAACATACAGAAAAAGTTACTTGCTGTGCTAGTTTTAGATTTTTTTTTCTGACGACTATGCTTATAGTCGTGAGCGGCTTTCTTAGCTTCACCGAGCAATATGTTAGCGCAGATGGCTCTCAACCTCAACTAGTTTTAGGAAGATATCTTTTCCAGTCTGTCAAGGACAGAAAAAAGTAATTAAAAATAAAAGAATAAAACGTCACCTTTTCCGTCAACCGAAGAAAAATATGGTTTCATTTGCTCTCTTCTAATACGAAATATTATGCAGAAAATCATTTGGTGACCCTTAAGAAGACGCATTTTCTCATGATGGAGTCTTATTTGGCCGTGTAGTCCAGCGTCCAGCTCGAAAATCCGAAGATTCTCGGAAAATACCAATCAAGGAGGGCGGAGGACACGCGCGGCGTACCAACGGTTGTTGAATTCACAACTTCTACGAACATTCTGCTAAACCAACGTTTGCTGTATTGGAAAACCAAATAGAAGGAAAGTCATAAAGGTATTCGAGTGGTAATTGTCTTCAAGTAAGTGGCTGGTGTTATTTTTTTACTTGGGTGTGTTATCGTAACCTACTTATTACAATTTTACCTGGTTCATAGTATTGTTTTCAATTACCTAAATCATGGCGTCAGACTCTGACAGCGCTTCCACAGTAATAGAGCATGATTTGTTAAGAGATCTGATAAAGAAAAGGGGGTCTGAAAAGGGCAAATTAACGTTGTTTAAAAAGTACCTAGCCAAATTGGACCCCCAGGCAATTTCAGCTGAACAGATCATAGATCTCGAGCTACGGACTGACAAGGTTAGAACAGTATTTTCAAAATTCGAAAAAATCCAGGACAGAATTGAGACTCTCAGTACAGATATAGATAAAGAGTTAGAGGAGAGGGAGTGTTTTGAGAACTCCTACTACGAGTCAGTGGCTAGGGCAAAGAATTACCTAAACCAAAATAAACCCAATAATGCTTCATCCAATTCAAACCAGGACAATAATGCTTTTCAAATTTTTCCAGATTCAAATGCAATTAAATATCCTGATATTTCCTTGCCAAGCTTTTCAGGCAATATCACGCAATGGATTGAATTCAGAGACACCTTTGATGCGCTTGTTAACAAGACAAGTTTGAAATCCATTCAGAAGTTTAAATACCTGCGTGGTTGCTTGAAGGGTAGTGCGCTGGAGGTTGTGAGCTCATTGGAGTATTCCGAGGAGAGCTATGCTATAGCTTGGCAGCTTTTGTGTGAGCGCTACAATAATCCAAAGGTGTTAGTATATAACCATCTAAGAGCTCTTATTAACATTGACAATGTTCCCACTAATGCCAATTCTTTAAGAGATTTAGCTGACAACATATCTAAGCACATGCGAACGCTGAAATCACTCAACATTTGTACTGATGGTTGGGATCTATTAGTAATTTTTCTCTTGTCTGCTAAGCTTGAAGCGCACATGCAACGTAAATGGGAGGAAAAAAGTGTTTCACGTGATTTACCTACGTTACAGGAATTTAAGTCGTTTTTGCGTGCTCAAGCTGACCTTCAAGAGACACTGGACCAGGCAGGTACCGGTTCCAGTGAACAGCCTTCCACCTCGGCGCGGAAGGTCATGCTGGCCACGTCCTCTCCTGGCTCTCAGAGTAAGGTACCACCTAACAACAATACCAATACCCGTCGTAATCAATGTCCTAATTGCAAAGAGAGTCACTACATCAACCAATGCTCAAAGTTCTTGGCTCTGAAAGTACCGTCACGCATCCAATTGATTAAGAAATTAGGCCTTTGTCTTAACTGCTTAGGTTCAAACCATATCTTACCAAATTGCAAATCTTCGAACTGTCGAACCTGTAAACGAAAGCACCACACTTTATTACATATTACTCAAAATGACACTCCACAACCGAGTACGTTACCACAGCCACAGTTATCAACTATGTATAACCCAGAACCTATTCGTACCAATGCTGAATCTCAATCAGTAAACTTATTTACAAACCAACAAATAACCAACACCACTTTAGGCACGGTTGATAACAATTTACCAATTCAACACAAAGCGATTTTGCTTTCTACTGCGCAAATAACTGTTGTAGATATCAATAACCAATTACATACAATGCGAGCCTTGTTGGACTCAGGTTCACAGTCAAACTATATTACTCAAAGTGCATTTAATAAATTAAATTTAAAGGCACAAAAATTAGATATGGAGGTCATTGGGTTTAATGAAAATGTAACCAAAATTAACCAATTGTGCAACCTAAAAGTAAACTCAATGGACAATACATTCTCTACCAATTTGTCTTGCTTTATTGTACCTAACATTTGTAGTTTGCCTTCGTACTTACCAAGTGCGCAGGGTCTAAATATACCTAAACGAATTAATCTTGCAGACGCCTCATTCTATAAAGGGGGTGAAATCGATATCATCATCGGTGCTGAACTATTCTACCAACTACTATGCATTGGCCAACACTGTCTCGGAGACGGTTTACCAATTTTACAAAGAACTCGATTAGGTTGGGTGGTTTCAGGCTGCGTCTCTGTAGTAAACAAACCCTTACAAGTAAGATGCAATTTTACTCTTAATTCAAATAATTTTTTGAGAGACTGTGACCAGATATTGAAATCTCCAAATGATGATACCACATATTGTGAAAATGTCTTTGCGACACACACAAGAACAGCTGATGGTAATTTCACTGTCAAAATGCCCCTTCAGGAGCCTGTCACAAGTCTCGGGTCATCTCTACCAATTGCATACAAACGATTTCGATCACTAGAATCTAAATTTGAGAAAAATCCAGAGTTTAAAGATAAATATGTAGAGTTCATGGACGATTTTATAAATGCAGGGCATATGATTGAGAAAACCACCTCTGAGCCTTGTAATTACTTACCTCACCACGCAGTCTTGAACCCTCAAAAAACAACAACACCTTTGCGAGTAGTTATTGATGCATCCTGTAAAACCAGTAGTGGAAAGTCTTTGAATGACATACAACACAAGGGTACAATGGACCAAGATAGTTTGGATAATATTTTGATACGATTTCGAAAACACAAATATGTTATTAGTGCAGATATAAAAAAAATGTATAGGAACATATTTATTGACCCAACACAACAACACTTACAATGTGTATTTTGGCGTGATAACCCAAACAAGCCACTTCTGACATACCAATTAACTACGCTTAGTTTTGGCTTGAAATGTGCGCCATACTTGGCTACTCGATGTTTGAAACAACTCGCGGACGAGAACGAAAAGTCATTTCCAATAGCTTCTTCTGTTATAATTTCAGACTTTTATATGGATGATTTGATTCATGGTCAGGACGATGACCTTGAATTAGCCAAAACAGCCGTTCAAATAGATAACATTTTGAAAGGCGCAAACTTTCACCTAAGAAAATGGAAGTCCAACTCAGAGACTGTAGTGGACCAAATTAGAAACTCTACTCATGCATCTACCGATAATAACGAATTAACTTCGCTAGGGTCAGGTACACATAAAGTATTAGGACTCGCGTGGTCAAATGATGACGATAGCATACGGTATATATTACCCAAAGTGCATTTAATAAATTAAATTTAAAGGCACAAAAACTAGATATGGAGGTCATTGGGTTTAATGAAAATGTAACCAAAATTAACCAATTGTGCAACCTAAAAGTAAACTCAATGGACAATACATTCTCTACCAATTTGTCTTGCTTTATTGTACCTAACATTTGTAGTTTGCCTTCGTATTTACCAAATGCGCAGTGTCTAAATATACCGAAACGAATTAATCTTGCAGACGCCTCATTCTATAAAGGGGGTGAAATCGATATCATCATCGGTGCTGAACTATTCTACCAACTACTATGCATTGGCCAACACTGTCTCGGAGACGGTTTACCAATTTTACAAAGAACTAGATTAGGTTGGGTGGTTTCAGGCTGCGTTTCTGTAGTTAACAAACCCTTACAAGTAAGATGCAATTTCACTCTTAATTCAAATAATTTTTTGAGAGACTGTGACCAGATAATGAAATCTCCAAATTATGATACCACATATTGTGAAAATGTGTTTGCGACACACACAAGAACAGCTGATGGTAATTTCACTGTCAAAATGCCCCTTCAGGAGCCTGTCACAAGTCTCGGGTCATCTCTACCAATTGCATACAAACGATTTCGATCACTAGAATCTAAATTTGAGAAAAATCCAGAGTTTAAAGATAAATATGTAGAGTTCATGGACGATTTTATAAATGCAGGGCATATGATTGAGAAAACCACCTCTGAGCCTTGTAATTACTTACCTCACCACGCAGTCTTGAACCCTCAAAAAACAACAACACCTTTGCGAGTAGTTATTGATGCATCCTGTAAAACCAGTAGTGGAAAGTCTTTGAATGACATACAACACAAGGGTACAATGGACCAAGATAGTTTGGATAATATTTTGATACGATTTCGAAAACACAAATATGTTATTAGTGCAGATATAAAAAAAATGTATAGGAACATATTTATTGACCCAACACAACAACACTTACAATGTGTATTTTGGCGTGATAACCCAAACAAGCCACTTCTGACATACCAATTAACTACGCTTAGTTTTGGCTTGAAATGTGCGCCATACTTGGCTACTCGATGTTTGAAACAACTCGCGGACGAGAACGAAAAGTCATTTCCAATAGCTTCTTCTGTTNAAGTTTGATCTCTGTCGTTATTTTTTATAAGATTCTTTACGTTAGACAAATATTTTTGATACCATAAATAATTAAAAAAGTGGATTTTACTTTTTTTTCCTTTTCACCTACCCTATCGTAGAATGACCCAATGCGCGGTTGGTCCAGCCCCCCTGGAGATCCCTTTTTTAACTCGGGGCCCTAGATAGATGTACCTACGGCTGATACGGGGCTAGCCACGCCCCTCATAGTGGCTCATTGGCCATAGATTACCTCATAATTATTTGAACGTTCAGATGTCTGAAATTAACAACTTATTATTACAGATTATTACCCCTCTTAGGCTTGTCACCCCTAGCCACACCGCCGGCTTCATGTCTAACTCCTTCTCAGTCTCAGCAGTACGGCTCTGGAACGGCCTTCCGGCGAGTTTGCGAAAAGAAACCTCCAAATTTACATTCAAAAAGGCTCTGCGCAACTATTTCAGACTAAAACTTTTTTTTTTCTCTTATCTCTGACAGGTGTTATGTGTACGCCAATATTATTAGATTATGTGTAAATTATATTAATATGTATTCGTATGTTATTTATTTTATCTAATGCTATGTAAGTATATTAATTAAACGTCATATTTATTACACCGCCTTAGTCTCTCTACTCGACCTGTGGTTGACTGGCAGATAATGCCACCTGGCATTAAGTCCGCCACTGTACAGTTGTATGTGCAAAAGTGTAAAATCCCAACTATACAGGGTGTTTCTTGTAAGGTGTCAAGCCGAAGGCAGGTGATAGGTGAGGACTAGACCTATCGATTTCACCCCCATGTATGTTCTATGATTTTTCGTAGTTTAGAAGTTATCGTTAATTCTGTGATTTTTTCAGATTTCATGACCTAGTGGCTTAATTTTTTTTTTATCTTTTTTTTTGGTTGACTTTTCTCAGTTTTCTTTTTTTTGACAGATNAATATAGCTTGTCTCGAATCAAATAAAATAAGGAAGAGATGTGGTGTACTACTACACAAATAAAGTGTGTGCGCTATGGCAACACTGACTAGTACGGCGCGCGGTGTGGGCTCAGTCGTAGTCGGGCCGCCACACGGGACGGACGTCAGTGCTTGCACTAGCTTACACAGTGAACATATACCAGTGTTTTATTTAAGATACCACAGTTTATAAAATAGATTTAAAATATCTTAATACGAGAACTACGATATATCTTTGATAAGTACAAAGCACAACAAAGCGGTCTTTCACAACGCTACCGCGCCGTTTCAAAAACGTTAACGTTAACTTTTCCACCAAATTAATAACCACAATGCAACCTCTTATCAAAATTAAAATAATGGTTGCCTAGCAACGTAATTGTTTAGTCGATGTCTTCCTGACGAATGTCGTCAAGTTTATTAAATAATTTTTAGTTACTTGTGGCCAAAATGAGCGGAGAGACGTTGTATGAGAGACCTAGAAGGCACGTTGCGCCCAAAATGAGGGTACATGATTATTTATACGGTAAGAAAAGTGTTCAAACTTCATATAGTAGTTACTNCAGTTGCAACAGCTGTACCAAAGCTTTTGGCAGCGTTGGTCGAGGGACTATATTGGACTTCTGCAGACCCGTACCAAGTGGAGGAGCTCAAAGGGCATGAGTCTACGTGATGGCACCATCGTACTCGTGAAGGATGACCGGCTGCCCCCGAACCAATGGAAACTAGGACGCATCGTTAACTGCTGCAAGGGGAAGGACGGAGTCACGAGGGTGGCGGAGATCCACACCTCAGGGGGAGTCATCAAACGCGCGTTCAACAACATTTGTCCACTACCTATAAATGGAATTGATTAATTATTTAAGTTTATTACCTACTAAGTTTCAATATTATCTTAAGTTAATATGTATGTAACTATATTGTTTGTATTAATTTAGAGTCAAGGGTGTACTAACCAATAGTTACTATGTACCTATGTGGGACTTGGTTTGTATTCGTTTAAATAATTTCCTATTGTTTGTTTCAATTACCCACTTAGGATTAGTAGGTATGTGTGAAACCTGGGTGTCTGGTACCTTTTTTCATGGATTAACAAACTTAAATTTATTTCAATTGATTAAACTTATTATTACCAGAGACCTAGATTTTACTGGATAAGGTTTTGTAGTTCTATATTAATAATGCCTGTGGTGGCAGCATGTCAAGGACAGAAAAAAGTAATTAAAAATAAAAGAATAAAACGTCACCTTTTCCGTCAACCGAAGAAAAATATGGTTTCATTTGCTCTCTTCTAATACGAAATATTATGCAGAAAATCACAGTCATCATCATCATCATCATCTCAGCCATAGGACGTCCACGGCTGAACATAGGCCTCCCCCAATGCTTTCCATGTTGCTCGGTTGGTAGCGGCCTGCGTCCAGCGCCTTCCTGCTACCTTTATGATGTCGATCCACCTTGTGCGTGGACGTTACACGCTGCGTTTACCGGTACGCGGCCTCCACTCCAGAACCTTGCTGCCCCATCGGCCGTCAGTTCTGCGTACTATGTGCCCTGCACATTAACATCTTTTCCAGTGTACCACGCCAACTGCCGCCTGCCAGACCACATGGACCGCTCGTATAGCGGGTATCTCCAGCGGGTGCAGGACTCGAAGAACGTTCCCGCGCCGCAGCTGCAAGGCCGGGACCGGTTTATGTTCACTGCCATGTGAGTATGTAATAGAGAAGAATGGCTTTTTTATTGGCTTTTGCGGTTTTCTATAAGCAGAATGTCTGTTAGCGCGGGTATGCGCCTCGGCATTACGACTAGATACTTGTCGAAAATAACCCTAAGTCAAGTTGCGTGATTCCACTCTTGAACAACTTGGCAAGTAGTTGGCAGTAGCTGGTAGCGCGGAATTCGCCAAGTAGACTTGGGCGCACTTGCTGACAGTGGGGTGGGGATGAAGAAATTTGCCGAGTTCTTATCAAGTATGTGTTCACATTGATGCGGCTTGGCCAATTTTCCGCATAGTGTACCCGCACCATGTAGATTAGCATAATGCTAGTGTTGTCGCATAATCATAATCGAATAGTATCCGCTCCGTGCACCTACGCGAGTTATAGCGGATCATCATCATCATTTCAGCCACAGGACGTCCACTGATGAACATAGGCCTCCCCCAATGATTTCCACATCGTCCGGTTGGTAGCGGCCTGCATCCAGCGCCTTCCTGCTACCTTTAAGGTAGCCTTTCGAACTAAGCGTCACAGACGCAGCGTCTTTAGCTTTGGTCTAAAAGGTACTTATCCTTTCGAAGCGAGTTAGTGACGCGTTGGTGGCACAAGACCAAAGATGCTGCGTCTGTGACGCTTAGTTTGAAGGGCTACCTTTATGAGGTCGTCGGTCCACCTTATGGGTACACCCTACGCTGCTTTAATACCCTAAATAAAATGATCAAATGATGGTTCACTACAATGGTTCCAGTCCAAAGAAGCTGCTGCCAGTCCACAGCACGACGCCCGACTTCCACCCGCCGAGCCCGCGCAATGCGTCCGTCATGGCCACCAAGCCCCGAAGCAGGGGCACGCAGAGCTTGTTCCGGTTTGCAAAATACATAACAATATTTAATTACTAACGTAAATCATCATCATCATTTTATGCCTATAATATGTTATTCTGGGTTATAAACAATAATACTGTAAAGTTTCATCAAAATCCGTTCAGTAGTTTTTGCGTGAAAAAGTAACAAATTAACATCCAGACCATCCAGACTTCCAAACTTTCGCATTTATAATATTAATTAGCAGGATATGATATGAAACGTAGCAATGAGGGCTATCGTTTTAGCGCTCACCAGTTAGCGCCACTATAGAGTAAGGTCCTGTCACTTGCTAGTAGCGAAGACAGTGGCACCAACTGGTGAGCGCGAAAGTGGTAGGAGGACTATCGCATTTGCACTCATCAAGATGGCGCCACTGTAGAGTAAGGTCCTGTCACTTGCTAGTAGCGAAGACAGTGGCACCAACTGGTGAGCGCGAAAGTGGTAGGAGGACTATCGCATTTGCACTCATCAAGATGGCGCCACTGTAGAGTAAGGTCCTGTCAATCGCCAGGGGTGCCAACTGTTAAGTATAAAAACGATAGCCCTCATTGAAATATTTAAAGATATATAAAAGGGATTAGTACTCTTATACCAGCGTTCAGCATTCCATTCCGTAATTTATTTTATTCTATTCTCTCATTCATCAGGGAGTCATCGGCGCAGACCATCCCGTGGCAGCCTGACGGGAAGCCGGCTGAGACTTGCGAGAACACCCCCGAAGTGCTGTATTTGGACCAGCTGGAATGGGGTGAGACCACCGTAAAAAATAAACTAATATTCATTCAATAAGAGAAGAGAGGAGAAAGAGAGAGGGCCAAGAGAGGGAGGGGAGAGAGATAGGTAAGAGAGGGGGAGAGAAATGAGAGGGATAGAGATAGAAAACGGGAGAGGAGAGATGAAGGGAGGGGAAAGTTATTAGAGAGAGTATTTTCGGAGTGTTTGTTAAAATAAAGGATATCGCCTAATTTCAACAGTTGTAACTTTTTAGGTTTGTAAAGGTAGCAGGGAAGCGCTGGACACAGGTCGCTACCAATCGATCAACATGGAAAGCATTGGGGGAGGCCTATGTTCAGCAGTGGACGTCCTATGGCTGAAATGATGATGATGATGATGAACTTTTTAGGACCAGGCAGCCCCTACCGAATTGGCGATCTACCGGCAGATTTTCACACCACGGAAATTATTAACAAGTAAGTTTTGTTTTGTTATAATTTGCAATTTGGGACTTTTCCCACCGCGAAAGATGGACGAGAAGCGAGTAGAGAAGCCTAAAATATCTTACTTGCCACACAGCTGGGTAAAAGGCAAAAAATTTACCAATATACAGGGTGTTGATTTCAATACTCGCCATATTTAGGGAGTTAATTTAAGTAGCTTATTCTGATCACGAATCAGTAAAAAAATGAGTTCGAAAACAATTTAAAACGAACTTTAACTTTAGTTGGTCAAAGAAAAATACCTATTTACATTACCTACTTTACGTGGCTACCTTCAGTAGGCTATCCGACATGATAAGCGAGTGATCCGCGTAGCTCGATGGGTGCCGTAGTGTAAATTATTGCAGTATTGCGAATTTTCGAGTCACAACAGTACAGTTGATATCGCACGGAAAATATTCGCTAAAAATTCCACTTTCGTTTGTAATTTTTTTTGGGTGGATTAATGCGTTCATAAGTCATAATAGATCACCTAAATAAATATGGCGAGTGTTGAAATCAACACCCTGTATAAAATTTTGTTTAAAGACGAATTTAGCTTCATTCTAAATTCTCATTCTCTTCCAGTAAATCTTTTGGCCAAACAGAAAACTATCAATAGACGGTGCATTTAAACCTATAGTTTTAGCAGCATTAAAATTTCATGGTTCAGGATTTTCTCCTTTCCTATAGAATGCGTCACGCCCGCGCGTGGATGGAGTTAGTAGAGAAGGCCCAGTTCCCGCGCTGGATGAAGAAACGGAACGCCATCATAACTGACGTGGAGACCAAGGACTGGATCTTCAGGGAGGCGGAGATCGATGAGCTGCAGGTCAGTCTGACACCACTGAAGGTGCGATAAAACTGCCCCCCATTAAGTGGGGGCGTGTTGGGTCCCGCCGTGTAGGGCGGGACGTCCGCGGAAGGCGTTCTGGTCGTTTCTAGTACCCAAGGCGCCGACCACTATGCGGCAGAGGGAACACCCCAGGTTTTTAGTGGGTTCGAGCCCCACATAACCTACCGTCCCCCGGCGGTAGGTATGGATAGGCCATTTTCCTGAATTAAAAAAAAAAGTGCGACAAAACTATTTAAATATTGTTATTTTCTCTTTTGTTCACTCTGTCTCGACAGCAATACAGTGCCCTAAAGATCACCTGAAGTTCAGCGTGCCGTGGTGAACTTTACCACGAGTTTACGACAAGTAATGCTGATTTAGGGACCTTTTTAGAATAATTGCTTTTTTATATTTATCAAGTTTTTACTCTTTAGTCCTGTTTTCTATCCTTCACTTGAAAATGGACAAAATCACCTTCACCCTTTGATTCCACGCAAACTCAGATTCTCCACTTACAGCTTTTTTTTATAGTTCAGCATCTTCATCTTCTAACCAACTGGGTCTCCAGGAGTCGGCCTTTCTGGCACCAGAAGACTCTCACCCACGCACTTGATTCGCTTTAAGGATAAGATTTTTGTGGATGAGAATAAAGGTCAAGGAGAAGCACAAAAGGCCGGCCGGCCGATGGGGGCAACAAGGTTCTGGAGTGGAGGCCACGTACCGGAAAACGCAGCGTGGGACATCCACCCACAAGTTGGACTGACGACCTGATAAAGGTAGCAGGAAGGCGCTGGATGCAGGCCGCTACCAACCGTGCGATGTGGAAGTCATTGGGGGAGGCCTGTTCAGTAGTGGACGTCCTGTGGCTGAAATGATGTTGATGTTGAAACAATGACCACCTAGTAAACGACATAAAAAGATAAATCTTTTAAAATTATTGACCCAGGATATCAGGCTGACCCTCCTGCACAGAATGCAAGCGCAGCAGCGGCAGAAAGCCACCAACAGGACCAGCACCAAGCTGGCCAAGCTATGGGCTTGCAAGAAACAGGAGATGGAGCGGAAGGTAGACCACATTAGGAGGAGCAGGGATAGAGGTACGAATTAGCTTCACAGGACAGGTGAAGGTGAACAGGTTACGTTACAGCAAGCTACATACCAACGGAGTAGTCAAGAAATTCTTTTTTCTTATGGCTTTGTGTAATTTTGCAAATATTCACACACGGAAAAGTCTGTGCCTGGCGTCTGCATTTGACCACCTGCTTCAGATGCAGAGGTCCTGGGTTCGATCCCCAGTGGGTGCAGATTTTCTGTTCGGTTTGGTTGGTGGTAGGGCTTGTTCTAAGTCCGCCTGGCTAGCTACCACCATTTTATGTAAGTCTGTCGCCATAACAACAATGTTAACAGCATAGTTGTGATCCGGCAGTTAGAGGTAAGAAAGCCAGTTGATCCGTGGTTGAGGATTCCGGGTGAAGCTCGTTTCCACCTTCGGCCTGATCGTCACTTACCATCAGGTGAGATACAGGCCAAGAGCTTCCTCGTTGTGGATAAAAAAAACCCTAACCAAAAATTAGGTTGTCAGTGTCAAGTAGTAGTCTGGTCGCCGAGCACGTAGAATTTTGTCCAATGACCCCAAGATACTTATCATTCCTGTCATTGGGCAAAATTCTACGTGATCAGAGACCGGGCTTTCGATATACCTACCCTGACAATAACACTTGGAACATATTCTGGTTTCCAGAACTCCGCAAACTGACAGCCCTTCACACCGGTGGCGGACGCCCAGGCCTGGTCCAGCGGATGAGGGCCTCCAGAGGGTCAGGGTCCATGACCCTCGCGGCACACGACCCCACGTCTGACCTGCACGCGCCGCTAGCCCGGCATGGGTATCAAGCGCGCAGGAGGCACGCGGATATTGACTACGATCCGACTCTATTGTGTACGTAAGCTATTCACTCAATCATCATCATCATTTTAGCTACAGAACATACAAAAGACCTCCTCCAAGGATTTCCAGAATGGCGGCGGCCTGCATCCAAGGATTGGAAAGCTGAAGAGGCAATGGGTAAAGTCCGTGAGCACGTAGAATTTTGTCCAATGACCCCAAGCTACCCATCCTAATCGCTCGCGCGTAAAATAATTATGTTACTGTCGCGCTCGCACACTCACTGCGGGCGCCCGTCGCACAGTCGCGACAGCAATATAATTACGCGCGAGCGATAAGGATGGGTAGCTTGGGGTCATTGGACAAAATTCTACGTGAACCAGGCTTTAGAACTTTAAAAGATTATTTAAAGGTTGCATGATTTATTCGTTTAATTCAGCCAAAGGCAATCCACTGTTAAGACATCAGCCACAACTAAAGAACACCACAAAGCACGATCTCCTGCTTATCTACTTGAGATCCTCAGTCCAGCTCGATTCTGCCACAGATATGAGCAGACCAGATACTTTGTTCGTTCGTTTCAGCCGAAAGACGTCCACTGCCGGACAAAGGCCTTCCCCAAGGTTTTCCACAAATATCCTTGGACTTTTTACACTACGCTTCTACAAAGACCGGTCCTGTGCCGTCGGCATCCACCTCCTGCGACCGTCACCAGATCGTCGGTCTACCTAGTGGGATGCCTACACTACGTATACATACGTATTCCGGCTTGTGGTCGCCACTCGAGAACTTTTCTGAACCAGATATTTATTCTTATTTCATTCTCCTACAGCTCTAGAAGACCACAAGAGGATAGCCGAGCCTCCAGCCTGGCTAGACCAGTGCGGTCAGAACCTCAAGCGCACCTGTTCCGGCCACCATCTACCAAGGGATCCCATGCAGCTGTGCGAGCGAGAGACGAAGTGGAGCGAGCAGTTCTTGGAGAACCTTCACAATGATCTGAAAAGTAAGTTTCGATGACCGGAAGAAGACCTAACATAACTTGGGAAAACCAAACCTTCAGAAAAACTAAGTTTGAAATCTTTGGATTTTAGAAAACCCAAAACCTAACCAAACCTTAAGTACTCAGAAAACGTGTCAAATTAAAATTGTTTTTAGACCTTTAAAACTTTATTTCCACTGCCATTATTATATTTAAAGGGTTAAACTTTACTTCCAATTAACACTCACAAGCAATTCAATGACCGGTCATTCTGACTCGCATCCAAATTCATCCCGCAAGCTTTACCATATCGTTGGTACACCGAGTAAGGTAAAGGTCTTCCTACGACGAAGACTCCTGTGTCGCCAATATTTTTCGATCGATCACGTAGGGAAACTCGGAAGAATCACCTAAAATACTGTTTATTCCCTACAGAGGCGCGCCTAGGAGCGGCGCAAAGCACAGCCGGGCCACTCCACGTGTTGAAGCCACGTCGCGTTACAGTCACGCCACGCCCGCCCACGCCAGAGGTTGAGAGCGTAGAGGATTCTGAAGAGGCCAGCCACCAGGCAGCGTTGTTACTGCAGAAGATTATTAGAGGACGCGCTGTACAGAATTTGGTAAGTGACGTTCTGTATAGGAAGGTACGTTGCGTCACTGTTGCGTCGTCATCGTGTCACAGTCACGTCACCGTCACGCCACGTCCGCTCACGCCCGAGGTTGAGAGCGTGGAGGATTCTGAAGAGGCCAGCCACCAAGCGGCGTTGTTGCTGCAGAAGATTATTAGAGGACGAGCAGTGCAGAATCTAGTGAGTTATGTTTTGTATAGGAAGCTTTGTCGCGACACTGTCATGTCACTGTCGTCACTGCTACTTCGCGGCGCATCACTGTTATACCGTGTCACGCCACTGCAGCACTGTTACGTCGTGTCATCGTCGCGTCTCTGTCGCGTTACTGTCACGTTACTGTCGCGCCACTATGACATTTGCTACATCATGTAATTTGGGACGTTTTAAGCATTGTATGTATATGCATGCATGTATGATATTTGGGATATTTATGACCTCTATTCTTAGCGCCTTATCATCCCATATTATATGAGTACCTACAAATTACCAAGAAGTTCTCAAGATAATATTCCTTCAACAGATGTACGAGGGCCGCACTCGGGCTTCCGAGCTGACTGAAGAGCTGAAGACCACTCACGGTCTTCAGAAGGAGGACAAGATACGGATTGCGAGAGAGGAGGCCAAGGCTCGGGAGTACAACGCGCTTCGCACAGAGTCCGAGCAGAAGGTAGAGAGAGCCAAAAGTTAATACTTTTTTCTCTTTCATTATCTCTCTCTCTTTCCTAATCTCTTACTCTCTTATATTCTCTCTCTCTCTCTCTCTCTCTCTCTTTCATTATCTCTCTCTCCCTTTCATGATCTTTCAATCTCTCTTTAAGAGAGAGGAAGGGAGCTCGCTCTCTTTCTTCACGCTTTGCCTCTCTTTCTTTAGCTCCCATTATACCTCTCTCTCTCTCTCTCTCGAAGAGAGTAAGGCAGTTCCCTCTCTTTTTCACGCTCGCCCTCTCTTTTTCTCAAAGAGAGGGATAGAGTTCCCTCTTTGTGAAGACCACGCACGGCCTTCAGAAGGAGGACAAGATACGGATTGCGAGAGAAGAGGCCAAGGCTAGGGAGTATAACGCACTTTGCACAGAGTCCGAACAGAAGGCTAATACTTTTTTCTTTCATTATCTCTCCCTCTCTCTCTTTTTCATTATCTCTCTGTTTCCTAATCTCTCACTATCTTACATTCTCTCTCTCTTTTCTAATCTCTCACTCTCTTACATTCTCTCTCTCTCTTTCATTATCTCTCTCTCTTCCTTTCATGATCTCTCAACCTCTCTTTAAGAAAGAGGAAGGGAGCTCGCTCTCTTCTTCACGCTTTACCTCTCTTTCTTTCCCTCCCATACCTCTCTCTTTCTATCGAAGAGAGCAAGGCAGCTACCTCTCTTTTTCACGCTCGCCCTCTCTTTTTCTCAAAGAGAGAGATAGAGTTCCCTCTTTGTGAAAACCACTCACGGCCTTCAGAAGGAGGACAGGATACGGATTGCGAGAGAGGAGGCCAAGGCTAGGGAGTACAACGCGCTTCGTACAGAGTCCGAGCAGAAGGTAGGGAGAATCAGAAGCTAATACCTTTCTCTCTCTCTTCTTTTCATTATCTCTCTCCCTCATCACGCTCTCTTTCTCTCGAATTACCTCACCCCCTCTCACTCTTATTACCTCTATCTTTTAATCTCTCTCTCCCTCTCTTCGAGAAAGGGAAGCAGCTTAGAGAGAGAAGGAGTGAACTCCTGCCCTTTTTCTCCCTTAAACTCTCTTTTCCCTTAGACTATAGGTATTTTCCTCTGAGAGAGGGTGGGAATCGTGATCGGGTACTCGTCAATCAGGGCTATCGTTTTAGCGCTCACCAGTTAGCGCCACTGTAGAGTAAGGTCCTGTCACTTGCTAGTAGCGAAGACAGTGGCACCAACTGGTGAGCGCTAAATTGGTAGGAGGACTATCGCAATTGCACTCATCAAGATGGCGCCACTGTAGAGTAAGGTCCTGTCAATCGCCAGGGGTGCCAACTGTTAAGTATAAAAACGATAGCCCTTATTGGCTTACCCGTTTTTTACGTCTTAAATAAATAAATAATTTGTAACGTTTTTCGCTGTGACGAATCGATTGATAAATTGACATTGACTCCCCTTAGGGGTGGATTACTTCCAGCTCGGTCTACCACTGGATAAAATGATGATGATGATGACTTATATCACACAGGACGATGCCATATCAGCTCTGGTGGATGAGCTATGCGGCGGGGCGGTGTCAGCTGCCTTGGACTTCTTGGAGAAAGAGCTGAAACGACTGAAGGAGGAGAGGAGACAGCACGCGTACATATTGATTGCACGTAAGTGGTTTACCATTTTTATGTAATCGCCTCTGTGGTCTAGTGGTAAGACCACCTGCTTCAGACGCAGAGGTCCCGGGTTCGATTCCCAGTGGGGGCAGATGTTTCTGTTCAGTTTGGTTGGTGGTAGGGCTTGTTCTAAGTCCGCCTGGCTAGCTACCACCATCTTACCTAAGTCTGTCGCCATAACAACAATGTTAACAGCATTGTTGTGTTCCGGCAGTTAGAGGTAAGATAGCCAGTTCCTCCGTGGTTGAGGATTCCTGGTGAAGCTCGCTTCCACCTTCGGCCTGATCGTCACTTGCCATCAGGTGAGATACAGGCCAAGAGCTTCCGCGTTGTGGATAAAAAAAAATGTTAACCAATGACCTAGGCTCTTGGATGATTCAAACTTGGAGTGCAAGACGTGTGGTTGTTTTCCCCAGTTGATGAAGCACATGATGTCGTGCCCTGCGTGCCCAAACAACTGCACGCAGGAAGATTTAATGAACGCTACTGACAGCGCCACTCTTGTGGCGGGGTTTTGGGCTGACACTGTACATAGGTTTGTTGTCGGGAAGAAAGGAAGAAGAAGAATCAATGACCTGATGATGATGTTGTACTATGATAAGATAAGATAAGATAATCATTTATTGTCTTTTCTGTGTAAGTACATTCATCTATGAGTAGTATAGAAGTATTATTAGGCATTGTAATTGGTTTTGTAATTAAAATAATAATGTTTTCAGTACGTGAGAAGGCGATGAGAGAAGCAGCCGAAGCCGGCCGCCGACAGAAAGAAGAGCACAGAAGGAGAGAGCACGATGAGATGTTCAAACAGGTTAGTACGTTTCAACAAAAAGACGTCTAGCTTTACAAAGGTCTTTACAAGAATTTCCACAATGATCGTTCCTGCGCCGGCCCCTATCAGGTGTGTTCCGCGACAATATTTACGAGATCGTCGGTCCATCGAGTGGATTTTCGGAAGAAGGGGTTGTAAAATATTGGGGAAAGGGAGTAATATCTTCGATGGACGTGTTGGTTCAGCTGTAGGCATCTCCGATCTTCAATTATTATTGTCGACAAAAGTCTATCACTCACTGGACAGGGTTATTAATTTGGTTCAGTTAAAAGTTTTAGCGTGCGAGAATACAAAAGTTAATGATGGTACCATAAATAAGACAAGAGTACTACATGGATTTTTCTGTTCAGGTCGAATTTATAACATCATGCAAATTGTTTCCTGTAGTAAAAAAAAAGGCTGACAAAGGTGACTGGGTTTTTTTGCCACCTTCTCAGCACCAACCGATAATGTTGTGGTAGGGCGAGCTACATTTGGGTCAGAAGTGCCTTCAAAAGGGCCAATACTGTACTTATATAAAGAATTTGAATTTGTCACCAGGTTCTCGGAGTGACCCAAGAGACAGTAGACGCGTATCTCCGTGAGATCATAGACGAGGGTGTGGCGCTGGCAGCCGAAGAAGACGCCGTGAAGAAGGCGCGCTCTGAAGCCGATAAGATCGACCTGTCTTTGAAGGAAAACGATTCTATGTACGCTGACGACACTTTATTACTCATTATCATTTTAATTAACTGTCTCAATAAATTGTGTTTTGTCACAATCGAAAAACCTGCTGGAAAACTTTTGATAATGTCGTTTCAACCAAAACACATCCACTGCTAGGTAAATGCCTCTTCCAAAGGTCAACGACAGATTGCGCTGTCTGCAATTTTCATTTGTCAATCCACCAAATGAGAGGCCTGGCTACATTAAGCTTTTCGTAGACGCTATTTAATTTGAGATTATTTTTGCTCCAGCATCAATTCTCCGAGCTATGTCACTCATTGCCATTTCAGGCTAAGCTTGGGAATTCTGCGTATATATTGACGACATGTTATTACACATTCCGGACGACGAGTATCAGCAGCCAATTAAAATACTTTTTATGAGCTACATTCTTTCCTTCTAAGACCACAGGCCGGAAGACGTAGTTTGGGCTGGCTCTCCACTAGGTGGACCGACGATCTGGTGAAGGTTGCAGGAGGTGCCTGGATGCGGGCAGCGTAGGACTGGTTGTTGTGGAAATCCTTGGGGGAGGTCTTTGTCCAGCAGTGGGCGTCATTTGGCTGATACGACAATGACTTCTTCCCGTCTAGGTCCACAGCAGAACAGAACGAGCTGGTAGCAGAGTTAGTCCAGCAGTTCCTGCTTCCAGAAGTCCACAAGACGGCCGCTAGGCACCGCATATCGGCGGCCCAGAACGCCAAGCTGGAAGCTGCTAGAAGGACCATCTTTGGACACTTGGACGAGGCTGAGATTAAAGAAGGTAAGTTTTCGTCTAATTATTGTCGTATTATAAAAATCTAGTCTAGTATAGTGCCCCAAAATACAGAGTAATTCACGCCTATTTTGCACGTGGACTAAATAAATATGCGAACATCAGGCCTCCCCAACCCGTCTTGCCAGCGTAGGGAGTGTGGGCTAAATGTTCCATTGCCATACATTAGAGAGGGATTTGCTCCTGCAATGGGGCCTCAATGCCTGATGATAATGATCATGGTTTCTGTACGATGATGAAAACTCTAGATTTCTGCACCCAACGGTAGGCCGAATGCTCATTGCCTCTGGTAAATCTAGCTCCTGTTGTGAAGACTAAACTTACGACCTGATGGTGATCATCATCATCATTTCAGCCATAGGAAGTCATGTGCTGAACATAGGCCTCCCCCAATGATTTCCATAATGACCAGCTGGTGGCGGCCTGCATACAGTGCCTTTTTGCTACCTTTATAAAGTCGTCGGTCCACCTTCTTTGTGGTCTGAGGAGTTCCGCAGAAGAACTAAAGTAACTGACATAGCCCGCAGAATCGCTAAAATCAAGTGGCAGTGGGCGGGGCACATAGCTTGCAGAGCTGATGGCCGCTGGGGCAGAAAAGTTCTCGGGTAAAGCCGGAAGATGTAGTGTGGTCATTAAGGTCGCGGTTGGTGCCTGGACGCGGGCGGTGCAGGGCCGTTCTTTGTGGAAAACCTTGGGGGAGGCCGTTGTCCAGCAGTGGAGGTCTTTCGGCTGAAACGAACGAACGAACGAGGTACTCTTGTATTGGATCTGACCTCCATCTCATGTTAATTTTGGCAACCTCCATCGCAGGTTTCTGCACGCAATGCGGCTGCCCGCTAGACGAGCTGTGCCGCTGCCGCGTGTGCCCGCTGCGCCAGGAACCGGTCGAGACCAAGGCCAGGTTCGACCCGCGGTGGGTGCACTCCAGGTGTAAGTATCTCTATCATAATACATTTGGTTAGCTTGCTTTCCTTCATTTGTCAAATTGTTTACTTACCGCACGCCACTGTCAAACGAATGACAGATGACAAACTGATATTGGAAGTGACAAATGGCCGTTACGACTCTGCAGTGGCGTACCTTGCCTTAAGGTAGCCTTTCGAACTAAGCGTCACAGACCCAGCGTCTTTAGCTTTGGTCTTGTGCCACCAACGCCGTGTCACTAACTCGCTTCGAAACGCTACCTTTAAGACCAAAGCTAAAGACGCTGCATCTGTGACGCAAAGGCTACTTACTACTTTAGGGCATGTGTTGACTGACCTGGTTCTGCCCGGCTCTTCAACACACGCTCGGTTGCCCCATAGACGAGCCCTGTATCAAACTTGTTGGACGCCTTTTCGTTGTAAAAAAGATCATTGCAAAATTATAGAACTTTTCAACTAAAGGTCTCTGCCGACTACACCGTATCATACCATGACCGTGCTAGGAACGTGTCAGGCAAATAAATATTATTTGTATTGAAAAGTATGACACTGTTCCCAGTAGACCGTTCCGTCACCGACCAACACCGTCGCGTGCTATGCACGGAGCGTCAACAAATGTTGCACAGAACGCCGTTCAGTGGGTATAATATATCGTACCTATCGTGTTGCTTTTCGTGCCTGACACGTTCCTAGCACGGTCCTGGTATGATACGGTGTGGGTAAGAGACCTTAATATGTTTTTTTTCGAGGCCGACGGCCCCCCTTTGTCGCGGGGTCCAAGTAAGTTTCTTAAAAACTTAAACCTTCGTGTATGAGCCCCAGGCAGTTGCCTTCTTTGCTTAATAGGTCATTCTACGATGAGGCCGTTTTTTTGTTCAGCTGAAATTACTCATAAAATAAGTGGTCTTTGTTTAGTTTAGAACTTCTATAAGCAAAAGTGTACTTAGTAGCTTCAAAAAATATGTGAAGAAACATAAAATACATTTATTTTATTAGTTTTTTTCAGCTGACAGTATGTGACATATCACGCTCTGTCGACTGTTATGAACACGGTTTTTCATGTTTTCATGCAAAAAAAAACCCGTTCATTAAAATGGGATAACAAGTCGTGATTAATAACTCAGACATACTCAAGACTATATCTATTCAATATCAATAAATTTCGATCTGAAAATAAGAAATAACCGACGATTCTACAACTGTTATAAGATTTTTGACACACCTGTCGACTGTTGAAGTTTCTACTAAAAATGAAGAAAATGTAATGGTGGGATCATTAATTTATATTTTGTGACAACATCTCAACCCACTTGTTATTGTACAGAAACATTTTTTTCTGAAAAGAGAATATTGCACCAGTTAATTATATTTTAAGAGTGGTTCTACATCATCTCAAAGTTGGAGTGTCACTTCTAAAAGACATAATAATTAAGGTATGTTACTTATTAGAGATGTTTTTATCACATGCCCTCGTTCAAATGTGGAATTATTTACTGTGCCTAGATTATTTACAATCTAACTGCAAAATTAAAACCACAATTTACAAATTACTTCAAATTGTGTCGCTTAACTTCAAACTCGGATAAATCCACTCTACCCTGTTTGGAGATATTTAATAAAAAGTGTTTATAGTCTTATTTTAATGAATTAAAAGGCAGTCTTTTTTTATTATGGCACTACTATTGAAGAAAATGATCGTGTTTATTCATTTTNCCATAATATTAATCCCAACTAATATTATAAATGCGAAAGTAACTCTGTCTGTCTGTCTGTCTGTTACGCTTTCCCGCTTAAACCTCGCAACCGATTTTGATGAAATTTGGCATAGAGATAGTTTGAGTCCCGGGAAAGAACATAGGATAGTTTTTATCCCGGTTTTGAAACAGGGACGCGCGCGATAAAGTTTTTCTGTGACAGACGAAATTCCACGCGGGCGAAGCCGCGGGCGGAAAGCTAGTTTATTAATAAACTGTAATGTGTTCCAGCGCGCCCTCGCCCTCCAGAGAGGAGCATCAGCGAGCGGTTCCCTCCCGATTACGAATTCAGGCGTATGCTGGACACGCTCGTGGATGAAGGTAAGGATATGACGTCACTTTACATGCGATCGACTAAATGTATTTTGTTCATACGTTTCAATGAGGGCTATCGTTTTTATACTTAACAGTTGGCACCCCTGGCGATTGACAGGACCTTACTCTACAGTGGCGCCATCTTGATGAGTGCAAATGCGATAGTCCTCCTACCACTTTAGCGCTCACCAGTTGGTGCCACTGTCTTCGCTACTAGCAAGTGACAGGACCTTACTCTACAGTGGCGCTAACTGGTGAGCGCTAAAACGATAGCCCTCATTACTAAGGAAGGGGGTGTGTTTTTACCCATGTAAAATTCCGCGAGACTTCAAAAATGGAATGATGATGAAGGTCAGACCAGGCCTTCCCAAACTTTGCCTCACTGCCTCCGATAGTTGAAAAGGCGCATCTATTGCCCTTCGTGGCAAACCTTCAAAGGGAGGGGCAGATCAGACTTTTTAGATAGGGTCCCCCTTTCTTAGATACATAGGTACATAAGACGAAAAAAAAGGTAAGTAGTTTAATAGGTAGATATATGAGTGATAAATTTCCAGGAGGGGCTACATCAAGTCGGTACGCCCATAAACAATACTTTGATTTCAGCAAAGCCTGCCTGTTAGATCTGACAAGATTTACTTTCTCCTAGATGGGGCAGAGGCAGAGGGCGTCCACAACAGTCCTCCATCGCGTTCGGTCTTGAGCTTCAATTTAATCTTGCTCCAAGTCTTGCCGATTTTCTTCGTCTCGTCTGCTACAGTGTGCCACGAAGTTAGACCAGTTTTTGATTATATTAAATTAATGTATTATGTTTTCAGCGGTGCTGGAATCCCGCGCGCGTATGTCATCAGAGGCGGCGATACAACGCTTCTGTGCGCGCGGCGTGCGCGAGCGCATAGAGATCACTTTGGACTCGCAGGAGTTTGTTGCTGAGCGTAAGTACAAAACAATTCTTAGGCTATACAAAATTGTATGAAAACCATAAGATACCTATTGTCAGTGAACAATAAACGTGACCCGATGCTAAAATATCAAGTCATCATCATCATCTCAGCCATAGGACGTCCACTGCTGAACACAGGCCTCCCCCAATGATTTCCAGATCGCCCGGTTGGTAGCGGCCTGCATCCAGCGCCTTCCTGCTACCTTTACGACGTCGTCGGTCCATCTTGTGGACATCCCATGCACGCTGCGTCTTCCGGTACGCGGTCTCCACTCCAGAACCTTGCTGCTCCATCGGCCGTCAGTTCTGCGTACTATGTGCCCTGCCCATTGCCACTTCAGCTTGCTAATCCGAGCGCTATATCATCCTCATTTCTGATTCGATCTCGTAAAGAAACACACATAGGCCTTTCCATAGCACGCTGTGCAACTTTGAGTTCGAGGGTGTCTCTAGCACGAAAAACTTTCGAGTTCGAATCGTTTGCGTGTTCGAATCACCATCAAAAGATTTTGTATGAAAACTTTATAAAAAATATAAAAAAGTTCAAAAATTTTTTGACCTCTTTTTTGTCGATAAAAAATAGGTCTAGTTTCATCTGATTTCATATGTACACTTTATCGTGACTCACACTGTATTTGTATTTTGTAATTTTTGGAGTAGTTTCTCAAATAAAGAGACGTATTTGAATTCCTTGCAGTGTTCGACCGCGCCACGGGGGCGTGGTCGCCGCCACCTCGCTCCGGGGAGTACCACCACTTCATGATGCGCGTGGTGGAAGACGCATTGGAGAGGAGCGTGCCTTTTGACCAGCATACCAAGTGTAAGTGATGCTTGAGATATGATCCATCATCATCATCTTTCAGCCCCAAAAGGATGTACTGTTGGTTAATGCCATAGATTTTAAGGCGTAGATTAGAGACAAAAAAAAAAGAGAGAGAAAGAAAGGGAGAGAGAGAAAGAGTAAGAGAATGAGAGTAAGTAAGAGTAACTAGTTTATGACTTATTGGTTTCCTAGTTGTTGGATTAGGAAACGGTCGAGTGGTAAACATGGATGATATACTTATATTGGGGAGATGATGACAAAGACATGAGTACGGTGACGGAACATCAAAGTAAAAGCAGTGGCGGCCCTAGGGCGCACGGTGGGCTGATATTAGAGCTTCATAGACTTAGCGTCGCTCAAAAATCAAGCGCCGAATTTTGAAAAAATAAATATGCCAATGTGTTCCTTTACCAAAAAAGAATATTTTATGTTATGTAACGTTTCTTGATAAAGTTATTATTTAATAAGTTATTGACAATTTCCTTTTTTTTTGTATGGAGCTCAACATTTATTTTTATTTTATTCGTTATTCTCAAGCTTTCTTAAGAAATTGACTTTTGTATTATGTAATGCAACATATAAGCTATGTTATCACCAAGTGTCGCATTTCGGAAATCTTCGGAACATTGTCATTTTGGACTTTAAAATAAAAAAAAATAAAAAAATTAAATAACTGCCAAATTTTGTAAATATAACTACGCCAATGTGTTCCTTTGCCAAAAAGAAATATTTTATGTTATGTAACTTTTTTTGATAAAGTTATTATTTAATAAGTTATTGACAATAATTACTTTTTTTTTGTATGGAGCTCAACATTTATTTTTATTTTATTCGTTATTCTCCAAAAAAATTATCTGGTGCTCAAAACTTAAAAAGAAAACGGAAAAAGCAAGAAGAATCTGAGAAGGCAGCTAAATTATTATCGAAATTTTTGAGACCTGAGAAATCATCTGAATCGTTATCATCAGAACTAGTTCAACTCCACCACGCAACGGAAGAAGACCTACTTAATAAAAGTTCTTCAGGCGAAGCTCATGAAGATGAAAAACAACACATTCAAGAAGATTTACCTGGTTCTCTATATTTTCGTTGTTGCTAAATTTTCATTCACTTTCCAAAAAAATACCTATTGGTGTTATTAGACTAGCAGCTTCAAGCGTAATTTCATTTTCCAACTAGTTCAGTGGCCAAAATCATAAACATGCTTAATTTAATTTGGCGTATATTCATTTGTCACTGCTAGATATAGGTCTCCCCCAAAGCATCCGACAACGTCCCGTCTTGCGCTACCGCGACCTTCACCAGGTCATCGGTTGACCCTGAGGAGAACCTGCCCGCGCTGCGTCTTCCGGTAGGGACATGGGCGCCACTCAAGAATTCCAATTCCATTCTATCCTATCCTGAAGCTTAAAGACGTCCTCCAATTCGGTCTACAAACGCCAAGCACAGTAGCAAGTGAACTATGTAGTTGGAATATGAAATTACGCTTGAAGCTTTTAATACAAATTATTCCCTCACCTCGTTCGTTTCAGTTAGCGAAATGTTCATAATTCATAATTTTTTCGTCTGGACTTACTTTTTCTGTATTTATTTAGGTATTCCAGGAACCTCTTCTGGATTTCAAAATATTTCGGAAGAAATTATATCCGATGTACAATCATCATCATCTCCTTTTAGAAAAAAAAAATATGATGATATTTCAGAATGGCCATTCATTGACTCTGCGACAAGAGATGAAATAATTACTGAAGGCCCTGTAAGTAATCAAATGAGTAACGAAAACTACCCAAGGAAACTTGACGGTCGTCATTTTTCAAATATGCATTTTGAAAGAGTAATGCCAAATGGGGAAACTTTCAAAAGAAGATGGCTCGTGTACTCTAAATCTGCAGATAAAGTACATTGTTTTTGCTGCCGTTTATTTAATACAAATCCCCAGTCTAGATTGGGAAAAGAAGGATTTGACGACTGGAGGCACTTATCAACGCGTCTCAAAATTCACGAAACATCCTCAGATCATCGACGTGCTGTGAACAATTGGATAGAAGCGTCAATTAGATTAAAGAACTTCAGTGGAATAGACAAGCACTTGCAAAAGCAGATTGAGAGTGAGAAAACACGATGGGTTGCTATCCTCGAACGAATGATGTCAATAGTATTTTTCTTAGCAAGCAATAATTTATCGTTTAGAGGGAGTTCTGGAGCGGAAACTTTATACACTCCTAATAATGGTAATTTCCTGGGTTTAGTGCAGTTACTGGGAAAATTTGATATTGTAATGATGGAGCACCTTCGTCGTGTTGTAAATAAGGAGACTAATGTCCATTATTTTGGCAAACGTATTCAAAACGAGTTAATTGGCTTACTTGCAAGTGAAGTCCGAAATAATATTTTGTCTATGGTAAAATCAGCTAAATACTTCTCTATCATACTGGACTGTACTCCTGATGTAAGCCACGTTGAACAATTATCAGTAACATTCCGTTTTGTCGATACTAATGAAGAAGTCGAAGTACGTGAGTGTTTTGTTGCTTACAAGCCGGTAAGTGACTCTTCGGGAGCAGGACTTACTGGAATCTTTCTAGATACAATTGTGCAAGAGTTTGACTTGGACATGAACGATTGTCGCGGCCAAGGGTATGATAATGGAGCGAATATGGTAGGAATAAATAAAGGTGTCCAAACCAGAATTTTGAATCAATATCCTCGAGCATTTTTCAATCCATGTGGTTGTCACAGTTTGAATTTAGTGATAGCTGATGCAGCGAAAACTTCCGTTAAATCAGTTTCTTTATTTGGATTTCTCCAAAGACTGTTTGTTTTATTTTCCGGATCAACAAAGCGATGGGAAGTGGTATCCAAGCACATTGAAGGGTTATCCCTGAAAAAAGTTTGCGAAACTCGCTGGGAGAGTAGAATTTCTAGCCTTGCTGCTGTTCGCTATCACTACTCTTCAGTTCGTGATGCCCTTCTGAATCTTCATGAAGAAACAAATGACTCAGTCGCTGCATCAGAGGCCTTGTCTCTAATTCAATACATGGAGCAATTTGAGTTCATAGTTACAATGGTGGCTTGGTATGATATATTGTTTCAAGTAAACATTGTAAGTAAGGCTATGCAGTCTGAATCTATGGATTTACCAAATGCGTCGCAATTGCTGAAAAACTGCTCAGAATTTGTGAAACAGTACCGAGACTCTTCATCTGCTCTAATANGGCCGCCACTGGACAGACAGACAGACGCCTTAAGGTGATCGCGTTGGTTTGGCCGAACCTTTAGTTTGGTACATAATATTTTTCTCAATACTAAAAGAAGGTATTGAGAAAAATATTTACAACAATAGCGCTGTAAGTTCGCTTCGCAAATCACCCTTCAGTCCAAGTGTCCAGGTGTCCAAAAATGAAATCACTAATTTTATTTCGACCCCAAATCTTCTCTCTTCCTTACTTGAAATGATTGCAATCAACGAGCGGAAGTGATGAAGATCAGAGCTAATTCTAATGACCCGCAGGGCGAGTCCGCAGTAACTCGTTTAAGACGCAAGTGCCTAACTAGCATAATGCAGGAAGATGATAGTTATTCCGCGCACGGGCACCACAATGGCGGCACCGAGTGCAAAGAACCTTATTTGTAACAATATTGCGGCCTGAAAAGGAACCCGGCCTTTTGGGAATGGCGTAGGAAGTAGATAGATGCTCTAGAGATGTGGTGCTGGAGAAAGATGCTCGGGATATCATGGACAGAGTTCCGTACCAATGTTTCCATACTCCAGGAGCTCGGTGTCACTCAGCGTTTATCAACCGTAGTACAGTCACGCATACTGCAATACTTCGGACATGTCTCAAGGCGGGATGAAAACTCCATAGAACGACTGGTCGTCCAAGGAACCCGATCGCGTGGCAGGTCACCAATGCGCTGGACCGACCAAGTAAAATCAGCAGTGGGAGACGGCGTATGTGACTGCACCACACAGTCCGCCAATAGAGAGATGTCGGATCGTGCGAAGAGTTGTATCCGCCTCTACAACCTATGTGAAAAACGCCTCAACGTGACCACGACCGCTTTGCCAAGAGCGTAACGAATAAGAAGAAGTAGGAAGTAAGATTTAGCCAGCAGGTTAGATTGGGAAAGGACTAAAATTGCACTATCAGTGACAAAATTGTTGGCGACAGATCTGGTAACACCGACATTAGGCTTTAATCTTTGGGACTCTAGCCTAGCAAAGGTGTAAGTTATCTTGTTTTTGCTTTTCGATTACGTTGGTTTCTGTTGGGTTTATTTTATAGGATCAAGATATAATTTAGTTTTACTTTTAACAGCGTTTCTTTTCTGTAGCATATACATGTTTCATTTTACTTACATATGCCCGGGACTAACTCAACTTACAGAGCCTGTTTTGCTATTGGGTTATATTGTAATGGCTATAAGACAGGGGTGGCCAACCAGTCGAACGCGATTATTAGTCCAGTCGATCGTGGCAAGGCAAAAAATACTATATGACTGTGTACTAAACTATGCTGTTTCATTTAAGATTTCAAGAAGTATGTAAGTGGTAGATCACCCAAGGTTTCGTTAGTAAACAGTGGATCTTATGTCTAATCAACTTGGCCACCCCTGCTATAAGAAATTGGCTTTACAGGAGATTGAGAGGTTAAAGTTACAGAGCATGAAATATTTACTTTTTTGAGTGTATAAACTATCGCTGTCACGGCATGCTGTAAAAACCAGTCAATACTGATCGGCAGTACAGTAAATAAAAAAAAATAAACTTCCCATCTCCTCCTTTTATATATTTGTTTAACAATAGAACTCATTTGTAAGTCTATCTTCATTCAAGATACAGTTCAGACTGAATTATTATATCGTAAAACATCTATCAATATGATAATAGGGGTCTTGACATAGCTTTACTAACATACTTTATGAGTTGTTCCAAAAAACGAAATCTGTTTTATCAAGGTCGTTGAATATAAAACGCGACTAAGCCGTGATCTGCCTAGTGTTTGTATTTGAATTATTTGATATATTCAAAGTAGTAGAATAGTGTTAAATATAAATACTAACTTTCTGAATTTTCTGTGACCGTCGGCTCCAACAATTCTTCGAAACTGACGCCTTCGTGAAATTCGACCCCCAGTAGTAACGCCACCTGTAGCAATATTAATTAATATAATTAATATCCTTGATTATTAATACCAATGAATCGAGGTTCTCAGTATGGGGAGTGCAGGCCAAATCCGCTCTTTTGTTTCTGGTAAATAAGAAGGTCATATTCCTATAGTAGAGACTTAGGCTAAGAACTCACGGTGCGATTTTCACCCGCGCCCGCGGCGGTTGCGGGCCCGGAGCTTCTGTACAATGCAGATACTTATGTAAAAACTAATGCACAACCCACGACGCGGTTTGCACCCGCAACGTGCGCGGTTGTATGCGGGTCCCGCGGCACCGGCGGGAAACTAGTAGAATCGCGCGGGCCGCGGTAACCGCAGCCTCTGCGGTTTTCGCCCGCGGTAACAGCAGCCTCTGCGGTTTTCGCCCGCGCGCTCTGCGTTCGATTGGCGGGCGACCATTTTGTACAAGTGACTTAACTGCCCGTCTTACAACCGCCCGTCTTGCTGCGTAACGTGAGCTTTGAAATAAAACCGCAATTCCATAACCGCCGCGGGCGCGGGTGAAGATCTCGCCATGAGTCCTTAGCCTTAGGTCTTGTTCAGACACAGTGATGGTCATGCGTTTGCTGGGCAGTTCTCCTACATTTGCATCAAGCCGCACTAATACCGCCGCAGTTCCTCGGCGATAAGGACCACCCAGAAACCGCGCGGTTATCGCTGTCTGAACAAGGCTTAATTTCCGAAGAACTTCTTGGCTCCTAACACCCGCAGGCCCTGACGACGATGCACAGTGACCTGATGATCATGATCAGTGTTCTCACCTTGAGCAGTATGCACTGCAGCTGCCGGATGCTGATGTGGTCGATGGAGCCGGCGCAGAACTTGCCGAAGAACTTCTTGGCTCCCAGCGCCCGCAGGTCCTGAATAACGAACGGCCACAGGTGCAGAACGTTGTTGCGAGACATGCGGTCTCTTTTCTCTATCACAACCTGCGAACAAGAAATTATATTCAAGTTCTGTATAGGTATCAGAAATGATCTTTTCTTAAAAGTTTTAAACCTTTGTTTGTCATCTGTCATCCGCTTTGCAATGGAAGGAAGTCGAACCTTAATTTCGAACTCCTCCTATTTTCTTCTGATTAATTACGTTGCGGGTCCAATGACAGTTTAACTTTCCCCCGGGACAAACTTGACCTTCATTGGTTGGGTTTTTGTGGCGGTCAAGCTGTAGATCCTGGCTACACAGGAGTTGCAGTGGTGGGAACGAGAGGTGGGAATAGTCCCGTAAGGTATCAGAAATGAGATCCGCAGGAGAACCAAAGTGACTGACAGCCCGCAGAATCGCTAAAATCAAGTGACAGTGGGCGGGGCACATAGCTCGTAGAACTGATGGCTGCTGGAGCAGAAAAGTTCTTGAGTGGCGACCACGAGGCGGAAGACGTAGCGTGGGCAGGCTTCCCACTAGGTGGACCGACGATCTGGTGAAGGTCGCGGTCGCGATCCTTGGGGGAGGCCTTTGTCCAGCAGTGGATGTCTTTCAGCTGAAATGAACGAACGAACGATAGGTATGTATACCCGCGGCACTCAGTGATGATTGATTTGAAGCGACAATAGCCCAATGGTGTCACCACGGTAATGTCACTATCGAATGGCCGATTCGAGATTCGATAGTTCGAGACTCGTCACCGCTGGACTAATGAGGTAAAAGCACAAGTATATTAGCTTAACTGGAGGGATGTGCTAGCGGTGAAACCTAAAACCTACGTTAGCTGGAGGGATGTGTGTAATACAAATGGCTAATAATCTTAAAAAGGTAAGTTTCTGAATTTATTTTTCTTCCACAGGGAAGCTATTTTTGTCTTGTCATGTCTTGACATCCTACTTAATAGACCATAGAGGAATTAGCTATATTACCTTTAACTGCACAAGTACAATAATGCTGAATACACAACTTAATCTCAACCGAAGGGTGCAGATGAGAATCTGCTGGGGTGTCATGGAAGTCAAAACGAGCTTCGATCACTGGGTCCATAACAAAAACCACTAACAAATCGGTGTTTTATAGTTGTAAGTTGGTTTTTCGGACGCCTTGAACAATAGAAATGTGAATATTTTAATGAATCACTGGCATAAACGCTAAAAATGATTTAACCACAAATACCCAGCGATTGCTTCACAGTGTCGTCGACCCAGGGTTACGTGCCAACTACGACTTTCTTTCAAATTAATTCTAAAGAAAACAACTGTGTCGTCTACGTATTCTAAAAATTTCCTGAAGCTGTGGCTACATTTTTATACATCAATCGTTTTAAACAGAAAATTAACTAATTTTCACGTCCACTTTAAGATTATTTGTTAAAAAATAATCATTAATTAGCAATATATCAATTAGATTAGATGTTTTATTTATAATGACTTCATTGTGCAATTATTCAACGTCGATCATATAAATGGTATTTATTGCGACGGCCTTTATATATAACTGACTCGCGCAGAAGGAAACATTATTGCGAGAATGCTATTTCCGCAGTAGTAGTTAACAATTAGTTCATGAACTCGATATTTACACTCTGTAACTTAAATAAATTGTACAGAATTTACTTTGCTGACAAATACCGACTAGTTATACTTATTTATGTAATTGGCATACTATGTGATTACTGGAACAGTTTATTTACTTACTTACACATTTATTTTATTTCAGTTGATATTTAAAATAGTCCCTATTTTGACTTTCAGACGATGTACTAGAACTATCAAAAATCTACCTTCACTTTGTTAAGTTCAGAATGGTTCAGTCAGAGCCCGTCACAATAATAAAACATGGGCATAAGAAGCGTAGAAGAGACCTTTCAGGCAGATATTGTGGTTCTCTCGTGAGTCTCATATAAATCATTTTTAAGTTTGTGAATACGGGCGTTGGACCCGCTACACCCGAACAGCTCGAGCAGTTCGACAGTGATCAGCATACAAGGACCACTCTTGCAGTCATAGTTCACATCTAATCTAATTTTCAATCAACATGTGTACGTAGAATACTGTAGCTTGGTACTGGCTGCTTTAAGCAGTCCGGTGTATGGCTGGATTCAGGGGTAACGTTTCAGTACTCAGAAGTACGCAGAACTGACGGCCGATGGGGCAGCAAGGTGGAGGCCGCGTACCGAAAAATGCTGCGTGGGACGTCGACCCACAAGGTGGACCGATGACATCATAAAGGTAGCAGGAAAGCGCTAGACGCAGGCCGCTACCAACCGGGTAACATGGAAAGTATTGGGGGAGGCCTATGTTCAGCAGTGGACGTCTTATGGCTGAGATGATGTTGCAGTACTCACCACTTTAGCGCCTAGCAGCTGGCATTCAATGGCAGCTCTCAGTCCACAGGGCCCGGCGCCGATCACCAGCACCTTGCTGGTGGTAGCGGCTCGGCCCTTCCCGTAGACCTTGTGGTTCGCCCGGGCATCGAACTTCTTGAAGAGCGCCTGCGCCTTCCATGAGCTCGCAAGTTTCGCCTGTGAAGTAAAAGGGATATTTGGATAACAAATGTTCACTGAAGAAGTCACAAAATTAAGGAACTGCCAAATATTGGCATATTATTTTGAGGTCTCATCAATTTTGGTCACTTTCGTTTGTCGAAAATAAGTGCAGTTTTTCTGGTTCAAACATTTTATATTGTACTTTTATATGTTCACATACAAGCTACATAGTTACGTACTACAGCGAGAAATAATGTCTTTTTACATTATCACGCGACTAACGCTAAGCGGGGAAACGTTATTACATCTTATTGTGTTCTTTGTGTAGAACTTTTTACTGCTGTGACAAGGCAATTCAGTTACACCTGAACACGAGTGCAATTAACTTGCATTGCATGTGCAGCGTAACGAGACTCGTCTGGTGTAGACGACAGATGCGTTGCGCAGTGGCATCGATTGGGTTACCACTTTTGAAAACATACACAAGCAAAACCGACGAAACAATGTGTTTTGTGTTATACGATCGCGGTATTTCCTTACACATGTTTTCTTTGAAACAATGTGATTCAATGTAGAATATACTGTTACTACTTACTACTCCGACATTGGTACCCACAGGCAGTGGTGAATTAATTATAGTCAGTAAATACTAGTCACTTAGTCCTAGGACTGATTCTTTGTTAGCTTTGCTGGTAAGAAAAAAAATCCAGGTCACAGTAATCCAGCCTATGTAAAAGAAACAACTCGCACAGCATATTTTCATCATGAATGACTGACAGATCTGACCTAGTGGATCTGACTTGTTACATAGTCAGAAGTGCCGGGTTCGATGTCCACATGTGGCAAATGCCTGCACAAGGATTGTGCCAGTCATGGATGTGAAAATAAAGAGAGTATAATCATTTCGCAAGCAGTAGTAATGGAACAAATACAAAGATATAAATACATTCTCATACCGTTTTAGCAAAGGCCACTTCGCATAGCGGGATGTTTGGATAAATTCAGCGAACGGTAAACAATTGAAAGCTAAATAAAAATCGCATGCGCTGGCAATTGGAAAACAGAATATGCAACAACATTACGCTTCGGGCGTCAAGTGGTTCGATTCTCCAGATAAGTCCTGGGTTTGACTCCCAGACAGTGGTGATAAATAATCAATCGTGATAGGATCTCCTGAATGAATGGGGAATTCTTATAATAATATCCTAGATGTTTTTTAAATATTAGGTGTTTCATCAAAGTAGTTACCTAACGCAAGCATTACGAATTTCCTACTTTCATGATCTTTCATTTGAATCACATTCACATGCCAGGCTCTCCCAACTGAGCTAGACGTACTCTGCGGAAAAGACAATGCCGGAAATTGGCGTCTTTTTTTTTTTCGCGCGGCCATCGACCAAACTTTGTTTTTTGATTACAAAATAGTGTAATAAACCAAACTTACTATGACATGTATACCTCTAAACTCAGTCTGAACTAAGTTACAAGCATTAGAAGTTTGATGATTTTCATACTAGATTTGCTTTTTGCGCGCAAAGTTTTGTAAGAAATTGCAACAAAATAGTGAGATTGTATGTTTAAACAAACAATACCATCCATTAAAGGCTCCAGACATCAATATGAAGCAGAATCAGCGCAATAAAAAAATAGCGCAATATTTTGTTGCAATTTCTTACAAAACTTGCGCACAAAAAGCAAATCTAGTATGAAAATCATCAAACTTCTAATGCTCGTAACTCAGTTCAGACTGAGTTTAGAGGTATACATGCCATATTAAGTTTGGTTTATTACACTATTTTGTAATCAAAAAACAAAGTTTGGTCGATGGCCGCGCGAAAAAAAAAAGACGCCACTTTCCATACTAAATCTGGCATTGCCATTTATAGGGACTTTCGAATAGAATAGAATTCTGTTCATCATCAGCCCAATAAACATCATCATCACCACCAGCACTCTCTCAAAAGCATCAAGATTGTTCGTCAGCGTCTTCTCGTTGTTATTACCGGTAAATAATACTTATATAAAAATTACGTCATCAAAAGATTTCCTTCAAAACAAGCACGCGCAAAAAGGAACAATGACACAACCAGCGTAATAACCAAAAAAAGAAACAAAAGCATAAAAAATAACATATTACAACAATCGCGTGCAAAATAGCATCGTATTAAATCATTTTACCCGGTTATTAATTGATGCTATGATAGTATCGAACGGTAACGAGGTCATAAGATATTTAAATGTGTTTTTTGTTATTATGCACCTAATTGAGTTCCCTTTCCTTCGAGGCGTGAAGATAGAGATAGACGACCGGAACTGGTTTACTAATTTGTTTAGTAAATGTTGGGCAATATTTTGATGCTATCTTTTTCGAAATAGCTTGATAGTTTTGATAAGTCCTTCCAGGATTGGTTTTATCAAAAAATGCATGCCAATTTACCTGATTACCACCTATGAAAAAGTATGTGGATTAAGGCTGAGTTGCATCACCTAACTTTAACCGTAACTTTAACGATAACCGGTGTTTTTTGTATGGAGTTTGTCAAAGTTAAAATTAGATGATTCAGCAACCCAGCCTTAATCAGACGGACGAGGCATACTCACTAATAGAAACTTTATTAACCATGATTCTTCACTTGCCTAAGTGGGAAGAACAATGGGAACTGGGACAAATCTTTTAACAGAGTCCCTCCCAGGGTTGGAAGTTCTTTATTGGAGCTTGGAGAAATTTTGAAGAGTTTGTCCAACATAGTAACAACTCATATAAAAAACATTGATGAAGTGTATCATTGATCATTTGTTTTATGACAACATTCAAGATCGCCATTAGATCACGATACCAAACCGCACCTCAACGCGTGAATTAATTAACAACTTGATTATAGTATTAAATATGATGACAACTACGTTTAGTGTGTAGTATTTGTATGGTTAGGATGTATCAGGATTTTAAATAATAAATCCCACCAAAAACATTCTGTAAAAAACTAGCCAAGTCTCGATGGAGCTGCTTGTTTATCTCTAAAAAGTAATGAAATCTAGACAAAGTCGTGCCAAGTCTATGGTTCTTTACTGCGATTTCTTTTTTATTATAGTTAATGTTGTGTGACTTGGCCGTTGAAGGGTACAAAACCAGGTGCTCCATGACACCATTGCACCAATCTGTTGCCAGAACCACTACCCATTGACGATGGAAAATTGCCACTTGGAAAACGTTGATTTAATAACCAGTGAATTGTAGGCTTAATAAAGCTGCGTATTTCAATAATACTTATGCATAATTATTGATTATCTTAATAAAGATTGTTCAACGGCCAAGTCACACAACATTAACTATAATAAAAAAGAAATCGCAGTAAAGAACCATAGACTTGGCACGACTTTGTCTAGATTTCATTACTTTTTAGAGATAAACAAGCAGCTCCATCGAGACTTGGCTAGTTTTTTACAGAATGTTTTTGGTGGGATTTCTACACTTGCGAGCAAAAGTATGGAATCACTTACATGAAGTTGTTTCCACGCGATCTTGTGTACAAACCAATTTGTTAATAACAAAAAAAGTAACACCATTTTAAAGATTAAACTTTTAACTTTAAATTGATACCGAATTCATTTAAATCACGCCGGTATTTAAAAAGATATCCCGGCTGATGTAAAGAAGTAGGGAAAAAGACATGTATCAACAGTTTGATACGTCGCGAGTTGCGGCCTATTTACCCCCCATAAAAGCAAGTGTTTTCGGATTTTTGCTTTCACACGTTGATCCATACACATCTCCGCTTCTTTTGACACTTTACCTGGGATTCTACACCTTCAGAAGCAGCACAAATCATTGCACTATTGCAAGAAGGGCTCAGCCAGAGGGCTGTCGCACGTCAGCTCCACATAAGCCAGTCCTGGGTTTCGAAAGTTTTAAGACGCTTTCGGGAGACTGGTGGCTTTATCCCGAGACCAAGTTCTGAACATTGCCGGTGCACATCGCAGAGGGAAAACCGTTTTTTCATGTCAACTTCTCTACGAAATCGTCATTTGACTGGTATCGACGTCCAGCAAGAGCTCAGAAATGTTCGTAGGATAGCTGTTAGCAAGTGGACAGTTCGTCTAAGATATAAACAATAGAATTTGACTCCAAAAAGGCCTGCCACAGGCTTGAAACTGACGGCAGGTCACCGATAAGCACGCTTTAAATTTACTGTACTTCTTCTGACATTTATTTTTAACGTCTAGTTGTAGAGTTTAAGTGCAAATGAATGTTAAATGGATCTCTTTTCAGAATCATTGTCAGAACATTTTCGTATCAGTTGACTCTAGACTAACCCCAGAGTTGTTAAAACTTCAAATCAAATCATACATTTTGCGAAAATGACTTTACATCAGTAGGTGTGACAACTTACTAGATGCATTCCTTTTGTGAATGTATGTTATGTTATACATTGTATACCGAACAGTACCTATACTTAGTTTGACTCTCATACAAAAGATGTAGTGGTAACTTAGTAGTGCATTCGCATATTATTATGTACAGCCGACAGCACGTCAAGCTAGACTGTAGCACTTACATCGTTGTAATAGAGGCGATATTACAACAAAAATGTGTACCCTGATGTGCTGTGGCCAGTACGTGGAAAGTGTGATGCATTCACAACAAACATGAACACTTTCGCCGTTGCAAATTAGCTGGGGTAATCTTATCTCGATTGGAGAGCTCAATTAATTCGATAACGTAAGGATAGCTTCATTGTTTACTTAGGCCGAGTACACACGGCCATCGTCCGTCAATGACAGTGCAGGCAGTAATGCAGTGCCTATCTACGTATACCAATAATTAAAAAAAAAAAGTTTTTATTAATTATTGGTAGCCATCTATTATTGGTGACTAGCTTTCCGCCCGAGGCCGCGCCCGCGATCACAGAAAAACTTTATCGTGCGCGTCCCTGTTTCAAAAACCGGGATAAAACTAACCTATGTCCTTTCCCGGGACTCAAACTATCTCTATGCCAAATTTCATCAAAATCGGTTCAGTGGTTTAGGCGTGACAGCAAGACAGACAGAGTTACTTTCGCATTTATAATATTAGTATAGCTATAGAGTATAGAATATAGATAGTATAGAAAATGAAATGTATTGGGTGGATTTTGAATTGTTTATGTTATACACATTATGCTACTTTTTATCAAAATGTACGCGGAAAAATTGCTGGTAAAAGCTAATTGAGTAAACAGTGTTCATTGAGGAGTCATTTTGTCAAAACGTTGGCTGGCAGATAATAATAAGTACAATAAAGTAGCGGCCCTCCCGCGACTTTGTACGCGGGATCCCGTTTTACCCGCTTAGGGTTAGAATTTGCAAAATCCCGTCTTAAAATGAGCACCTACGTTCTAAAAGAAACCCCCATGTAAAATTTGAGACTCCGAGCACTTGTAGTTTTTGAGATTTCGTGATGAGTGAGTGAGTGAGTGAGTGACCTTTCAAGAGCTATGACGCCTATGTCATCTGTCATATCAGCACTTACAAATCGATGTCGTATTATTTTACTATATTAAATGAGAATCGACAATCATCAGGCCCATGTTTGGATAGCAAAAAAATGCTATGTATGATATTTTTAACTAGAAAAAATGAATTTGAATGTAAATCTAATGTAGTATGCTAATTTAATATGTCAGATATCGTGTGACCTAGCCTTTAGATCACGTCATACCAGAATCATTCCCTATTAATAAAGGATGACTCACATTGTATATTGTTGCATAATATGTATATTTATTGTTACTTTTCTGGTTATTTTAAAACGATTATAACGAGCTTGTTTATATGATATTTTTAATTAATAACTACACAATACAATAACGCATTGTCCTCCTCATCTACAGCTTGATAGTTAAATGTCCTCTTAATATCTTTTTACTTTGATTTGAACTGGCGTCATATTATTTTGCTCTTTCAGTGTACTTCAGTTTAGAAATAAATAAATTTAGTTGCACAAAATGTATTCAAAAAGTTAAAGATCACCTATAGATTTAGAATATATTGTTAGTAAGAAATTATTTACAGTTAGACTTAAATATATTTAATTGTTTACAACTCTATCTCCTGCAAAAGTAATAATAGAAAGCGAACAAGAAATCTATAAAACACTCCATCACAAAAAACTAAAACACCGGCCTAATCCAAAAGCAATCTAAATCACTTTCTAATAAGACTTGAAATAAAACACGCAGACGCATTAATTAATTAAATAATAAAAGCTAATTATTTTTATGAAATACAGATGACTGAGTTTAAAATCACATTAATAGAGTGGACAATCACAGAAACGAAATAAGTAGACCCACTCTCTAGTGACTAGTCTGATAGATGTGAAGTGTTTAGTTTGGTTAGATCAAGTAAAGAACATCACTTGGTACAGTCGTCTGCGTCAAATACACTGGTCATGACAAAAATCGACCCTCCCGCGACAAGCACTTTCAAACGTATGCATCCCCACTTCCCACTAATATTGGCACCATTTCAAAAGCCTAGTTCTAAACTTCATTTCATTAAAGGAAAGGTTTTTACCCCAAAAATGTGTCTGTAGAAGAATCCAGAGTCACTTCTTCAAAAAATAGGTAGTTACGCTTGAGCCAACTTTTATGGCTATAAAACTGTTAAGTTGGGATTAATCGCTATCAATCTGTTAAAGACAACACTGGAGATCATTATTTGGTTTTATAACCATAAAAATTAGTCTAATTGATCCCAGAGGTGAGCCCAAATTGAGGTCTTTTTTCAAGTCACATAATTTATTGTATAATTATGTTAATCGTTTATTAAGAAATTAAATGTGTTTTTCTTTAAGGATATTTATTGGGCTTTCAAATAACACCAATATTGTTGGGGCACCATGATTGTGTCAGTAGAAAAGAGTTTTCCTGTAAAACGTAGGTGGGCCGATTTTTGTGATGACCGGTATAGTTCGTGACACCCAAAGTGGCCAAAAAGTTGACGACGCAACCTTATTCCAATGTAACAAAGAGGGTTGCAAACTTATTGGCTTCTTTGTGTGTCACGAACTATTTGACGCTGACTATACTTGGACAAGTGAACCGTCTCGTCACCAAGTTGCTAACGGAGCAATATTGTCACTACAATTTGACATGCCAGACCAGATTTAATGCCAGACGAAACAAAAGTGGGCGGGGCACATAGCTCGAAGAGCTGATAGCCACTTGGGGCAGGAAAGTTCTTGAGTGGTGACCACGAGCCGGAAGACGTAACGTGGGCAGCCCTCCCACTAGGTGGACCGACGATCTGGTGAAGGTCGCGGGAGGTGCCTGGATGCGACCAGCGCAGGACCGGTCTTTGTGGAAATCCTTGGGGGAGGCCTTTGTCCAGCAGTGGACGTCTTTCAGCTGAAACGAACGAACGAACGAACGCAACAAAAGTGACCATGTAGGGAAAGCCTACCGTGTCCACATACACTGTGGCGCGTTTAATGCTGTTTAAATTGCAATAATTATCATTTACAATGCATAACGTACATGTTCGTATACGGTCGCCAAATTAATTGNTGCGCGGGTAGTTTCGCGCGGCGTGAAGATCAAACGCCCAAGGTCATTGAGGACTCTAATCGCCTTAATGTAAAATTAGCTACGTGACATTTCGCACTAAAACTGTAAAAGTAGGCGCATACCGTTGATTTTTCGTCGGCCGATAGTTTAGTCGGGCAGTTGATCAGGGCATGTATGGGGGTGCGCACACTACGCCGATTCGATTTGGCCGATTCTTCATACAATTTAAAATTGGGCACAACTATCGGCCAACTAAAAATCAACGGTGTGCGCCTACTCTAAGACAATAAAGTTCAAAATGGCTCGCAATTTACTTATACAAAGGTTAGGTGGTATGACCATATCATTGTTTTCCTACAAACCATGCGATGTGGGAATCATTGGGGGAGGCCTATGTTCAGCAGTGGATGATGATGTTGATGTTACTCACATCCTCAGCTTCATCGAGCTCCAACACGCAGGCGTCTTTGTCCGCACACAAGTCTAGCGCGGGCGGCTCCTCGCCCTCGATCTCCGGTAGTGCACCGTTCGTGCTGTGTTCTGGACCGCCTACAAAGACAAAAGCGCTTTGTAAAAGCGCCCCTCTATCCAAAGATGCTATGTATTTATGTAAAACTAGCTTTCCGCCCGCGGCTTCGCCCGCGTGGAATTTTGTCTGTCATAGAAAAACTTTATCGCGCGCGTCCCTGTTTCAAAAACCGGGATAAAAACTATCCTATGTTCTTTCCCGGGACTCAAACTATCTCTATGCCAAATTTCATCAAAATCGGTTGCGAGGTTTAAGCGGGAAAGCGTAACAGACAGACAGACAGACAGACAGACAGAGTTACTTTCGCATTTATAATATTAGTTGGGATTGTTAAAGAGTGTTCAGATAAAAGAAATATCTAGTGTAAGATTGTTTGTGAATGCTATTGAGCGACATGTTCACTCAATGAACAAGCTCATAAAATAAAGATAAAAAAACTGCACACTGTAAGATAATAGTACATTAGACCACATTTTTTTTTATTTTGGGATTCTAAATAATGAGAAGAAACTAATTTGACAAGCAAGACGAGCATGATCATTATTTGTTTTGGGTGTTTTTATAAAATACGAATTCGAAGCTATACGTTGTTACAACGACATCTAACTGAAAGTTTCTTATCAGTTTTACAATGTTAAGTTTTCTTTAAAAATGTTTTTTTATTATTTCTTTGCACACAAAGACAATTAGGAAACTCTTTTACACTTTAATTTTCTTCTTTTCAATGTATAAAATGTGTAATCCAAAAACTCACCCGTATCGAATCCATTTGCTGTTTTGTTGGCTGTGAACGAGTCCCACAATGCTTTTTGTATTTCTAACGCTTCCTTGTCATTTTCAGATGCCTGTAACAAAATAAATTATTTAATAGTGTAACCAAGAGATGCTTAAAAATGGTACTGGAATGGGGATAAAAGTCAGTATCGAATTAAATGAACATGACATCATATGCCACGCAACGCAACAATGCGTATTATTTTAGTGACAAGTGACTTCACGAGATTCAAATATTTGTGATTTATGAATAGGCTAGATGACAAAAAGCCAATTATTTGTCCGTCAGACAGATAATTAGAAAATATTAGACTCATATTTTTTATTTTCTTTCATAATTAAATATTAACAGTGCTACATCGAGTTGAAATGGCGCGTTACGTCACGCTTGGGTAGATTTTTACTCAAAAGTGACATCACGCGACATTTCAACTCAATATAATACTGTGATTATTCGATTATGAATAAAATTAAAAAATATGTGTCCTAATTTTTTTTATTATCTGTTTGACGGACTAAATAGAATTTCGATTTCATTACCCAGTCATCATCCCATTCTAAGGCGCTAGAATGTTTGATATAGATANAGCTACCCATCCTTATCGCTCGCGCGTAATTATATTGCTGTCGCAACTGTGGGAGGGGCGGCCGCAGTGAGTGTGCGAGCGCGACAGCAACATAATTGGGGTCATTGGACAAAATTCTACGTGCTATATTGCTGTCGCGCTCGCACACTCACTGCGGGTGCCAGTCGCACAGTCGCGACAGCAATATAGTTACGCGCGAGCGATAAGGATACCTAGGGGTCATTGGACAAAATTCTACGTGCTCACGGACCGGGCTTTAGTATACCTGCGGGCTACCGGCGAAACATTCCATGAGCACGCTAGGCAGCTCGGCGAGGTCGGTGGGGCAGCGCGTGCCGGCCACGTGCTGGTGGCGTGGACCCCGCTATAGTCTGGTCCGGGAGCACGTAGAATTTTGTCCAATGATCCCAAGCTACCCATCCTTATCGCTCGCGCGTAAATATTGCTGTCGCGACTGTGGGAAGGGCGGCCGCAGTGAGTGTGCGAGCGCGACAGCAACATAATTGGGGTCATTGGACAAAATTCTACGTGCTATATTGCTGTCGCGCTCGCACACTCACTGCGGGTGCCAGTCGCACAGTAGCGACAGCAACATAATTACGCGCGAGCGATAAGGATGGGTAGCTAGGGGTCATTGGACAAAATTCTACGTGCTCACGGCTCGGGTTTTAGCGGGGTCCATGACCGGGCTTTAGCGGGCTTTAGTATACCTGCGGGCTGCCGGCGAAGCATTCCATGAGGACGCTGGGCAGCTCGGCGAGGTCGGTGGGGCAGCGCGTGCCGGCCACGTGCTGGTGGCATGGACCCCGCTAGTATACCTGCGGGGGGCCGGGGTGACATGGACCCCGCTAGTATACCTGCGGGCTGCCGGCGAAGCACTCCATGAGGACGCTGGGCAGCTCGGCGAGGTCGGTGGGGCAGCGCGTGCCGGCCACGTNTCGTAAAACTAGTTTCGGTCGGACACTAATGATCAGTATAAAAAATGACACCTTATAGAATCATTCAGCTCCAAAGATAAACAACTTTGGTTCTAAGAAATACCGATAGTGGCAATAATGGCAAGTTTCCAATTTATTTTTCTTTTAATAAAACTTTTTTTTTTTTTTTTTTTTTTTGGACTTTCCCGCGGATTTATTGCCGCGGTGATTCTGCCAATGTCAAGTGTTTAAGGAGACACATACTTTAGTCCGCTTCAGTAATATTTTAGATAATGCAGCAGTTTTTTCCTTTTTTTTTTTTTTTTTTAAACCTTAAAACCACCACCTAAAACAACAACAAACATCACAGTCAAACGACACAACAATTATGTTAATAGGGAAAGAGGAGTTAGAATAATTTTATAGTTTGATGTCAAAGACAGCACAATATTTACTTAGATATTTAATACAAAAGTGTTGAGTTAATATATATTGGAAGTTGAAAGGACGAGGAGTTTTAAGGGGAAGAATATCATATAAAGAAACAGAATAATTTTTACAATTAAAGAAAATATGCTCAGGGGAACCTTCGTCTTCTCCACAATCACATAATGGGCTATTTCTCACATTAATTTTATGGAGGAAAACTGGAGTGCATGCGTGACCAATGCGAAGACGGCATATCGTTGACACTATGCGTTTATCTATCCCTTTCTGTTTAAAAAACCACGGTTTTCTGGGAATTATTGGTTGGATGTTGGCATAGTGTCGACCTTTTGTTTTAGACGATTCGTTGAAACGGATCTGCCATTGGTCAACAAGGTCTCTGAGTGCTAAGGGTAAAGTGTCACAAGCATATATCGTATTAAGAGGAGACCCTGCATGTGCAGCTTCTCCCGCCCATAGGTCAACCTGTTCATTGCCGCGGATACCACTATGACCTGGAATCCACCCTAGTGCAACCTGAATGTCTTCACTGTGACAACGAAAGAGAATGTTTTTAATAGCCAGCAGGGTAGGTGAGATTAGCTTACTTCTGAAGATATTACTAGATAAGGCCTGTAGGCAACTCTTTGAGTCTGAAAGAATGATAGACTTATTTAATTTATGGGAGAAAACATAAGAAAGAGCCTCTAGAATAGCCAGCGATTCACCTGTGTAAACAGAAGATTCTTTTGGAGACTTAAAGCTTAAAAGAATTTTAAATTTAGGAATCCATACCGCACTACCAACAATTCCATCCTCTGAAGACTTAGAGGCATCCGTGTAGATAGGTAGCCAGTGTTGCCAATCTCTAGCTAAGCATTCAGTAAGTTTGGAATCAGCCGCAAGGTCACCTTTTGAGATACCTAAATCTAAGAGAACATGGGGTGGAAAGATCAGAGCATCATAATCAGTTTGGAATATAGGATTTTGATGAAACGTAACTACGGGGTGGGACAGTGAAGAAAGTTTTCTAAGACTAGTTATTAATCTAGGGGGCTCTTTATGGGACCAGTATTTGCAAGAGGGAAGAGAAATTAAATCAGATAGATCTTGGAGTCGGGGTATCAGAGGATGACGGGCAAATTGGCTAACTTTAAATGTGAATCTATCAGACAAATATTGACGTCTAAGATCTAGAGGAGGGTCTACACTCTCAACTTGTAGTGCATTTTTTGGCGAGGACCGCATAGCTCCCAAGATAATTCTTAGACCTTTAGCTTGAATTTTATCTAATTTCGACAATGCTTCTTTACTGCAGGGTTCTAATAGAAAAGACCCATAGTCAAGATGGCTACGAACTACTGCATTGTATAATAGTTTTTGGCAATAAGGATGGGATCCCCACCAGACTCCAGAAAGGGATTTAAGAATGTTAATACCCTTCTCGCACTTTAGGATGACTTGATTAAAATGAGGTATGCCAGACATTTTAGAGTCAAGAAGAACTCCAAGGAATTTAACTTTTTCGTCGACAGGAATGAGCTGATTATTGCATGAAATTTCGACAGAGGGGGGATATTTTTTCCTTGAAAATAGTACAACGTTACTTTTGGGAATTGATAGTGCTAGACCATGGTCGTCCAACCATATACTTAAATAATACAGAGCTGAATTTAAACGCGATGAAATATCTTCAATTGATTTCCCAGAAGCATAAAGGCAAATGTCATCAGCATATTGAAGGATATTAGAAAAACATGAAACGCTTTCCTCAAGATCGTGGGTATAAATACTATATAAAATAGGGCTTAGAACTGAACCTTGAGGCAGACCTTTCCAGACATATCGTGGGGGTAAAAGTTGGCCATTTGTACGGATTTTGAGCAATCTGCCCATAAGCAAGTTGGTTGCACAATGGACTAACCTCACAGGGAGACTCACGCGAAGCATCTTCTGTCTGAGCACCGGAAGTTGAACATTGTCATATGCAGAAGCTATGTCCAAAAAGACGCCAACTAAGAACTCCCCTTTCGAAAAGGTGATACGGATGTCTGACGTTAAAATGCTCAGGCTGTCCATGGTACCTCTAGATTTACGGAAGCCGAACTGACTATTCGCGAGAATATCTCTATTTTCCACTATCCATTCTAGGCGGTTTTTCAATAAATGTTCAAGAACTTTGCATAAAGTAGAGGATAGGGCAATTGGTCTATATGAAGATGACACGGAGGCATCTTTTCCAGGTTTTAGAATGGGAATAACTATTTGGGTTCTCCAGGACTCCGGAATTATACCAGACATAAAAATAGAATTAGCTATATCTAAATAAAATTTCTCCCCAATTGGGCCAAGATGAGTTAAAAATGAATAGGGGATTCCGTCCTCTCCTGGAGAGGAATCTCGAAGTCCCGAAAGAGCACATCTTAGTTCAGGTAAAGAAAAGGGTTGATCAAATTTATCCGAACTCTGGAGGTTAGGATAAGGGGTAGGTATACAATTTTCAGCAGGGACAAACGGGGGAGTCAGCCCATCTGCAAAGTCATTTAGCCAAACAGATGGGTCGTTTGAAGAAGGAGATTCTATAAATGACCCACGAAAGCGGCGGATATTTTTCCAAACTGCTGCGGAAGGGGACCTAGGAGTGAGGGATTAGCAAAATTTAATCCACCCACATTTCTTTTTTTTTGATAAGAGACGCTTAGTACGAGCCTCCACTTGTTTATATTTCAAGAAGTTCTCCATGGTCATAGAGGCATTATAATCTTTTTCTGTCGATTTACGAAGTTTAATCATCTCCGAGCATTCCGAGTCCCACCATGGAGGGGGAGCGATCTTTTTACGATTGAACTTTTTACGAGGGAATTGTGAATCCGCAGCAGATAACAATGACTCTACAAACATGGAGCACTTCTCGTTTACATCGGTGGAAGGGGAGCTAATATGGTTTGATAGGAGTCTGTCTACCTCTGATGCATAATTGGACCAGTCTACATTATGTAATTTGTATTTAAGTAATGGAGGGGGAGCTGGAGTAGGTGATACTGATTGGGGCTTTTTTATAATAATGGGGAAGTGATCACTACCATAAGCCTCTGGAAGAACCCACCATGAACAGAGAGATGCAAGGGAAGAGGAGCATACTGAGAGGTCAACAGCTGATCTAGGATCTTGACTAGGATATACTCGTCTTGTCGGGGATCCATCGTTCAGGACACATAAATTGAGATCCTCAAATATATCCATTAGTTGGACAGAGAAGGAATCACAGCTGTGAGCACCCCAGGCGATATGATGGGCATTAAAATCTCCTAACAAAAGGATAGGTGGAGGAAGTGAGGAAAAAATAGTCAATAATTCTGGGATAAGAGAAGGGGTAGGGTGAGGAATATAAATGGACATAATAGAAATATTCATAACACGAGCAGCCACAGCGTTAAAAGCTGGACTGTGGGAAGGGATGGAGAGAAGAGAGTATGAATAGCTTTTCTTGATAAGAAGACAACAACCTCCGTAGCTATCATCTCTGTCATCTCTAAGGCAGGCATATCCTGGAACCCTGAATAGGGAACCTGGTCTCAGCCATGTCTCAGAGATGGCAGCGACTGCCACTGAGTGTTGGTTAAATAAATAAATTAGATCAGATTTTTTCGGACGGACACTTTTACTGTTCCATTGAAGAAACTGAGAAGTGTCCGTCGTCATCTTTATCGTCTGAGGATCGAAGAGATTTAGGTAGTTTGTTGAAGAGTATATTAAGTTTTGAGGCAACGTTGTTCGGTAGTGAGTCACTAAATTTTGAGAGAATTACCGTGAGCATTGACAGGCAATTTTCTATTAATTGGTCATTATCAGATATATCTGAGTGGGAACAACCTTGTAGTGCGCAACCATTAGGCACCTGAGAGGGGACATCAGCAACTAAGGCCTGGTGGGCCTGCCTATCATATCCTTTGGACAGAGAGGATCTGCTACGGGGAGTAGGTGGATTTATCCTTCTAGATACACTCGGTGTTTGTTGGGAGGGGATTGATCTTGGGGGAGATTGTGGTGATGGGAAGGAAGCAAAAAATGAATTACGAACTTCTTTTGCAACATCGTTATATGGTTTTCTTGTTTTAGGAGTTAAGTCTGAAGCATCTAAATATGAAAGACCTTCTTGAGACATAAGTTGCTTTATTCTTTTCTGTCTGATGTGTTCTGGGCAGTTTTTGTCTGTAGCCAGATGGGCCCCCGTGCAAAGTAGACAAGAAGATCTCTCATCAGGGACATTACAAGCGTCACCAGAGTGGCTTTGAGCGCAACGGAAACAACGGGGTTTAGAGCGGCATTGATTTTTTATGTGTCCGAACCTACAGCAATTATGGCACTGTATAGTTGGAAGCTGGTATACTTCCACCACCAGAGAGGTGTGGAACGAGTAAATCCTATTTGGAAGTTTTTGCCCAGAAAATGTGAGGACCACAGTTTGTGTAGGAGTCCAAATAATATTCCCATTGTTAGACACCTTTCTGTTAAGACGCCTGGCTTTTAAAACAAATCCGAATCCCTCTGGGATTTCAAGAGAGTTAATAAACTCATCGAGGGTCCAATCTACCGGGACACCACGGACTAGACCCATTCGAGTAATATGGTATGTGGGAATCATGGCATTGTATTTGTTGTCTGTCAGTACCTGGGAATTAACAAAATTGTTGGCATCTTCTCCAGAGGTGAATTCGACTGCAATTTTATTTCTGCCAACATTTCTAACGCCATCTTTGGCGATGCCTTTAATGTAGTTTCGGTGCAGAAATTGGCCAAACTTAATAGGGCGGATAGTGGTACCCGCGGCAGGGTCAGGTTCAGTACGAGAGCAATGAACAATAAATGGTCCGCTGTCGTTTGCTGTGTACATACGTGCCTCAGTGAAACTGGGGTGGGTATATATAGATTGAATGGAGGTCGACGATTCCTCTGAGTCCCGAGTGCGTTTATCTAAGGTTTCCTTGCCAGTCGGCTCCAACGGAAGCGTACGTTTTCTTTTCTCAACATTTCGTTGGCTCTCGTCAGAGAAAACCGGCTGAGAAATCATAGTAGCATCGTCCGGAGGATCCGGAGGTTTTGGGGGTACATCCATAATTGATGCCCTCAGAAGAGATAGGATTTAGGTACAAAGGAAATAGACAATTACAAAACAAATAGTGTTAAACACTTACCCAGCACCCACAAATATCACAACACTTAGAAAAAGGAAAGAAAAGTTATTTATAAAAGTGAAAAAAGAAAAATAAATTTCGCGCGATGTGGCTCACTTCAACATCAACGGCCNAAGCCGCAGACGGCCGCCATCTCCAGACGCGCGTCCAGGGTGGTGGTGAGCAGGCGGTCCTGGGCCGCGTCGGGCGCCAGGTACAGGCGGTAGGCCGCCTCGCGCGCCGCCGCCTCGCCGCACTCTGCGTAAACGCCGCTCACTATTATGTTGTCGCCTTCTGTGCTGAAACTGTAACAAGGCAAATACTACTAATCTATACTAATATTATAAAACTGAAGAGTTTGTTTGTTTGTTTACTTGAACACGCTAATATCCGGAACTACTGGTCCGATTTGAAAAATTCTTTCAGTGTTAGATAGCCCATTTATCGAGGAAGGCTATAGGCCAGTGTTTTTCAACCTGTGGGTCGCGACCCCCTGGGGGGTCGCGAAGCCTCAATAGGGGGGTCGCGAGAGGTCGTAAAAACTACCTCAGTAAAAAAAAACTCAGCATAAATGTTGTATAGATTGAAAAATTCGGTCCCTACAACATCTTCGTAAAAGGCATGAAAAAAAGCGAACGGGGTCGGGGGGTCGCAAAAAATGTTTTTCATGCTAGGGGGGTCGCGTCATGAAACAGGTTGAAAAACACTGCTATAGGCTATACAACATCACGCTACGATCAATAGGAGCAGAGCAATAATGAAAAATGTTGCGAAAACGGGTTTTCACGCGTACGAAGTCGCGGGCACAGCTAGTCGCCCCGGGTGCCAACCCATGCTACGCCACCACTGCCTAAGGGGGTTAAACGGGCTCCACGCGTACGAAGTCGCGGGTAGCCGGTGGTAATAAAATAAATAAAAGATAAAACTAATTTATTAAAAAAAACCACTGGAAACAATAGTCCAAATGGGGCTACTGGGAATACACGAAAGGACTTGACGCCTATTCTTGTCAATTTCATATAGTATTTTGAATTCAACTACACATTGGAATGTTTTTTTCAACTACCCACAATAGAATACAATGTAAATAAATAGTGAAACTTACAATTGCCTGATATTAGCAGGTACAACCTGCCTATTCACCTTCCTAGGCTTAGCAGCTCCAGCCATGAACCTCTGTCCAGTTTGCAGGATCAAGTCATTGAGAGCGACAACTCTTTTCCTCGGGCCCTCTTCCAGTTGGATGCCACTCTGTTCAAAGTCAAAGAGGAACAGTTCTGCGAGGTGCTGGTCGCCTGATGTGCCCCTTTGGACTGAGTCACGAAGTGCTTCGTATAAACCCTTGTGTGTGTTTAACCTGTGGGCAATTAATTTATCTGTTATTTTGCACTCAGATCTTTCAAAATCAAATCAAATCAAAAATATTTTATTCAATTTAGACCACTGGTGGCACTTATGAACGTCAAAATATAGTAAATCAAAAAAGGTAGCCCTTATGGGGCACTTTACATGTCTCCTTATCTTTTGGGCCCTACCAGAGCTTCGAGACTAACATATGGCAAGTGCTGAGAAGAAATGCCGGAACAAACTCACTTTGATTAATGAAGTGGTATTAGTTTATATCAAGAGGATGTTAAACTATGTAACTAAAAATCAAAGATGAGATTGTAGTCTTTTGATATGTCTTCATTCAAAATTGTATATTTGGTTAATAGCAATAAAGAACAACCGTGACATGTGAAAGTAATTGGGGGAGGCCTATGTTAGGCAATGGACGTCCTGTGGTTGTAATGATGATGATGAATAAAGAACAATTCAGCATTGGCCCATTTATTGTCCTGAAGCAGTGGTAGGGTTAATACTGGGATGTGTAAAAGTGCTTTTTTAAAGCCTACTTACAGAGATAAATGAGTTTTACTGAGTTTTATTTGCAAATATTGAAAAACACTCACTTTTCAACTACACCACTAACGCTTATGCAGGCGTCCTCAGCAGCAGCTGCAAAGTGAGACTGTGGGTGCGCGATCCTTACGAACTCAGCCAAATCCGCCACTTTGCACAGTGTATCGGACAACTCGTCGAAGATCTCCACCATAGGCCGTGTAGGGTTTGAAGTAGCTTCTTCAATCAAGCGATCTGTGGTTGCGATGGCCTGGTCTCTTAGGGTATAGAATCCTTCAAAACTGGTGAGTTCTGGCTTATTGAAAAGACCCTAGGAGGACAGAAAATTATTAAATTGCAACACTTTTACATGACCTAGTTTCATTTACTCATTATTTACAGACTATTTTCAGGACAAATTATTTAACCTGCCTAAGAGCTTTGTTGTATTAGAACACAAAAACATGATATAGAATACATATAACACTTTCTTTTACATGTTATTTTAATTATTTATTTCTTACCGTCCTTTCTCTCAGTGTGTCAAAAATTGGTCTAGATGTGGGTCTGGTGTTGAAGGCTGTGGCCAGAGGCGACCAAGTGGAGACGCCGCGGCCCGGCTTGCGGCGCCGCGCGTGCTTCAGCACCCCTATAGGCTTCAGTAGCTTCATAGTAGCCTAAATGATAAAAAAAACAGTTTTTGCTAAGTGAAAGGGTTAAGTAGCGATGATAGGAATATCTAAAGGAGTACAAAATTTTAGTACTCAAAACATAAATCGTGAATCGTGATCCTTGAAAGTTTAAAAGGGATGAACAGTTTTTCGGTTCCAAGATAACTACTCCGAATTATTACGAAATGTGATTACTTATTTATTACACTATAAAGTAAAAATATTTTTGAACTGCTGATGGCTTACCAAATATGAAACAAAAAGTTATAACACAAACAAATCAACCAAAAGGGCGGATTTAGTTATTTTTATCAAAACAAAATTAAAATTCTCTTTCACATCTGCGTGTTCTTATCATTTTTTTGACAACTACGTACGACAAAACAGATGACAAAAATGACAGCATCAAGGCAGCAGCCCATGGAAATACGAATATCAATGAGAGCCACACCACACGCACACTGCACAGTGGTTTCAATACTCAAGCGTAACTCAAGCTCAATACATATTTTGGATGTCTCGATTTGTCCGCGCTATCTAGGCTGTGTTTACCCAAAAGATGAGTAACAATAGAGGTTTCCAAATGAGTAAAAGTCTCATGGTCTAACTAAGGTAAAAGTATACTTTTTACCTTTCTTCTTCACATGGATTTGTGGAGATTTGGAATCCAAAAGGACTTCATAAATAACAAACGGCATGTTTTTGTGATTCAGATAGTTTAAAATCTCTAAAGCCGTCGCATCTCTCTCTCCTAATTTCCTCTTCTCACTCAACAAAAATCGACTCTAATGAGTATTGCCAGTAACAAAAATTAAGAAAATATTTTTAATCTGTAATTGAGCAGCTGTTAAATATGTCAAAAATGACAAAATTGAGTGAAGTGAACAGGGTACGGAAACTTCCATACTACGATCAAACTTGCTTCCAAACAGCGACTTCAGTCGATAAATTCCAATACTTTTTTTTTTTTCTTTATGGCTCTCGCGGATTGCGTTTAGCCACGACAGGGTTCTTGATTTTTGCGTTCAGTTTTGCCATAAGTTTTGCGGACATTGCGTTTAGACAGGAAACGGAACAAAGGATGGTTTTCATAGGATCAATTTAGGTGTGATATAATAACAAAATAATAAAAATAAAATAATATTTACATAAGTACAATATACATTACTATTTACAATTTTATATTATTAGGGGTAATAAATTCGGCTAGGATATTATNAAGAAAAGAAAAAAAAACGTATGCCGATTGTTTTACTGCATAATGCTTATATATTAGAAAGCGCACTTAAAAGTTGAATATATGGAAAACTTATTATGAAGTCAATTAGCTCCCCCTTAAATGGTTTCTGTCCGTTATAAAGGACATGTCAAACAATTGCCTACAGAATCTAAATTAAAGCAATTTATCGACTTTCAAGGGATATTTTATAAAAAGCATGATATTTTATGTGAAACACGGGGCAGTAGTTCCATAAAAAACTGCGAATTTTAAAAATTAAGACAGTTGAATAACTGCAACAGCAAGGTCAAGTTTTCGCTGTTGATAAATATGGCAACACTGTGGGTATAACACTTGTTCTTGTGCTTTATTGACTGATTTTAGAATATTAACGAATAAAACTGACGATTATTGCCAAAACAGTAAAAAAATATCGATTTTTTTTCGTTCATTTCAAGGTTACAAATGTTATGTCACTTAAAACGGACAACGCCATGTATCAGTAATAAATACTCATGTTGATTTTTAGACGTTTTTACCCCATTTCCCCCTTTTAGGGGTTGAATTCTGAAATAACCTGAAACACGTGTTTATTAATTTATCCATAGGAGTACTCCTGTGAAGTTTCGAATGAAATAGTGCAAGTAATTTTGTTTCGCCCTACAAACTTTGGACCCCCATTTCACCCCCTTTAAGGGGGTAATTTTGGAAAAATCCTTTCTGATAACACCCTTAGACCCTAATAAGGAACCTACATGGCAAAATTTGTGTCTTTATACCCACCGGTTTGGGATTTATGTTGATATATCAGGCAGTCAGTTTCTCTTTTTATATGTCTGGGTATTTTTTGATAAATTTATGTAAAATCAACAGTAAATAGTGCGGATGGATTGCAAAAGGCGCTGGATTAGCTAGAGGCTGATTATCAGGGATTCCTGTATTGTTATTTTAAGTTTGTTTTCCTAAACTGGCAATGTCCGCCCTAAGTGACATGGATGTAATGCTAAATAATTGGCAATGTCCGTTTTAAGTGACATGTCATAACTTCTATACTAATTGAAATTTTTTCAAAAAGAAAATATTTTTTTCTTAATCTATCAAAACAATACCTAAATCCCAAATTTGACCATTTTTGAAGCAAGGGTTCAATGAGTGCCAATTTAAGGGTTAAACAATTTCAAAAATATGTAGAAATATAAAAGCATTATTCAACGTTGGCTAACATTTGATTTCGGAAAAGTTTAAGTTGAATAATGCTTTTATAATTTCTCCATATTTTTAGAATTGTTTATGGAGCTAATTTGGCTTCATAATATTTCCTTATTTTCAACTTTTAAGAGCGCTTTCTAATATTTATAAAGGCTTTTTATTTTGTGTTGCAGAACTTCTAACCTGAAGCACAGCCTGGAGTGAAGGAACTGATAGTTTTCGTAACCTGGAGCACAGCCTGGAGTGAAGGAACTGTCATGTTTAATATACTATGAACATGTGTTAATTAATTCCTCCAAAAATAAAAACGGGGTCGTGGGTCACTATCAGATCACCTACCTAACAAATTACAAATTTATATATTATTGTTGCAGCAAATGTATACATAAACATTTTCAAATCACTGAATAAAGATTTTTCTATTCTATAAACAAGCTTTGCTTAGTTTGGGACTAGAAGCGCAGTGTAAAATGTCTAAGGATATTTATTTATTTATTTATTTATTTACCTACTACCTACGGTCGACAAATAGTAATATCGATAATTCGATTATAAGTGTGATGTAACATCCCTATTTTTTTCTTGATGTTGGCAGAATGTTATGAATATGACAGTTTGTGGCCTTCATATTGGCAAGCCTGCTTTCGCTCCCGTTTCATACTATAAAAAATCTTGTTTCTTTTAGGGGACTCCCGACTCTTAAAACGTAGTGAATTATATCCTCTTTGGACGCATCTGCGGACGTTAAATACCTACAACAGACGCGCAAATTACCCCGTCCACACGTCGGCGGACGCATCGGCAGATGACGTCTGCAGATTCGTCCACCGACGTGTAGAGGAGCTTTAAGAAAGAGACATGTGCAATGTTTCGTTTCGTTACCATGCAGGTTGTCACTACTACTTGTGAATTTGCTAGTGATGGGAATAAATTAATATATTTTATCGATGAATTGTGGTACCTGAAAGTACTGTTGCTGTGGTGTAGCGTACATTAGGCTCTCGGTCTGGAGGTCGTGGGTTCAAAAATACAAATACAAATACAAAATCATTTATTGTGAATCATAGGTAAAATGGTGACATGTCACAATAAAACACAATATTAAAAAGATAATTTAACTGCTCATAAAGAAAGCACATATTACAAACCGTGGCAGTGATGCACTATAATGTGTTTCATCATTCACCTTTAAATATAATTTTCTTGGTAAATGTGTCCAAATTTTTCGGTAGGTACAGTCAAATTTTTAGTTATATAATGTATCCTAAGTTTAAAATATTTTTGTGCTATGGACTTTATAAGAAGATTTCTGTGATCATCATAGAAAGATTGTTCTAATGAATGATCTTTTAATTCACTAAAAATTTCTGACGGCAATACATTTGCTGAAACTTTATTAATCATCTCTAATTTTATTTTTGGTTGACGGAGAGATTTTGAACCAATATGCACTTGATATTCTCTTACAATTTTTTCGGAAAGTTGACAGATCTTGGTTAAGCCGGATGTTGGTTTAAATAGGCCTCCTCTATTTTTTATAGATATCAAAGATCTTTCAGGAATACTATCCGTGTTCTCAAGACTTTCTATGCATTTTTCGCATTGTAAAGATTTTTAATTTCCTTCCGATAAAGCCGGCTATTGTATTCTACGACATTTTTAGAATATTCCGTAAGAGACAAAATGTAGTCGTGTTCTGTCAAATCATCAAAAGTATCATGTGATTCGGATTCTAAACGACGTCTACAATTGGTGCTGTCGTTAATAGCTTTTTGTAGTCAAAACTACAGTTTAAAACTGTAATTTTGTCCAGAGGGATGCAATTTCGGGAAGTACTGTCCTTAAACTGAGCGTGGACAAGGAGTTTCTTGTACGCAGCGCAGAACATACGTGCAGAGGCCTTCAGGTTCAGAATGTCAAATTCCCAAAATGTCCAACGGTTTCAAAATGTCCAATTCCCGAAATCTCCAATTCCTGAAATGTCCAGTTCCCTGTCCTGATATGTTTATTATTTTTTTAGTTGGAGGAAGATGTGGAGAACTATAAGTATTGGAAGACAATGAAAGTGCGACCAAAGTTAAAGTCTCGGCTACCAGAATCTCTTAGAATATCGCTTTCAACGGATCATCAAGAGTGAACCTAGACCAAGCACATCTTCTGCATCATCTACACAATCGAATACAGGGGCATTTTATAATAATCCCTTAATAACTAAAGCCCAACAAAGCAGTACAAGTGAAGCCAAAAACATCGATCGTACTACTTATTGTGCCATTTACAAAAAGAAAGTACAGAAACCAGAAGTGTTTGAAGAAGATTATGAGATGGAAGAAGTTTTATCTTCAACTCAAGGAAGCACCACCTCTGCTGAAATGTCAGACACTTCATCTGTAGTTGTCATTAAAACTACAAGACAGGGTAGAAACTTTATGCTTAACCTGATTGAGAAAAAACCACAAAACTACATAGGTTTGCCAAAGAATTATTATTGGTTGATTGAATATTTAGAATTAAATCTAAAAATAAAATCCTTTCATATAATAATCACATTATATAAAATTAAAAATAGCACACCCTTTTATCAAATTTCAGGCATGTTTGAAGTGTCACTAACCACATTATGGAGAATTTTTTGAAGACATTGTGTACTTTATCTAAGTTTTTTAAACAATTAATATTTTCTCCACGTGTTTATGAAGTCTAAAGAAAATCAAATAAATAATATTCAAATGTTTTTAGCATTATCGATTGCTTTGAAATAGAAATTGAAAAACCATCAAATCCCATTGACCTGTCTCTAACATGGTCACAGTACAAAAATACTAACACTTTAAAATATTTGATATCCGTAACACCTGATGATTTTGTTAACTTTGTATCTGTTGGCTTCGGTGGACGTATATCTGATGCCAATATAGTAGAAAACAGTGGTTTTCTGGATGTGCTCCCACCCAATGTACTGTATTGGCTGGCAGACAGAGGATTTAAGCACATAGATTCTATACTGAGTAGAATTAATCAGAATAATCTACTTCGGCCACCCAGTGTCTTAAAAAATCAAAAGTTATTAAGGCAGGAAGCAATCAAAAGCAAGGTCATTGCCAGTCTACGTATTCATGTGGAGAGGGTGATAAGAAGAGTGAGGCAGTTTAAATTATTGAAACCACATTCTGTAATAAATAATAAATTAATTCAACATGCAGATGATGCAGTGATTGTGGCACACACTGGTTCAAGAAACGATAAAAATGGAATTAGCTATTTATTCCCTTTTTTCGATAGTATCATGGTGTAGAATATTATAAAAAACGTTTTGTTTAAGTTCTATTTTTCTGAGAAATGCGTAGTTTTTGCTATATTACATGTTTTGTGTTTTATTTGTATGAAACGTTTCCTTCACGAGGCTCTTATTCAAAATGTTAAAATTTGTTAAAGATGACTACTTATAGGTTTTAAAGAGTTATGCTAATAGAAGCTAAAACAGTAACAACTTTGTCCCAGTGCGTCCCCGTTTAGGATATAAGTGATATTTTCTAAGGTACGAAAAAGTAATCAAAACATATGGATATAAGGCAACCTAATGGTAATTTATTGATTTTCTAAAATAAAAAGAAGCTAGGAATCATTCCAATCTTAATCTTTTATTATTCAACATCATCATCAACATCTATAAACTCAAAAGTTTCATCATTATTTGAAGCTAGTTCATTAGAAAGAGGATATATTTTGGACTCGCACTCATTTTTGGTCTCATTGTTGACAAAAAATGATCCGAAGAAATAAGTTTATTATTTAAAATATCACGATTGGTCACTTTTCGGTTAAATTTACGCGTATGATTCTCTCTGATCTTTCTAAAATCTTTGTTCTGCGATTCTGCAGCTTCTTCCGATAGTTTTGCACTTTGTAAAATAGTCTTAAAAATTAATTGTTTCCAAAACTCTTCAGCAGCATTTAATAAAGCCACCACATACATCTCATCATACTCCACCCAGTACCTACTTGTGTATTAGTTTTTTCTCTTCAAAACTAGGATCGGCAACACAAAACAGTCCTTTTGTTTTTTTTTGCAGCATGCATTTGGACCATTATCTGGGCTTTATATTTTTCATATAATATCCCGTCTCGTACATCACTTTTCATAGTTTTGTCACTCATAGGGCATCTTATTTCTATGACAAAATCAGAACAAATCCCGTCAGGTGAAACTCCAATAATTGGGGAAATTAAAATCAATCCTGTATGTTGAATTACTCCATAGTCTTTTTCTAACTCCTCGATTACTACTTCTTCTAACAACTTGCCCCTTTTGATAGCTTTTGTCTCCGGCACCTTGTATCCACCTAGTATGATTTGTACTAACGCACCGTTCTCTGTTTTGCAGTAAATGGTTTCATAGATTCTGGACCCTGTCACTCTGCCTTGACGCATAGAATGCCACAGTTTTGATTCTGCTTGAGCTTTTGTAGCTTCAGCAATGCTTTTAACCACATCTTCAGTTACAGTTGTGGCACAAAATTATTTTAAATTGTCATAACTGTGATCATCAAATTGGTTGTCAAAAGATATTATTATTAAAAAAATAAAGATACAGGGTGGCCCAGAAGAAAGTTCACACTTTTGAAAATTCAAGGAAACGAAAACTCTACATTTTTATAGAACTTTAACTATTGCAATTTAAAGGAAATTTTATGCAATTTATTTTTAAATTTACCTTTATTAAATTACATCGCCCAGGAGATTTCCTTGACGCTTACAACATTCGATCAACGTGTATCAAAATCTTGGAATGCGTTCGTTAGAATTACCTCGAAACCTATTTTCAATTTTTTGCCGAATGCTCGGCTTCAGTTGCTGCATGGTTGTTGGATTATAAAAGTATACTCTGTTCTTAATGTAACACCACAAAAAAGAATTTTCTGGAGCGAGATCAGGGCTTCCTGGAGGCCAGAAGATGTCACCCCTGCCTGAAATTATTTTTTTGTGGAACATGTCTCTTACCATCTAAATGCTCTCACTAAAATTATAAAATTTAAAATTGCCTCAGTGATCTTCTTATTTTTGGTACTTGTTATACTTTTAATATTGGTAAACAATTGACCCACACCCACATTGGGCTGTTGTTGAGGTTTTTCAAAACCACTAGAAATAGCTCCTTTATTAACAATGTCCATGGAATCAACATTTTGTTACCGACATTAGAGGCGTAACAGCATCAGTTACATCATTTAATTTCAGTTTTTTTGTGAAGGTTCTTCTGTTATACATTCCTGAACAACATCAGCGTGTTTTTTTTTCATGTGACCCCGCAGATTAGTAGTATTACCTGAAGTCTTCAAAGTTTTATTGCAAAATTTGCATGTCGCTTCCTTCTTATTGATACCTCTTTTGAAATAATTCCAAATTACACTTTTCTTCTTATTTGTCGGCATTTTATCTGAAAAAAAAAAAAGAAATTATCTTGCAATGCAATAAAGATTTGAGTACCTATTGAGTATCTTCACTTGACGGCTTCGAATCTAATTTCGTTTTAAATTTTAATCTGGCGGTAGGCCTAGCAATAGCAAGACGCGACGCGACTCGCGAGAGAAAAGAATGGCGCCAGTCAGTGCAGTGGCGCGTGCGACATGGTCACGTGACACAAATGATAGTTAAAGTCCTTTTCACGAAAGAAGTCCCCCAGACGCAGCGCTGTACTCGCGTAACATAATGTTGCCATTTATGAGCAAAAAAATTACCTATTTTAAATTTAGCTTATTGTAAGCAAATAATATTACATGCATACTTCGATGAAACAATTCAAGCTCTTATATTCTATTAAGAAATAAAAGTATTTTAGATATACTGTAACTTAATTACTCAAGCCCTATAACAATAGTTCAGATTAGTGAAACATGTATTTCTGATAAGTCAAAAGTATATTTTGGGCATAATATTTATCAAAATATCTACTACCTACCTACTTGCAGGGAAAAGATGAGAAAATAGTGTAAAGAAAAGCATTACAATTTTTTATTCAGAGTTTTATTGAATAATTGTGATCAGCAGCCATAGGAACATCACTGTCTGAAGATTGGATGGAAACAGAATCAGATTCTGTTTCAGTATCACTAGCCGTAGATATAATTATTCGGTCCATCTCTTCATCCATAAGGCCGTCATTTTTTAAATATTCCTCCTCTAAATGTTCGACATGCGTGCACTGAGCTGTCCAATCTTCCGCCGTAATAGACTCAAAGGCCTCTTCAGTCAACTTTACAATTTCTTTTGGATCTTGTGCCACGTTCTTATCCGCCACCTTTCGTTTTACAAGGCTCCAGATTTTCTCAATCGGGTTGATGTCGCAATGGTAAGGCGGCAACTTTAATACTTCGTGTCCGTGAGCTGTTAATAATTCATCCACTGCAAATGTCGGTGGACCTTTATTTTGTTTGATTAGATCAAACAGCACAGCTTTTCTCCAGGTGTCTTTAAAATATATACCTTTTTGCCGAAGCCATTCCTGCATACAACTTTTTAAATTTGACATTGTAGGGGCTTTGTTTATCTGAGTGCAATGGTAAGGAGCGTTGTCCATTATCACAAGCGACTTTTCAGGTAGATTAGGTATTAGTTTTTCCGTCACCCATTTTAAGAAATTTGCAGAGTTCATGTCATCGTGGTAATCTGAGGACTTTGATTGGGATTTGAACATTAATAATGCACCATTTATGAATCCATCTTTTGTTCCCGCATGAGCGATTATCCAGCGACTCCCTGACGACTCTGAGACGAACATTCCTGGTTCCTCCTCACTCTGCCAACAACTTTTTGTGTGATAAGTGTTGTGTATATAGGTCTCATCTAAGTATACAATGGGTCGTTTTTCCACAGTTCGATTTATTCGAATTTTATCCAAATATCTTGCACGCCATGCGGTAATGTCGTGGCGTTCCATAAGGAGTTTGCGTCTGGATTGACATCGCTTATACTTGAAACCAATCCTATTTAATATCCTGTGAAATGTTGTGATGGTTCCCTGAAAATTTATGTCTTCTCTAAGAGCTGCCCGTAATTTAGCCAATGTTGGTAATTATTTATGCACAACGTAAAAACTGTGAATTTTTTGCCGGACAGCGCACAAATCGAACCCGTCTAAGTCGATCTTCTTCGGATGTGGGCGACTCTTCCCCGGGGTGACAATTTTTTTCGAAGTACTCGCCGCTGTTGTACCTTCTTTTGTAATTCTTGTTACAGTTTTCTCTGACACACCTGCAATTAAATAATGAACAATTAAATACAGGGTGACAGGTAAAGCGATACATTCCTTGAAAGGGGTTAAAGTAGAGCTTATTTGCAGTCATTTAAGTCATATGACACCATGTCCGAAACTTGTTCATTTCCAAGTTATTCAAGATTTAAGTATTTTTTAAAAAATCTCCAGTTTTTATGTTAAAATGTACCCTTGTAATGAAGAATACGGAATAATCTTAACTTTTTTGTTGTATTCGTATAGCTAAATAATAAGATTGACATTTTAAATTAAAATTTGCAAGAAAGAATCGTCATTACTCAAGTAAAAGCTAAAAAACCATGTATTATTTTGCAAAAAAAATACGTTTTAGGTAATTAAACGAAGAATTACCAAGAAAAAATGTATGGAATGTTGTGTACAAATTACAGAATTTAGTACCTTGATTCATTAGCTATTCAAAAAGGTACAGGTGTTTAACAAATACTACACAATTATTTTTTTATTTGAATTTAAACGTCTAGTAAGATACTTTCATAAAAAAATTAATAAATAAAAAAGTCACACTAACAACTTTTCTTGGGTCTCAATAAATGAAAAACTTAGTATTTTAATAATAATTGTATCACCTAATATTATTTAGGTACATTTTTTTAAGTCCTGCTCAAACTGTGAGCCCCGTCTTCTAATACAAGCTCGTAGTCTGTTTCTCACTTCTGTTTTTGTGACTCTTGTTGTCAAACTTTGCTGAATATCTTGAGCTGCCCTCTGAATGCAATTCTTCGTTTAATTACCTAAAACATATTTTTTTTGCAAAATAATACATGGTTTTTTAGCTTTTACTTGAGTAATGACGATTCTTTCTTGCAAATTTTAATTTAAAATGTCAATCTTATTATTTAGCTATACGAATACAATAAAAAAGTTAAGATTATTCCGTATTCTTCATTACAAGGGTACATTTTACCATAAAAACTGGAGATTTTTTAAAAAATACTTAAATCTTGAATAACTTGGAAATGAACAAGTTTCGGACATGGTGTCATATGACTTAAATGACTGCAAAAAAGCTCTACTTTAACCCCTTTCAAGGAATGTATCGCTTTACCTGTCACCCTGTATAATAGTAACTTTTTAAGTTTATAATGCTTATGTACTATGTAATATATGTTTTAATTTCAGTTAGGTACCTAGTTTCATCACGTTATGTATTTGTTCAATTTTGTCGCACAAATGAATTTATATCATAAAAGTCCCATCAATAAATTATTATATGGCAACTCTAAAAAGTACCTGTTATGGCGGCGACTCTCTTCCGAACATTGTTTAGTGGTATTAAAACACCTTGATTTTTTTGTTCCGCTTCACAGAACTCTTTCACCTTCAATATCATTTCTCGAGCCGAACTTTTTAAAACTTTTGGCATTGTAAACAATCTTTAAAATGCACTAAGATAGTTAAAAACTCACAAAAATCTACCACAACAAACAAACTTGCTAACATCGACGAACGACAACATGGCCGATCTGTCAAATTTAGTTCCAAAAATCACCGCGGGACTTCTTATATGAAAAGGACTCTACGTACAATACAACAAGATGGCGCGGCAGTCAAACATCGATGTTAATACACGATGTATCGATGTTTTCTTGTAGTTCAACATCGATGTTTATGAATATCGTTTGCATCCCTAGGTCCAAATGCTGCGTGATTGGTGGATTTTGACATATCTGTCAATGTCATGTCAAAAATAACCAATCATGCAGTATTTGGACCTCGCGACTACGTATTCCATCTGGCGGATTTTTCAATCGCGAAAATCCTCATTAATGAATTTCCTACCTCGAATCATATAACTGATTTAATTAATTGAAAATATATCAATAGGCATACTTCATTTTATAGTAAAAAAATATTTACCAAAAGA